AGGCAAATTGATGACATTACAAGTTTTATTGAATGCAATCCGTCTTAATCTCCTTCACTCACTTGCCCATCGATGCTACCTTTTGGGTTTTCTGCATTCTTTTAATGTCCTTCGTCTACTTCGGTTATTTTGGGATCGAAGTTAATTGTCGGGCCAGCTCAGCGGCAGTTAAGAGGTGTTAAAATTTTCCGGAAAATTGCCGGCGAAATTACGTGACCTGCCCCTCAAACAAGTAGAGCATGGTGATTAACGCGGTTGCAGAAAAGAACCAAATCAGTTCTTTCATGTGATACCGTTAAAATTATGTTATATATTAAAGTGGAAAAATAATAAAACTGCACTTTTGGAGTTAAAAATACAATTATGCAAAAAGGCTAATTTGGGAGAGACACAAAGTACACGGTGAAATCCCTGTCGCTTCTGCACGGTAAATATGACCATTTTTTTTACACTGTGTCTGTCTCAAGATTTCATCACTGCGAGCCAAAAGATTTGACGGTCACTCAAACGGAGAGCAACTGCATAAGCCGCAACTTCCAGTCCCGATTTCTGTCATGTTATACAGTAAAACTCCACGACTAAGAACCTGGTTAGGATAAAATTTTCCCGTCAAGCCCCCTCTATATAAAAAACCTGTTCAGCCCAAAATTTGAAACAGGCTCTTATTTTCTAAAATCTGTACAAATATTCTGTACACTTAGCAAAGAAGATAAGTCATCATTCAGAATCCTCTTTGGAGACATAGCTGCCTTTTCACTCCAACTGCAATGCAATGGTTTGCAGGTCTAGCCCGTGGTAATAACTGTCTCAAGTTGTAGAAGACCGTGTCACAATTTGTAATAACTTTTCGTCGTAATTTGAAATGAATTTTTTGAGAGTGATTCAACTTACTTTGTTGACATTTTAAACAGTCTTGTCAAAAACTGTCGAAGGTGATGACGTCATCAATAAGCAGATTTATTCAACTTAACAGTTTGTTGATTATGTGACTTACGAAATTCTGTTATACCCACATTTCAACACGCTTTATTTCATGGCTATAACAAAGTATAATCGTATCTATAACTAAATTCTCAAATCTGATTGGCTATCAACTGTCCTGAGTTCAGTTTTAATAGGACAGTAAGAGCCATCGAGCGCGAGCACTTGAATGGGTTGGTCTTTCACCTTCAGCAAAATGCTCTAGGAATATCCTTCGTTTTATTTTGATTTTAAGGAACCTTAAACGTCGGTTTTCACTGATTTGGACTTCTAAATAACATTGTCTCTATTTGCAGTAAATACAAAATATAGCAGTAAGTGTTCACGAGTTAAAGCGTTTCCTGAAATATACCCCACGAATACAAGCTACTTAATTCTTTCGGTCCCTTAAACATTATCAGTTGATATCTTCGCCATATATTGAGACCTTATGTTACCTCCAATCTACAGCTTTATATATCAAGCCGGCGTGTTACCTGCAAACTACACTGACACCACTACATATAAAGGCCGCATATTTCTTTCAATTTACAGCATTATATAACGTCCAAATGTCAGTTTAGTTGTGATCTACTAGCAATCCTCACCGTTTTATACGAAGCCAGCATGTAACTTGCAATCTATATTATCAATGAAATTCGTACAAAGATGACACAACACAAGTATTTAAGCAATCAATGCGGTCAAACAGTGAACAGGAAATAGCACACGAAGTAATTAATTGGTTTTCGTATGTTCCATTTAGAGGTCACGCCACATTCAGTCTGTGGTGTAAAGTGCTTCCTTTTGCCACATGTGACGTTTGTATAAAAATAATAACGATTTCCGATCTGGCAGGTGCAGTCGAACCGCTATTTTTTCAATTCGGACTCACACCCTCGTTTGCAAATAAACTATAAGAGAGAGCTCGCAGACTATCGCATTACGGACACTCGCTTAATACGGACACCTCACGTGACACCTCGTTATTACCAGGACAGCAGTTTTGCTTGTCCCTCAGAAAAACTCTCACATTTTCTCTAAAAAGTCAACCCGCTTAATACGGACACTCGTTATTGGCGATAAAGGACAATTTTTTCTTGTCCAATCAACATGTCTGGTGGAATTTAACCTTAAACCTCTATTTCAGACTTCAATACAGTGGAACCTGAAATAACGAAAGGGCCAACGATGACAAAATACGTTCCATATACACTCTTTTCTTTATATAAGAATGTTGTTGTTTCGACTCAGGCTTAATATTTTTATTTTTCTGTCGATTTTAGGCTGAAAATTTTCTTGAATTATTCTTAATTATAAATTGTAGCTTATGGCATTTCCGCTTCAGAATGTATCGGGGTTTCAATTAGAAGTGTTCTTACTGTTTAGTGAAAGGAATAATTCTCCACGGTTAAGGTTAAAAACATAAATTGTACTGTGTTTACACAAAATTGGGCCTTTTCAAACTCTCAGTCTCGGGTTTATTCTTAAAATGTACTTAGAACTTCGCAAATTTCAGCCCAGATATTCCGTATAAAATATATTGTTACAGAAATAAAAAGGGGTATAAGGAGTTATCGTGATATCCGGAGATATCGAGATTCTTTTCCACACATTCAGGTGATATATTTTACTATTACTGAGGCTAGGAATATTGTTCGTTATACCTCAGACTTCGTTATATAGATGTTGGTTATATCGAGGCTCTACCGTTTACTGAGCACTGGCTTAACCGTAATTTCAGAGCAAAAGTGCCCCTTCATCTTCAGTATAAAAGTGACCTATTGAGCTGAAGCTAGTCTTGCCGCAATCAAAGTGGACCAAACAGACTAAAAACATACCGAAGACTGATGTAGTCGACAATTAAGCTATAGACCCCACCGTGCAATACGGATACTGAGGGGAGTGTCGGTACTAATGGTTGCAGGAGCAAATGCGGGTTGTAAGCGGGTCAGGATATTTCAAGATTTGTTTTTTTTTTCTAAATAATAAAACAACTTCCCAAGCCACGGTTACCGTCCGCCGCGGACGGCTATTGCTGTGAAATCATTCAAAAGTGGCTCACGTGGACATGTTAAGTTATTATTTAATCAAAAACCAGGTACAAAACGCATTTGTTGCCAACAAAGTATTCCCTCTACTCAAGGACACCACAAAACGGTTTCCTAAAGAATACATTGAAAACACTTTTTAGCCTAGGCAGAGTACTTTTAGATCTTTAGAAAAGTATTCTAAGCGGCTCTGTAAGATTTGTATCTGTTCGGTCATCCTAGGGGAACTTGAGTCTTTTCGAAATTACAAGGGCTTGAGTATTGTTTCCCCGAAAATGTTAGATAAAATCTGACGTATTACGAAAGTGAGACATCTTCTAATTCCTCTCTCCATTACATTTTTGAATTCGAAAATTTTAAGTTTCCTTTTTTCCACGAAATATAGCCTACGGAATTTATTGGGATAAGTTTCGAAAATTGTACATGAATGGAACGGTCAGCTAGAAAAATCAAGGGCCTCTCTTTTTTAGCCTGTGAACAGGCTCTCTGTTCACAGGCTACTCTTTTTCGACCTTTTTCTACTGGTAGTTTATATTAGATCCTACAACTCGCGACATATTTGGCCATTTGGTTGGGTGCCAATCAGTACTACGAATAAAATATAAAACGGTAAACTGATCCTTACAGCAAGGAGGTGAACAAGTAGACAAACGAATAAAACAAAAAAATATATTTTTTATATATCAGTTTTTTTTATTCTTTGTTCACTTGTTCATCGCCTTGCCCAAGGGTCATTTTGCCATTTTACATTTTATACAAATTGTTATGGTACTGATCCAGGTCTGCAACTTTGAGATCCGGCACCACTCAACGCTTTGTCGCTGTGGACTTGCTGATATTTAATATTTTAGAATCCACTACGAACCTCTTCAAGATTCGTTTACAAACAAACAAAACAAACAAAACAAACCAACAGCTGTTGTTTCTGCTTTTCTGTTTCTTCGCGACAAATGAAGTGGAACTCCTGGTAAACAATAGCACCGACTTGGTGGACCAATACAGTGCAAAACGCCTACACAACTTTTTAATCATCTACTGAATATTCATTCATAATTGATTAAGACTTGACAGGAGAACCGTATAAATAATATTGAAACAAGTGTTAAAACAACCGTCCCATATAATATTTAAAGTTGCTAAAACGCTCAAACGGGCCAGGCGGAATATTTTATCGCACGCGTCCATATTCATGGTCTCTGACTCGGCTACAACAGGTGGTGGTGTTTATGTCTTGGAACTGAGCCGTAAAAATAATTGTTCATCCGCAAGATAGACCTGTTTCTGATCATCAACAGTGAAAGCCTTCAAAGTTTCGTGTTAGATTTTCATGAGGGAAACGCAGATCAAAACGTCTTTCACTCGGTTTGGGAAGAAAATATCACTAAAATGTGTTATAAATATTCATTATTAAAAAAGAAGCAAAAGGACGGCTTATCGTATAAGTCTAAATTACAACGAAAATCATAAAATGACCCCTTGTAGCGCCATGCAGGCTGGATAATTCAATTTAATTGTAAAATAAGAGGACTGTTTTTTAAACAATCTACTTTTTCCGACTGTTCAATTAGTTAAACTGAGATTAGAAATTCTCTATTGTCTCACGAACAACTAATCTAGGGTGTGTTGTCGAGAGCCAATCGCATCTTAGAATTCCCTAAAATATGCGTGGAATGACGTGTTGAATAAATTACTCTCTATGTCCACAAAAAGCAGAGAGCCATGTACAGAGAAATTTGTGTTAGATCACGAACGATTTTCGGCAAACGAAGTCACAAGAAGCCATAAATTCTCTCTTTAGAGAAAGAAACGCAAGGAGAAAAATGCTTTGCAAGATTAAGTATGATTTGAAGACCTTTGCTTCAAAGAAAACATTCCTAAAATTCTATCCCCGTGTTTGGTCATACGAACACGCGAGTTTCGAATTCTTCCTCGACCAGAAGGCGATGAAAAGAAATGTCATCAACCCCCCTCTAGGGAGAAATAGCGCAAGTCTTTTGTGGGCGCGCCGAGCATAGTTGTGTCATTCCTTAAATTCTTGCTGGCCTCCGTTTACTGTAAAGCAAGGGGCAACTTTGCTAATTCCAGGTGATTTTTAGAGGAACGAGGAAACCGACGTCTCTATCGTTGTTAAGCGATTTTCTGTGAAGCCAGGTAGGTTGCACGCGACTGTAAAAGCTTTCTGTTCATCTCTTTGATTCCCCTCCGTCAAATGTTCCATCGGTCCGTTGAATCGTTCGAATTTTTCTCATTTTTCTAGAGTTGAGCTTCCGGAACGACTGATCAAGACAACACTAAGAAGCCTACACGGCAACCATAAACAGTTGAAGGAGATTCCCTCCGGTTAAGATCATTTTTGTCAGGGCTGTTCTCACAAAACCGCCAAGATTTCGGACCACGAGGACCTCGAAATGGCCAACTCGGTCGACGAGGGCAGCGCGACTAAAAGCCCCGTCGACATGGCAAATGATGCCGAAGGAGTTTGGTCGCCCGATATCGAACAATCATTTCAGGAGGCTCTTGCAATTTATCCGCCATGTGGCCGGCGGAAAATTATTCTCTCTGATGAGGGAAAAATGTATGGTAGGTAGCACGTTCTAACCCATTTGGCGTAGTTTATTTCATGGAAGACCTTGAACTCCAAACGTACGTTGAAAGTTTAAATATCGCTCGACCCGGAAACCTAAATGGTCGTTATCAGCCAGTGTTTTGTACAAGTCAACTAGATTAAAAATATTTCTTACGCGAAACAGGGCTGACTTCTTAAAAATACAGAAAACAATGACAATAGTTACCTCGTTTTTCCACGAAGGCATGGAAAGGACAGTCGCTCGTTTGTTTGTGTGAGATAATATAACTGAACAACGTTGGTCTCGAGTTGTAATAACTACATTACTGGCATTCATTCTTCGTGCCAGCTGTATTGCCAGAGTTCATGAAAATGTTAGCATACTTTAAAGGTTTCTTGCGAGCGTCGGAGCAACGACTTAGAAATTTAGCGGATTCGGCGTGGAGATGTCACGAATGGCATAGCTCAACTACGCACAAATGAATGCACTAGTCGTAACCAATTGTTCGAAGTATGTCGGCTATGCATCTTTACAGTTTTTCATTGACCCTTACCGCAAAGTGGAAAATAGCGGTTGCAAGAATAACATAACAAACTAGTTTTTCTGAGATTGCGTTGTAAAAATACCAGTCTTTAGTGGCTTAGAGTCTTGACTAAACCATTTTTCTGCTATGAATGGTCATGCAATGAAACTCTGTTTCATTCTCCGTACAGACTGTATTCGTTAAGTTCTCTTGGACGTGGGTATATTTGGAAGTTATTTTCCGTGACAAAGTTGGCTATTTTATTATTAAGGATCTTTCGTTTATTTAGTTGCAAATAGCGGTAAAAGGACATCTTGAGGTTTATGCGTTTGAAACTTTTGTTTCCTCGACGAACAAAGGCCTTTATTATATCTGATTAATATGCCACATGGAAGTATTTTCGCAACAATATTGATCAGCAATATTTAAGTTGAATATAATTATAAATTATGATACTGTTTGAATCTAATTCGCTAAAAATACTTCAATTAACGTCTTGTAATATGTTTATGTGTGGGCTTTACTTTTACAAGCATGGTGCATTTTTTAATTTTAAGAATGTTTTCTAAACAAATGCAATGATATCCATGTTGTTTGATATACTGTTTATTACAGAGACAGTCCTCATTTTGTTTTGCTTTCTTTCTTTCCTCAACTTGGTATACGGTTTGGAGAACGATATTATTAGATGTTTGAATCTTACACTCTAAGGAGAAAACTCTTAATTTTTGAACCACAAGATAGTGGTTTTCTTTGAATGGCCTTACCGTAAGATTTTGTCTTAAGGCAAGACTGCCACCAATGAAAAGTGAGCAATAAATATTAGTGCTCACTATTGTATCCTTTCCAAGAACTATCCCTTCGGAATGTTGAATTTGCATTGCAGATCAAGTTACAAATCAAAATTTATGAGTGTATAGATAACGAGAAAAATTAAAAGTAAGGCACAAATTGTTATCTGATGTTTGTATGTTTCTGACATCATTATCAAGAATGAAAACTGTTAAGTGTCAAAGTTTTTAAAAGAGTTGAGATTTGAATTCCTTAGATGGCATTTGTGTTTGCTTGATTATTATGAAGATGTGCCAATAGAATAGTTTTGCTTGAATCAAGTCTGATAGATGATAACCATTAAAAAAAATGAAGCAAGACCTTGAGCAGTGGATATGTTGATATTGTAATAACCTTTATCAATGCATGTCTGTCAGACAAGTAGAAAACATAGATCACTTGTTTTGGTGCATTCTAAAGCTGTTTTAGTACATCACAAACATGAAACCTTTTAAGAACCAGTCTTTGAAAACAGTGGTATAATGTAGTTAAATTATTGCTTTCTAGTCAAATCATTGCAAATTGCGAACATTTTTGCTTCTGTGTAGAATTTAGCCAGTATCAGTCAAGTTCCCTTACATTCGCGCCGTGGATAAATCTCTACCCTTCTATAAGCGGCAACTTCACGGAAATGACCTCTTCCACTTCTTCCCAAAATTCTCTTGGACATCAAGGCAAGAGAAAATGTCTTAAAAAAACCTAGGCCTGGCCAGCAGCGGTCCACCTTGGATGTAATTGCTACATACATGTTAACTTTTTGGGGGGGGGGGGGGGGTGCTAGGGTGGGGAGTTGTGTAACCTACACTGTATGCTAATTAAATATGGTTTTTCTTTGTAACTCAGGACGAAATGAGTTGATTGCCCGATATATCAAACTGAGGACTGGGAAGACAAGAACAAGGAAACAGGTATGTTTTTTCCATTTTGGGTGCGGAGTGAAATATCTTTTTGAATGAGCACTATAATTAAATTTGGTAGCATAGTAATGAAGAGAGTATTATGCCATCAGAAAGTTTTAATGTACAGCCATGGTCAAAAGAAAATAAAGTGGTGTGTTAAAGATTGTTAGCCTAACAGTTTTTCAACGTTCAATTTGTTTTTTGCAATATTTGATGTACAGTCGACTCTCGATAACTCGAACCTTTAAGCGAAAGTGAAAACAGTTTGAGTTATTGGGAGTTCGAAGCAATTAACCAGAATTAAGGAAATGGGATCAGGGAGGAATGTAAGTACATGTATCATGTACATTTCAATTCAAGGGCAATAAGAGATATATTGATATTTTGATGAAGAAATTAAGCAACAAAGCTTGATTGATCATTACAGTGCTAAACATTGTTATTTGAATTGGACTGACAAAAACGCATTAAGCTTAAATGGAAAGAATACTTGGTTGTTTTGAGAGATATGTTATGTTTTGTACTCCAGTTCACTGCATTTTTTCGACTTGTCATGTGTTTAAAACATGGTTTGAGTTATCAAGGGTATAATTGTATAGAAATGGTCTAGAGGGAAACAAAAATTATGTTGAGTTAGTGTGAGGTTCGAGTTATCAAGAGTTTGAGCTACTGAGGGTAAAATTACAGAAAGTGTACGTTGGAAATCTACGGGAAATCGATTTTGGTTTGAGTTAGCGTGAGGTTCGAGTTAGCAAGGGTTCGAGTTATCGGGAGTCAACTGTACATGTAATACTTGGAAGACATAATAGTTTACGTGAAGCTGTGAATGACATAATAAAGTTTAGCGAAAAAAAAGATGTGTAATTAGTGATTTTATGCCAATTGAAACAGTTCCTTTAAGGAGCATCTGTCATGGAGTCATTGAAAGTAACCCATTCTCCTGGAGATTTTGCGAAAACGCGTTTTGAAGCTAGTAGTGGTTTTCTGGTCATTAAATAAAAAACAAAGTTTACAAGCCTTCTGATCCAGATGCAAAACAGTTCGAAGTTCGGGCAGGAGAAAGCAAAAGCAGTTTTTGGGTTTAAAATGACACAGCAGTCTTGACTTTTCCTTTCGCTTTCTCTCCTCCTCCCTTTTTTTCTTTTCTTGCCTCATTTTTTTTTTTTCTCTCGCTGGGCATTTAGTAGGCTTCATTTTGGTGGGAAGAGTTTTAGGAAAGCTTTTAGGATCTTAGGATTAGGTGAAAGGAAAGGTAGGTGGGTAATGGAACAAGATTTTCATGGAGATTTTCAGGTCCTTGTCACGTGGTTTTTCGCTTCTTTCTCCGGTGTCCTTGACTGAATTGTGCTCATTCTGGTATGGTTTGAAAGATCTCTTCACTCTGCACAAGTTAGCGGAGAAAGTTGTCCTTGACCGTTAAAACTGATGACGTCACAAAGGGTAGAAAGGACCTGGATCTGCACGGGCGGTTACGGGCGGTTCAGGGGCGAATGGGTTAAGCTGTCTCCCCCTTTTTCTTTTTGAAGGGACTTTCTTTTGGTTGGGAACATGTGTTTATTTTGAACCATGGTAAATGACGTGTGTGATCATGCAGTAAAATCACTTTCTTACTTCCCTTCGCTTTCGGTCAGTCTTCTAATAAATATATTCGTATGAGCTACATGTAAGTGCTAAAGTGGCCAGATAGCACAAAATGTAAAGTATTTTGGATTTAACAGTTAAAAACACTACACTTGTCAGTTGTCTGTGGTAAGTATTCATTTCTTTTGTTATGATCCATGCGTTAATTGCATGGCATTTTTCACGGAACTTAAGTTTGAAAAGTTGTACACTTTAAACCAAGATCTAATTTTTTGTTCCAATTGATGATTTCATGAAAGGAACTGCTTACAAGAGTTACTTGTCCTAGGTAAAATCCTGGTTTTCAGATTGTCAGTGAAACTTTTTTGAAAAGCTAGTTAAACGTGAAGTTCTGTTATATTGGGATTTTGTTTCTTATGTACTTAGGTTTCCAGTCACATTCAAGTCTTAGCAAGGAAAAAAGCACGGGAGATTCAAGGCAAACTTAAGGTTGGTTAATTTGTTGATTTGTGTTTAACACATGTAGGTTTCAAGTCACATACAAGTGTTGTCAAGGAGAAAATCCAGGGAAGTTCATGTGAAAATTAAGGTTTGTGAATAATTTGCAGTTATTAGTCGAGATCAGTAGTTAATTGTGAAGTTAGGCATGAATCCAGGCATGCTGCTGCAGAATATGGTCAGATTTTTGGAAATAAAAGGAGTTGGAGATGTAAAATTGATATATTCCTGGGAATGGATGTGACCAACCAAACTCTCTAGTTATACTGACTTTTTGTCGTTTTGAAGGAATAAGTATTTTTTGCTGGTAAGAAATTTGTTTTGTAGGCAAGCTTGTCACTTCCGTACTATATGTATGACATGGTGAGGTGATAACAGAGTTAGAGTAGCAGTGTAGTTAAGGCATTAAGCTTGGGTTACCACACTCTTGCAGTATAGTCAAACTTCTCAGGCATTTTTCATTCTGTTTAGTGGGATTTCAGTTACCATGGAGTGGGAACACAAGCAAGGATGGATAAAATAGTTAGTTAATGTAAAAATGGCTTCAGATTCTCATGTTGACCAGAATTCTTAATACACCCATACGTTAAGAGAGGGAGAGAAACGGCCCATAAACCCCACTGAGTTTTACCAATTTGAAAGGAAATCAAGGAATAATATGCCAAGTTTTTGCTCGCATGGTTCTGTTATTCCCTTGATTACGTACCTGGCTAACACTCTTTGAGGTACGGGTCATCTTTAGCCCTTTAGTTTAACCCACTCGCCCCTGAGCCGTCCTGAACCGCCTGTGCGGATCCACGTCCCTTCTACCGCTTGTGATGTCATCAGTTTCAAAGGTCAAAGACAACTTTGTCTGCTAACTTGTGAAGAGTGAAGAGATCTTTCAAACCATTCCAGAATGAGCCCAATTCAGTCAAGGACACCAGAGAAAATGGCAAAAAACCATGCAACATTGAGATGAAAATTTCCGTGAAATCTTGTTTCACTACCTCCCTACATTTCCTTTCACCTAATTCTAATATCCTAAAAGCTTTCCAAAAAACTTTTCCCACCAAAATGAAGCCTACTAAATGCCCAGCAAAAGAAAAAAAAATGAGGCAAGAAAAGCGAAAAAAGGGGGGAGGAGAGAAAGCGAAAAGTAAAAGTCAAATTGCTGTTTCACTTTTAAACCCCCAAAATTTTTGCTTTCTGCGCATGCCCGAACTTCACAAGCTTTTGCATCTGGATCAGGAGGTCGCAAAGTGTATAACCTGTAAATGGCTTTTTTTAAGATCTTTATAGCACGACAGCGACCAGACACCTGCCTGACTAGCTTCAAAGTGCATTTTTCAGCAAAATTTCCAGGGGCGAATGGGTTAATATGTTTGTACCCTTGGCTTTAAATAATTTGCATAGTACTGTTAATGTCATCTGACTTTTGACCTCGAGACTAGATTTCTTATGCAAGCGCTTTGCTTAGCTTTTAAAATTCTCTTTCGTTTGACCCTGGTGGAACCTCACAACTGTCTGTCTAGTGGTGAATTCTTGGTGATTCACATAGTAATCTACATTACACATTTTGATGTTTTCCTGGTACCTGTCAATTTTTTTTAAGAATTAAAAAACTCGTGATTATTATGTGTGGTTTTGAACTGTATTTTTAAAGAAAGGTCATGAAGTATGAGATGAAGATATTGTTCTGATGATGTGGTGAAGGAATCAAAGATGCAATAAGTCCTTGTAGTTTTCACAGAAGCCTCAATATTTTGTGTACTTTTATTTTATCACTCAGGATCAAGCGGCTCGTGATAAAGCTCTACAGACCATGGCTTCAATGTCATCTGCCCAGATTGTTTCAGCATCTGTTCTTCACAACAAAGCTTTAGCTGCTGCAGGAATTCCACCACAATTCAATAATGAAAACCAGGGCTATCAGGTATGTGATCTTCAAAACAATCATTTTTGTCCTTCGACTGTATTTTAGATCGGTATTTGGTCTTCCTTGTTCATTCTCAAAAACGCCCTGTTGCTGTAACTCCGTTTCCGTTTCCATCAATCCACGCCTTCCAACTCCTTCCTCCTCCACAACTTGGTACTTCCCTTAAGTACACAGAGCTTTCGGAACCCGTCTGGAACCATACATCAGTGCTGTCATGCAAGATGTTTGGCAGCCCTTGTAAGCATTTATACATGGCAATGGCAATGAACTGTGACCAGGGCTACAACTTTCCCCCAATTTATGCAAGAATTTTTCAGCCCACGTCCAAAACATGGCTGATGAAGGGATCTGGATGGGTTCCCTGTGCTCTGTGTGACTTTCAAGAAATTGTTGGTGATGAAGAATACTTCTCGGTTATTAACATGAATTATTCTTGTGTTTTCATTTTTGAGATCTCTAAATTTGTATTATTTTTTCTATAGTTGCCTTTATTTTATTATTTGTTTTACAGCAACAATACTGGCCTGCTGGAGCTGGTCAGCCAGTACCGGGCAGCTACAACAATGCATCACAGCCCCCATATGACAGTGCAGCAGTCCAAGCCACTGTTCCGGGAAGTGTTGTGTCAACGGCCTCAGTTTCTAGTCCCACTGGGGCTGCCGTCAATAGCCCTGATGACATGGTAAGTTCATACTGAGACACAATTTAATAGATCTTGTGAGAAAATAGCTAACAATGCCAACACTTGCCTGTGTGCAGACATCTCCTATTTCCTTTGTTGCACGCGGAAAAGGGACGTCTGCGTAACACTGTCGCTAATCGTGTGCCAACGTCCCACTGGGTTCCCAAGATCTTGGGAACATGCTCTGATAGGCTGACACACAGTGCGCATTGTTTGACATAACGCTGATTGGTTGTTATCGAATCTGGTCTGATAATGTTTGCGGTGATTTATGTAATCGGGGTTTTCCAGCCAAAACAAATCAAAACATGTGCCATTGTGTGCATACCGTTCGAAATCTTGTGCGAGGCCGCGGAAAATTTAATGTGTACGAGGAAATTGTTTCTTTACAATTTACTGTGCATAACAGATCACATCATATTTGTAAACAGTGTCTGAGAAAACTACAAAAGCAGCTTGGACTTCACACCAGGCAGGCATTTCGGAGAAAGCCAGCCAAAGAAACTAAAATCTTTATTTAGCCGTAACAAACAGAGGTCAAAGAAAATTCAAACACTTTACAACTGCATCTGAAATCAAATCCTACCAGGAACACCCACAGAAGCATAAACCACAGGAAATGACTGCTCAGTATGCATGTAACAAACCTGCTTCATGACCTCTAAATGTAAGACTTAGTGCGGCAAAAACGAGATTTACTCAGTCAAAGTTTAGAATGCTACATGCACTGTGTAGTGCTAGTAACCTTCGCGTGAGAGAGAAAAGAAGAAAAACCTCTGTTCAAGGAGACTCTCAAGGTCATGTTTCGCATTATCACGAGCTTATGATGTTGTGTTTGGCCTGTCAACTCTTATTTCTAACCGGATATTATTTCACAATTTATGCGAAATAGAATACCCTGTCAGCGGGACGCTGGAACACGATTAGCGACGGCGTTACGCAGACTCCCTTTTCCGCGTGCAACCAAGGAAATAGGAGACGTCTGCACGCAGGCAATGCCAACACTGGTTCCCCACACAATGATGTGGTAAGAATGAGTGCAGAAATTCCATACTGGTGGTATTGGTTGAAACAAATTTTTGGTGGATTGGTGGTAAACAAATTTCCATCCCGGCACGCCCAAACAGAAGTACCACCCGTATCCGGGTAGTGACAGGTTATCAGTATGGGATTTCTGCATTTGATAGTGTTTAATGGATGGTTAATAACCCTTTTTTGCCTCTTCAGAGGAGCAGTTCCTACAGAGGCACAGTGTCTTCCACACCACCAACATTTGCGGCTCATGGCAGTTCATCATGGCCACCAATAAAAACTCAATATGAACACCAGCTGGTATGTCTGGCTTTGTTAACATCATTAAACTCAGCTATACTGTAAACATTTCCAAATTCCAATTTTACCAGGAATCAGGTAGACGAAGAACCACTTAGTGGATGTGCTACTTCTTCTACATCATCATCATTATTATTATTAGTGAACTGCGATCTATAACGACAGCTACATGTATAGGCCCATTAACCTGTAAACAAAAAAATATATATCTGAATAAAGCCCCCCCTGATGTAAGTTCCCATCTCGCTTGTGTTGATATGAATTTGATTATGACATTTTGAAACTTGATTAAAAACCAATCAATGCAGAATGTCTTTTGATAGGCCCTCTGTTTGTAAGCCCTCTTAAATCCCTTATTAGCCCAGTGCTTATAGTAAGTGGCTGTTTATGGTAGGTTACATGTATGTTACATATCACCTATTCATATATTATCAGTTGCCTTGAATTCTGTACACATGATGAAAAAAAAAGTTGTAATAAGTTAACAAGAACTATTCCTGAAAGTGGAGAAAAAATAATGTTGCTCTTTGGTGTGAACAGATGTTGAAGCATATGGTGTGTCAATCTGCATTTGCCACATTGTACCTTTAAGGAAGCGTCCATTAGAATAATATTATTTCTAATCTTTTTGATCAGAAAGAGGAATCAACATCTCCAAAGTCCATTTCAATCAAAGTTAATGGTAGAAAAAACTTTGTGGATTTGAGTAAATTGCTGTTGATAATTTTAGTTAGATATATTTTGATGTCCATAATTATTTTCTTTTTTTTATCGTAGCCATTGCGGTTAGTTGAATTTTCAGCTTTCCTCGAGCAGCAAAGAATGGACCCGGAATCTGTAAGTAGATCTTCTTCCTATTCTGTCATTTTTTCTTTTACAATAATTTACAGTTATTATTACAGTTCAGTTGCAGTTCGTTAACAAGAAATGCAAAAAGAATGGTTAATAAAAATGCTCTGCAACGTCTTAAGAATATTGATGGTAATTTTAAAGATGACTGGATTTGGGATGTCTTTGGTAGTAGTACGTCTTCAAATTAATACCTGTACAAGTTATTTTATGGTTTGTGTGATGATTTTTCGGTGGTTTTGACTTCATAATTAATCAGGAATTCCATAAACTATTAGAAAAGTGGTTCAATTTAAATGTTGATGATGATGTATATTTTGTTTTCAGTACCACAAACATTTATTTGTTCACCTGGGTCCGAACACTGATTTAGGGGACCCACATCTTGAGGTAAGACTTGTACTAAATCCTGTGAAAGTTCTATCAGCTATAAATGGGCCATTTCCAAGTTGTTTGGGCCTCTGCTTCAAGGCAAGGCAAAGTGTGAAGCTATTGTTATGAAAACGATTTTTTATTTTCTTGCAAATAAATTTCATTTTCACATGGCCTTGTTTAAAAAGTGAGGGTTTTTGGGACTAAGAAATGGCCTGTTTTCACAAAACAGCATTGGAAATACGTAGTTGTTAATAATTATCTCTTATGGATTGACTGAACATGTACTAACATCACATTTTTTCCAAAACCAATTTTAGGCAGTTGATATCCGACAAATTTACGACAAATTTCCAGAAAAGAAGGGAGGCCTCAAAGAACTGTATGACAAAGGACCACAGCAAGTGTTTTTCTTGGTGAAGTTCTGGGTAAGCAATTGCGTATTCTGGCATAATCAGAATTTTTGTAGATTTTTAATTTGCCTGCAGTGTGCGACAAATGCAGACTGTAGACTTGGAGGCTGGCATGTATGGTCTTGTAAGTGAGGTACATACGTAAATGTTGTCATGAAATGTTGTCAAATTGATCCCCTCCTTAAGTTTTGAGAGCAATTTATAACATTGTTTACCTCGTTTACAGCTGTACCTGCCAGTCTTCAAGTCTGCAGTCTGCATTTGTTGCACAACGCTTTGGCTTGTGGATAAGAGGCATTTTACACTTAAATTGCTAGTTAAGTTAACAAGTTTGATTTTCTACAACATTTCATCCATTTTTTGTATCATTTTACAATCCTAGGCTGATCTCAACACGAACATTCATGATGGTGCGTTCTATGGTGTTTCAAGCACGTAAGTGATAGAAGTCATAATTCATACACTAACTAGTATATATAAACATAGCCTTGTTGCAATGCAATACATCCATATACAAGCGTAAAAGGGCACATTCAGGGAAAGGAACTGCAGCCAAAAAATAATGTGTTCCTATTGGGGATGTGTCGGTCAGCTATTTACCAATTTTTTCCTGTCCTTGTAACAGTCCCAGATGTCTTTGCAGAAATGCAAAGCTTAATATTGATCTCATGCAAGTAAAACTCATTTTCACAAGAAAGGTTTTTCACTTAACCTGGTTTTGAAAATGAGAGTTTTTGGAACTCAGAAATGGTCTATTTGAATGGTTTGTTAACCTACACTGCAAGCTTTTTTTTAAACTTTCTTAGCCAGAGACATTTCTCCTCTTTCCATTTAGAAATGTTTGTAGAATACAATTTATGTCAGCTCTACATGAGTAGCGAGACCCTAGATTTAAAACTGCTAATCAGTGAATTTTGGTAAAAGATTTTTAACTTATTCATTGCTTTCCTTCCAGGTATGAGTCTAATGAGAATATGACAATCACATGTTCCACTAAAGTTTGTTCCTTTGGAAAGCAAGTTGTGGAAAAAGTGGAGGTGAGATGACATTATTAATGGTTGAGCGACTAGGTTTATATTACATCTTGCTTGATTTTTGTAAGCATACCTACTGAATGTTTCAGCCATGATTTGACTGAAAAGAGACCAGTAGGGCAAAGGAAAAGGAGAAAAAAATTAGAGAGAGGAAAGGAGAAAAATCGATGGTTACACTCTTATTTTTATTTTGGCTGCTTCAGAGAAAAAACAACTGAACCTATTTTAGCAGTAATTATGTTATCAAAATCCAACTAGATATATTAGTAATGCATAAAACTTGCATTGCGCACATATTGAACACTTAATGACTGCATGGTTCTGAGGGAAATGTTCTCCGAGGCTGAGCTGAAGAAAACATAATTGAGATTCAAAAAAACAAATCAAACCAATTATTTCTCAAGCCATACCAGGGTTAGTCATCAGGTCATGTTATTATGTCCCACAAAGACAAACTTTTAGGTGTAGAATTTTCTGGAAGTAAATGTTAGCAGGCTGTTAAGATTTCCAAAACATTGCTCAGTTACCTTCTCATGTCATACATTTTGTAGTGTTGCCTGCTCAGAAACTACAAAAACTAGTCACTGATTGGCTTAGCTTGAGTGTTGGTTGTAACCCTTTTCATAATGATGTTGCTCTATATTAAAAGGACCTTTGGCCACTTGCAGTACGGAAAAGTGGATTGTTTAGCATTTTAGAGTTCCTGGTTGTCGTTGTTGAGACGGCCAATCTTTTTATGAGCTAAGATTTTTGGCAGGAAACAATTTTTTTTATATTAATGTTATGTGACCTTGAAGAAATCAATGAAAGCTCGTGTTGGGGAAACATATTCAGCTATACCAGAAACCCATGAGTTTCTGGCTATACCGCAGTTATAACCTTAAAATACAGTTATAACCTTAAAATATTTATAACAACTTGCCTAAGGTCTTTAAACTATATAATTATTTTATTTTCTCTTCTCCACAGACTGAGCTTGGCCATTACGAAAACAATCGTTTTGTCTACCAAATTCACAGATCACCAATGTGTGATTACATGATCAATTTTGTTCACAAGCTGAAGCAGTTACCTGAGAAGTATATGATGAACAGTGTACTCGAAAACTTCACCATACTACAGGTGTGTACATTGCTGTACATGCTGCTTATGGCACATGATCATACTGTTATCTTTTTATTGTCTGGATTTACTAATCTGCAAACAAACTGTCCAATTTGGAAACCAAAATTAAAGACAAGGTACCTGTTGATCTCCCATCTCTTTTTGTGTGCCTCTTGTGTGTGACCTCTCACATTAGGGAGCTTAAGCAATGACGACGGGTACATCATCAGTTTTACATGTAGGGGTTTTGTCGTTGTAGTTATTGAGTACAGAAGTTATTACAGATGGCAGGCGACAATAAGACTGTGTTAAGCAATTTTGGCCTTTCTGCTCTGTTTACTAGCATTATAAACAACATTTCAGTAGCAGCAGGTTGTTCTTTACAACTGGTAAGGCCAAACCCCGGGGGGGGCACTTGGGTATTTTTTGGGTGGGTATGTGCTGCCCGGGACTCCAAATTGGCATCCCGTTCTAAAAAAAAATTCCCCTAAAATTGATACCCCGTTCTAGAAATGGGCCAATTTTTTATACTCCGTTCTAGGGTGCAACAACAGTATAACAGTTTGCTTCGGTAACGCATTGAGCCGTATTTTTAAAAACAATCTGTTCTTGAATAATTTCAAATGGCTGCTGACAAAACTGGAGCTTTCATGCGTTCGAAATATTATACCCCGTTCTAGAAAATGCCTCTGAAATGGATACCCCTTTCTAAACCAGGAGCTTTAAAATCACGACCCTGTTGGGTGGCACATACCCGTATAGGTAATGTATGGGAGTAGCCCCCCCACCTCCCCCGGGGGCCAAACGCAATTGTTGGTGTATATTGTCATGATCACATATTGAATGACCTGTGGCAATTTTTGTCCCTTGTATTAGGATCTTCTTAGTGAAAGCAGTTTACATGGTGCTAGGATCTTCCTACCTCTCAGCTATGCAGATCCTAGCTGTACTAAGAAGATCCTAGCACTTAGGGACAAGTACAACCCTTTGTACTATGTAAACTGAATACAGAAAACATATGGCTGCAGGATTAAGTATGCACCTTCTAGGATCTTCCTGGTGCTATAGACTTACACTTTAGCCCCTTTAGCTAATTGTTATTGTTTACTGTAGGTTCTGACCAACAGAGAAACCCAGGAGACATTACTGTGTCTGGCTTTTGTGTTTGAAGTGTCTACCAGTGAACACGGAGCACAGCATCACATTTACCGACTAGTAAAAGACTAATCCTCCAATAGAACAGATACTTGACCTGCTATCTATTCAATGTTTACAGTGTCAAATATAATCATATGCAGCTGTCACTAATTTGGTGGAGACCACACAACAACTTCGAGTTCCCTCCCTATGCACGCATTTTTAGCTCAGGTTAATAACAAATACAGATAAACTTATGTGATTAAATCTTAAATGGTGGCCGATGTCACTTAGGTAGATGCAAATGTGCCTACAAATTATCTTATAGTGCAGATCTTGTAAAAAAGAATCATACACTCTACATTTTGACCTTGTACTTGTAAAATTTACAAATTAGTGAGTAAGTGTTTCTCTAGTTCTCCTTTTACTATTAAAGCTTTAGCACTTCTTTAGTCTTCGCTGTTAAATAATGTATAGTGGAATATTGTTACAGTTTTAACTGCTGTTGGTCACATAGACTTTAATATTATTATTCTAAAAAAAATGAACAAAACGGGAAAGAATTAATGTAAAGCTGTTTCATGGCAAGTATTTTTTCAAATGAAGATTTTTACAAGTTAAACAGTGCAGCTTGACTGTGCCAAACATATCTTGCTTCACTTGTGGAGCTTAAGTATAACAATGCATAGAGGGTACATATGGGTTTTATCCCCTTCTTTTGTACTTGGCTATGCTCTTATAAAGCCTCATCTCACAGATAATCACCATGTACACACATACCTCGTTGCTAATACTGAGAGCAAGGTCATTCTAGGTCTTGGAGAGGCCATACGTGTAATAAAGAATCTATACATTTGTGGAAAACTGGTATCAACTGAGGTTTAAAGCTACTTAGTTAACTGATGATATGTAGAACTAGTCTTACATATGAATTTTTTCTCATGTAAATAAGCAAGGGCCTTTAAGTGGTCTGTTTCCTATCTATTCTTTGTTCTACTTCCCTTAAATGTCTCTGATCAAAACAGTTAGTAAAAAGAGAAATATCTCTCAAGTTACATAACAAAGAACAGCTATTTTTTGACTTACAGAAAGCAAGAAAAAAAAGAATTTTGGTGTCACCTTGAAGCAACTCTTTGTAATGAAACGTCCCTTTGCAGCACTGTTTTTGCAATTCTTGCCCATAATGCTTGTGACAATTTACTTGCAAAAAATGCCATTCCTTTGATGGTTGCCATCCCAATTCAGGACGCATGCGAAGGGGGTGGGGAAAGTTCCTGTTTCCCACGAACCTGGCTTTAGTATATAACCAAAGAGAAAACGTTTTTAAGGTGTGAATGCTGTTTAATAAGAACTAATCGCTCTGTTCCTTTCCTAAAACTACAAGGAGCTGTGTCACGAAATTTATTGAAATTCAAACTGTAGGAACTGCCACTAAATTGAGTGCAATATGAAAACAACCACATGAAATGTTAAAAAAGGTATAAACACCATAAATAACACAGAGGGAAGCAAGGATGGAAAAACTTGAAGAAGATTGAAACGGATTGCAATAATAGAGGTTTTTGAAAAATTGTTAGCCTAACAGTTTTTCAAGGTTCATTTTTCTTTTTTGTAGCGTTTGATATAATTCTAGGGAGACATATTTGTAGGACGCAAAGCTGTGATTTTGTCATTCACAAGTAAGTGAATAACGACAAGTAATAACAAAATGAACCACCCAGTCGTGGCACAGCCTCTTAAACTCCAGGACATGAACAGTGTTGATGTTTCTTAGTTTTCAAAAAACTTCAAATCAAGGCTGTTCATAAATTGACTGTCTGTGAGTTTTAGTGTAGGTTACTTCAAGATTAAGGCACCATATTTTTGTACTGTCATTGGTGAAGTAGCAGCAGTCCCTGTTGTGAATGATAAAAAGCCTTTCAAAGTAAATAAATAATATAGTGGTTAAGTGGAGGTTTTTACCAATATTATTAAATGAGTAATTTTGTTATTGTTAACAAAGTAATGTATCATACGAACTATACGTTATAAATATATATATTGGACATAAAGTATTTCTTTCCTTTAATTATGTGTCTTTATTTTGGGTGGGTTAGGGAAACAGTCAAAAGGTTTGAAATCTAATAAATTGTATTTTGGAGTGGCCTGTTTCACTTCCGGGCTCCAAAATAGTGGTGCAGTTTAGTCGCGCAGTAATAAGTGATGGCTTGTTCCCTACTGAGAACCTGGCACAGGTTAATTTTGGAGAGGAATCACCCTTCTGAAAAATTCGAACCCCATGTCACTCAAAAAATGTGACTTAATGGAAAAGAAACTATTCTTCCATACTGATTCTGCGATAGTCGAAGCCTAAAAAGTGAAAAATAAAGTGGCAATAAAAAGATGGTTTTCCTTGGGCACGATCCATTCAACCAAAATTTCGATCGGGAAAATTGGTCCATTTTTTTTCGAAACTTTTCCAGTTGGACGGAACCTATCCATCGAGTTTTGGACCGAAACTTCCGGAAATTTTGGTTGAGTGGATCGCGCCCCTTGTATCCATACTATTTAAGAAAGTGAGCAGGGCGCTTTAGTATTATGCTTATTCGAGGAAATACGGTATCTAAAATACTGTATTTGGGTGAACTATGATTTTGCCAATTACAAGTATAAGGGGAAGTCAGCAGGACAAAACCAAACTAAACCAAATTGACTAGACAGTGGTGTACGGGATGGGTATCCTGTTGTGGACAATTCATTGGTCTGAAAAATGCCGCACTTTGAACTCTGTAATGTGGACACTTGGATCTGTCCCTTTCACTGGGCCTGGTTAGCATAGCATAGGTCAAACAATAAGACAAAAATAGGTACAGGGAAAAATACACAATAATGCATACAGGCACCTGATGTAGGCATGTGTCCTCATGTAACTGCTTTTCAGGGTTGAAACAAAAAAGCATTTAATAGAAACATATATTACAAATGCTTCCTTTTCCATGTTGATGATAATTTTATAAAGCAATGTTTCTCCTCTTATTTCTGCTTACACAGTTCCTTTTCTCTGCAAAACTCATGCAGTAGAAACAACATTTAAATATTAAATATTACGTTTTTTTTACAGAATGACCTCTTTTTAATGGCAAAAATATAAATTATTGGACTCACAGCAAGTGCAGAAAAATAGCTTGTCCATTTTTCTTGATTTGGCATTATAGAGTTGGACTTAGCATAAAGAGCAGAGATCAACTGATTTTCTGGTTGCTAGGCTTGATGGGAGAGGCCTCGCAAAAAGAGTCCTGTCTGGTCATCCAGGACAAGTAGATTAAGATGGAATCCATCAGAAAATTGAGTAATTTTAAGTTTTATTGGATGAAAACCTTGTACCAGAATAATTTAAGGATTATTGGATTCTTTTTTTTACACTTTTCAAGGGTTATAGATGTAATTAGTTATATGTAATAACCCCAAAGAAAGTTTCTTGTGGGAACCCGAGAAAATTAATGTCAAACTTTACAAAATGACATCTTGCACATGAAATTTTCAGAATTTTACCTGTGTTTTCACAATTCTTGTAAAATTTGACATTCATTTTCTTGGGCTCCCATAAGAAATTTTTTTTGGTGTTATTAGAGATAACTAATTACATCTCTAACTCTTGAAAAATGTAACAAAGAATGCAATATCCTTTAAATTATACTGGTACAAGGTTTTTGTCCACTGAAAATTAAAGTTACTCAATTTCCTGGCGGATTTCATCTTAAATCTGCTATAGCCTAGCTAGAAAGTTTGTCTTTATGCTTGCCCAACGGGCAAGGGTCTAAGCATGTCATCTTCTAACTAAATCATTAACTAAGACAAGCAAGAAGTGGCCTCGGGCCAGCAAAATGTGAGGGCTGCTTGCACAAAGGACAAGCTAGCCTCCCAAGCAGACGTTCTTAGGGGTTCATCATGCATTCCTGCCCCAGGAACGCGTGACGAACCCCTAAGAACATCTGCGTGGTAGGCTAAGGACAAGCTGCATCAAGTTTTTTTCAAGCCCTGTGTGAGCAAGCTGTTTGGGGGTGGGGGAAGAAAAAGAGCATTTTCTCCCCACCCTACCCACCAGACAGCTTGCTCGCAGGTTACTACTGAGTGTTGCATGAAGTCATAAAAACGAGATTCAAGTTACTTACGAGTTGTATGAGTTGTAAAATAATGTTTACCATTTGTGCGATTGTCTTAAGTGATGACTGTGATATGTTGTGCCACTTGAACAGGGCTATTAGAAGTGTCGCTGATCATGAGATGCAGTTTAACCAACACTTCATAATTATTACTTTCCTAAAATCTATTTCAAAAGGCTTTTCTCACAACTTGTACCATTTGTAAGAGTTGTAGCGTTTGAATCAAGACTTTTATGACTTGTACAAGTGGTGAGTATTGGACATTACCTTCAAGGAATAAACAAAATATTTTTTGTCTCCGTATTGTACAACATTATGCAGCTTTCAACATCCAACAATGCTGTTACATGTGTACAATTTTTGTACGATTTCAAAACATATTACCATACTGTATTGTAACCACTTTTGCCAAAAGGGGTCTGTGTACTGTATTGAAAAATCTCTCCTTAGCTCTGCTGTGTTTTAGATGCTGCAATGCTGAATATAGTGCATGCTCAAGGAAAAATAAATAACCAAAATGTTATCAATTTTCCAACCTAGAAGTGGTCTTTTGTGTCTTTTAGATGGTCTGCATTATGCAAATAGAAACATGTAACAAACTCGATCACTTTTGTCTGTTCATTTAAATTAATCTGAAATTTTGAAACCCCAGTGTTTGGGGAGACTGCTCCAATTCTGGGTTTCTCCAGGAACTTTGTAGGAAATTTCTCAGCTATGTAGTAGAGTAACTCTCGTATAGCTCCACCATGACTAACAACAAGAAGGTTAGCCACACAGGCTGATTTTTGTCCCTTGTGAATCCCCTCTTCTGAGGTTGGTAGACAATTTTGATTCTCAGTTTGATGACCAGGATGATTCTGGGTTTCACAAGTGTTGCAGCTACTGTCATTGAATGAATTTCCAATATGATCAATCATGGAATCAAAGAACGTTCCAACTCTTCTTCTCACTTGGTCAAGTGTTTCAGCTCCCTCAGGAACAAAATCACGTGGTTTTGCACTAAATTTTGCTGCCATTTGAAGAAACTCTGGCTTTGAGCATCCTTCAGCTGCACCATAACACTAAACAATCACAAGGAAACTGTTTGAAAATATACATCAACAACCTCAATGTCAACAAGAAACTTGGCTAAACTCCATACAGATTAAATAAATACTTTATAATGCATGTAAGTAAGGACTATGTGCCAAAAAGGGAAAACAAGACACCCTTTAATACCACTACCTAACCGTTCTTTCAGAATGTGGCGTTACATTGTAACTTCTTTGACTAGTGACTGGTCATTCAACACAAGCCATATCAAACATATGAGCAACAAAAATTATTATTAGTCTCGCTTGCGTAAGCAGCAAGACACATGACCTGCAACAAGTTTTTCGCCCCATGGGGTAGTCCTTATATAGGCTACATAGGTATGTGCCGTGCCTAAGGGTATGTTTTTTTTAGCTGTTTTGGTCTGAAACAGGGTATCAATTTCGACCATTTTGGTCTGAAATAGGGTATGGTTTGTGCACTCTAGTCTTGAGTTGGGAATGTTTTAGAAGAATTAGCTACTTCTTCATCATTTGGTGATAAGACCATTTCTGTTTTAATGTTTATGCCAACTACCGTGTACGTGCTGGCTACAGCTTGTCACATGCTCCGGTCATGTGCTGGGCTACAGGACTTCAGGTCTGAAATAGGGTAGGCAAAATCACAGATTTTGGTCTGAAATAGGGTAAGGGTTTCAGGAAGCGCAGTGTGCAAGGAAAGTCATGTCTGATAGCCCGGGGCTAGTGGATTTTGCTATCGGGCTAGTGATTTTTGTCCTTAACTTGCCTGATGGGCGAGTGCTGTTTTTTGGGGAAATTCAAATTACAGAAGGATTGTAATCAATCCTGCTAATCAGAAAGGGTATGTATTTGGTTGTTTTTTTTTGGGACACAAAAGGCAGGTCATTTTGCCAGGTGTTCCCTGCCGAGACTGAGGAAACTGGGACTAAAAATCGTTGCGTGATCGAAGCCACACATGTTTTGCAAAGAAAGCTTAGAAAAGATTAAATTAATTTAGAGCTTTTCCAAAACGTATCGGTCCACGAATTCTATCACTTGAAAGCGTTGATTACTTTGGAGCAAGTGAACACTACTGAGTGGTAAAAAAAATAAGAATCTTAATTAGCAAAATTGCCATGGTCTGGTGTTGTAAACTTTCACGGTATGCAAATGAGTGTTGTGATGAGGATGCGATCTATTTTCGGTGATGATTGAAATGATGTGCCATGTAAATCACTTTTTCGATCTCTGCATGGCAATGATGCAATTTCTCTGGAATCGAGGCCCTTGAATTTTTGTGTATTTATACATGTGTATAGCCTGCAACCGCAGGGGTATTGTGTACTAAGTCAATTCAGAAACAAATAAAAGTATTGACGTTGATAAAGTAGAAAGTAAAGAAACTTAAGCGAGTAAACCATGTTTCTTGTAGAATTAATCGCCTCCTCATTTCTCGATCTAGTCTCCAAGCAGGAGAGACCTGAATGCCGCTGTAAGCGCATTCTTGTTTTATCTACTGGTACGTTCATCCACCGCGACACATTACCGCACCCTAGCCTGTAGCACTCCATCTGTTGCAAGACCTATATTATGCCACTGTGACACTGCACTATTTTTAAGCAATATACCACACTTTCTGTGGGTTTACCGCCATGATAACCTACGAGGGATGTTGGGAGAACACGAGAAAAGCTTGTAGATGATGAGCTGAAGGAGAGTGATTTGAGCTTTTTGAGTGTTCTCCCAGCATCCCAAGTGGGTTATTACGCTGTTAAACCCATAGAAAGTGTGGTCTGCTACTTTTATAAAGTAACTTTAAGTTTTCTATGAGTTTAGCGGCACAATAAACTTAGGTTTTTAAACAATCAGAGCGCTCATACTATCTTAGTTATTTTATAAAAGACCATAATTATGTCTCACTAATGTCATATCACTCCATATCAATATACCAATGTGTCACAACACTCCAATTTGTCACAGCACTGCCTACCACTTCTTGGGTCATACTGTGTATGTCACACAACTCTGTGCAACAGTCTACTTGTGTCACATTTAGACAAGTTACATTATTCTGTTACACAACACTCTATGTGACACAAATTGCATCCAGCTATTAGTGTTATACCCCTTTGTCATCACACCACTTTGACAAGCTCTATTTTCCTATGACGTCTAAGAAGCTTGTATTATTGCAATTATTAATGTAAGACAAATGATAATTTTGTACTTACTCGTTCTCTAAGATGAGAGTCCTGCTCAATTTTCAAGTGAGAACAGAAATTACTTTTTCTGATAATCTCCTCTGCAGTCTAAGAAATACAAGGATCTAAATCAACTTTTATTTGACACTAAGGGTCACTGGCAATTACATGTAACTCCAAATTGAAAGGGAGTGTGAAAAAAAAGTAAATAAAATAATGTATATACATTTAAAGATAATGCATCATTAGTACATGTAAATTGAGGAATGTAACAGTGACGAAGTACTTTTTTAATTTCTAATTTTTTTCTCCAACTGTTTGGCAGTACACCCACATAATTTATATGATATGAAACTTACATTCCGTGCCCTTGATAAATCACTGGAGAAAATGTGTGAGAACTGCTCATCTTGCAGTTTGGTACCAACCAGCTGGGCTTGTTCAATTCCTTCCTCCGACAAAAAAGTATCTATTTGTCCTACAATTTTAATACAATTAAACCAGTGATTTAATAAATGCAAACATAATTATGGTGAAGACTGTCTCAATGAGTGTATAAGTTACAGATGAAGTAAAAATGTGGTCTACAACTGACCACATGCACAGTTATAAATTATAATTGTCTTTTTTTATACAATTACAATACAGGGGAAACATTAGTTTTCTCTTGGGACGGTACACTCCTCTTTTCCTTAAGAAGAATGCCATTCCTTTTGCAATGTGTCTAAATTAATATAATTACCATTAGTGTTAATTGAACACACATTTCTGAAATAATTAAAATTTGTACCAGCATTTTTTTTTAATTTGCAAAGCACAATCAGTGCTACACCAATTTTTCACTCGGGCCAATTAATGGCGTGAAGAGCCCTTAAAAATATCTTTAAGTCTATAGATGGAGAAATTAAAACACTGTGTTTTTACCTTGAAATATGTCATTCTTGTTTTCTGGAGTTTGACCACTGCATGAGAAAATTACAGACAACAACTTATTGGTAGTTAAAATTACAAATTTTGTCAAGAGAAAGCTTTACTGTTAAACTATTAAAGAACACTGTGATCACTTGATTGGAGAGAAACATTCCAAAAATGTTTATTGTCTTATAAACAGTCACAGCTAAGATCAGGCTGGTGATATTGCAAGCAAGCCACAAAGCCACAAGCTAATAAACTTTGCTGCTTGTGGTTTAGTTTCTTATGCCTGATTGCTTTTCCTTGCAACACAATAACATTCCAGAAATATTTCTGGAGTTCACGGTTTTCTGAATTTCCCATTAAAGAGAGAAAGGGCAAAGCAATGCTTCAATGATTTTGTCTAATTTCAACCAAAATGATGACGGATACATTATCCAACAGAGTTGAAAAAAGGAACTCATTATTAAAAAGGTTGAAATTTCTGTTTGCTTGTCATGCTAAAAACCTGAACGTTCAAGCATCATTTCACAAAGAAAACAGAAACAATAATGGAAGAGCTCTTTGCAAAAATGTACTTGTGATAATTTGATAATTTTGGAAAGTGATAAAAATTATTATTATTATTATTATTATACAATTTGCTAGAAATTATAACAGTAGTTGGTTTACGTGCCATTTCGTTGAAAAACACAGGCAGCAATAGCCCCCTCCCTCCTCCCCTAGGAAAAAAGAAGCCCTTACCCCCTCTCTCCCAGACACTTGTTCATTGTTGATTGAGGTCAAATGTATTGATCAAACAGGGTTTAGCTTGAGTTTGGATTCACTTCAGAAAGCTGCATGTATTCTATGACATTGAAAAAAGGGGGGAGGGGCTTACATCTCCAGTGTAGTGCAAAAAAAGGACAGGCAATGAAGTGGCGGTATAGAAATGACTAATCTCCCTTTCAGTTAGATATTGCACAGCATATGCGATATAATGGCCTTATGGATCACTCAATGGAGTTACTAGCAAACAGGGATGTTCATATCATTATAATACAAGCAATAGAGACATGCTTAGACTACCCTAGACTGTCCTTCGTTCCTCATTTCCGGTTCGGTAGTTGGCCCCAGCGCGAAGGACTTTTATCCCCTACAGCAAGCCAAATTCACAGGAGGAATTTTCCTCCTGTAGGTTTTATCCAATCATGAATGGTTTTACTGATGCGCCGTCAATCAAACCCGATCACGCCACATGAAATGTAACTTGAACTGTTTTGTTCCAAATACAAAGCTTTAGTGGGCGTTTTATCTTCCTCCATTTGAGTACTTCACCAAGGTCTGATTTTTCTGGCAGGCATGGAGTGGAAAAAAACATTAACGAACTTGTTTTGTTTCAAACGCGCACACTACAAAGTTTTGATATTTTTTACGTTTTCTTTCATGGCATATGGAAACCTTGCAATGAGCCTGAAACGTCTGGAGAGTGAGCTCACAAATGTCACAAGATGGCACCTGTTTTTCATATTGAGCATTCCTTTATTTACTTTCTCTTGTCCGAATTTTTTCCGTTATTTGTTTGTTTTGACAAACTTTGACAGCTCGCGAAGATACACGCACACGACAACACCTGCGACAGGAACGTAAATACTTTACGCCAAAATGACGTCACTTGATGCTATTTTTTGCAGGGGAAACAAGTCGAGCTTTCACTCTCTTGCTTGCTTTCGCCGCAAAAAACATAGGAAAATATACCACTTGCACTTTGTGCTCATGAAAAAATTTGAGCTCGACTTGTAGGCAAGTCTAAGACTACCCCTGAAACCAAAAACTGGGGTGAACAGAGAGTGTGTTATCACTCTCTGAAAGATTGGAATAATCTAGACAAAGACATTAGAAATGCACGTGACATTGTGAATTTTAAGCATAGCACTTTTAGCAGCTTTTTTCTTTAATGCTTTTTGTATTTCAATTGTAGCTTTTTATCAGTTTTTAATTTAGTACTTATATATACATTTATTTCTAGGTATCTTTCATTTTACTGTATATAGTCTAATTTTGTACTTTTAATCATAGTTAATTGAGTGGAATGGTTATGAAACCCGTCAGACTCCTTTATGTTTTTGTGGACCTGAAAGCACACAGCATTCAAAAGCATTCCTTTGATTTTACTTGTATTGACCAACAAAAATGTTGCATGAATTTATTCTGTAACAATTTGCCAACAGAAAACAAAGGATTGACTTTCAGGGTGCTTCCAACATAAACTGCAGCAGTGTTGTTTTTATCATTGATGTTTGCTGCTTTTCATAACCATTCTCCTCTAATACCGTATTTATTTTTATATTAAATTTTTTGATGTTTGCTGCTTATTTTCTTATTAAAACCATTCTCAAGTGAAGTATGTTTATTTTGCAACAAAACAATAAATGGTAGCAACAAAAAGCGGAGAAGTAACAAAACAATGCTTTTAAAATAATCTGAAGAAAAAGTTAGGGACTTATTATCTTTTATTGGAGTTTTGTGGGAAAACCACATGCAGTGATTTGATGAAAGTTTCCTTATTATTAAAAATTAGGATTGATGATGAAAGTTTCCTATTATTATTTTTATTATTATCATTATAAGAAAGCAAAGAGTCAATCAAAGTAAACTCACGATACAATTAGCCCATTATAAAAACTAAAAGTGTGACAACTGCTTTTTTCTCTCCTTCTTCTTTTCTCTTTGCTCCTTCTTTTTTGCATCTCCTTATCCTTCTGTGTTGTGATGTCTGGGTTTGTCAGAAGCTCCAAAATTGAGTTTCGGTTTTATTTTAGGCAAATGGTAGCAGTTTTTACTGATTAGTAGGCTAATAGAGTCTGCTAGAAGATTTCATATGTTGATCATTGGCTTGATTAGATTTTTGCAGTTAACATATTTTTTGAAAAAACTTTATTGCACAGTTTCCAAATTATTTGCTCACATTTTGTTCAAGTAGACCAAAATATTTACAAAAATGCCAACAACAGCACCTCAATGTATGCTAATCAAATCCTTCTTTCTCAAGTTCTGGCAATCAGTTAAAGCTATCTCCATGATTGAAACTGAAAATTGCAATTCATTCAAAAACGCTTCATTTTCTAAAGAAAATGTCCAAGCATTGAGATTTTCCAGTTTTCGCTGTATTTCTAACCATAATATATAGATTTAGCCAGCGCTACAAGCGAAGCTCTCGATAATATTAATTTGTAGTTTGCTCAAACAAAATATAAAATCCTGTAATGCCAAGCGCCAATGCAACGAGAACGGTAAAAAAACAGCAATAGGTCTAATTAGCTCAAAAACAATTTCGCATGTGCAGCACACTTTTTTGTACATTTGTTTGCCATTGTTTAGGACGACTACAAGTTGAAACTTCCAGAAACTTCCTGGTTACCCATTTTATGGAGAAAATGTCGTATGTGTCCATGTACACTTTTTTTTTCATGTCCCTCATTTTCACCCTGGTGGATGCAAGCATTTTTCATTTTCTCACCACAACTATAAAATTTCATGTTCTTCCCCCAACCAAAAATGTCTCCTTTGTTTTTTCTCTCTTGCTCTAGCTCTTTTTCTGTTGCCCTACTATCTCTTTTTCTCTGTCTACCTCTTTTTCTATATTCCAAATTTGTGGGCATGACAATTTTATTGAACTAAGCTTAATACTTTAGACAACACGAATACAGAAAATTTTTCCTTTTTCTTTTTTCGTCTTTATTGACTCTTTAGTTGTCTTTGCTTCACAAGGCGCAGGTGGCCATACCCTTTCCTGCCTAGCCTGTTCCAGGCTCGAAGATAGTGGGGAAGACGTGAAAGTAAAAGGCACACGAAAAGTTGACGAGGCCAGAAAAAGGAAAATGGAAATGAGAGAGAGCCTGTAATCATTTCTTTTACGACCCTCTTCTGCCCACTTTTGGCGCATTTGAGATGATCATATTTTGGCTGTAAAACTGTCGTAGCTAGTTCTTCTAAAGAGATCCTGAGGTAATGTGAGTCTGGACGGGAGTGTGTAGATAACTCCTTCCTGCGACTGTTCTGTTGTTGCCACTTTGTTATCAGGCAAGACCAAAGCCAGGCAGCAGGATTGCAAAAACATTTTTTCTACGCGCCAAGTTCACAAGGAAAGTCTTCTGTTCCTTCCTCAGCACTCCTATGTGTGGGAAATCTCGTAAACATTTGTTCAACACAGAAGTTATAGTGGATTCCACTATTTCACTTGTGTGGATGTTGCATACCATCTTTCTGATTGAGGGGAACGCCCTGCTTTGAGAGTGTCTATATAATTTAGCAAATCTGACCAATCAGAGGGTATAACAGGAGCTGGTATACCGGAATGGGTTGTTTAAAGAAATGATTACAGGCTTCGCCACCCCTTCTCTCCCCAGTTTCCTCACATTTTATTTTCGTGTTTGTGCTTTCTAAATTCAGCGGGCCCGAATATCTCAGAGCCTGCAACAGGCTATTTCCCACCAAACTGATAACCTGACATTTAACATTGGCTTACATGTAGTGGATGTATGGATGGTCATTCAGGCATACTTTACGTCATAACCAAATTTCCTTGCTTTCATGGGTTTCCAATTTGTCTTACCCATGGTGCTCCGCTGCGCGCGCTTTGCACATGCAAGGGCTCTGCTAAAAACATCATCGCAAAATGTTTGAAAACACTCATATTTTGCTCAAACTTCTTGGACACTGGGGCAGGGACTGGAGGAACAAACTCTCAAGAGGAATTGTGAAAAAATCTCCCAGTGCCAAAAAATATGGCTGCAAGTAAATATATAATGACTTCATTTTGTTGCTATAATGACTCTGATGTCAACATTATACTGTTCATGATAAATTTTCATCTTTGTCTAATAAAGTTGTGGAATTCATTTCTCCAGGGCATATCTTTGTTAATAGCGACATAGTTAATGCTCAAACTTGGGAGGTATTGGCCTGAAAAAAATCCAATCCAGCCTCCTTAAGTTGTCCATTTTAGATTTTGGAAGCTATATTTTCATAAATCCAACCTGGCCAATCTTGCAAAAATAAAACTATTATTTGATTTTAGCACACAACATTTCAGGTCAATGGGTCTTGGACTTGCTTGTCTTAGAAAATCAGTCAGCCAGATTTTTGAAAATACCACTTGTAGAGTGCAAAATCGTGGCCATCCACTTTTTCTTGTTGAAACACAATCTCACTACATGTCAAAGTGGCTAATATGAGAGGGCAACCATTTTCCCCCTGCCCTCCCCACCTCCTTTTATAGATACTACTATCTACATGAGCTTTTTATTAGCTTCACGGATTTTACCATAACTTTGATTGGATATTTCCCCCGTTCTCAGTGCAACTGCTATTAAAGTTTCAGAAACACTGAAACTCAACAGTGACTCAAGCAGCTTTAAGCTTAAACTAAACCAAAATACTCAAGCCTAACAGAGACAATATGGGGTGCATTCTTTATAGAGTGAAAATTATCCCTCTGCGCTGAACAGTCATATATGCAAGGATGATAAAACTATTAAACTTATCCTCTTGGTAAGGATCACACAATCTCCTTGGATGCAAGCTGAAACCATTTATGGGTTAAAAAATTAAACGTAAGCTTACTTGAGCTCATAATGCTTTCGTATTTTATAATGTAATACCGCCTTTTAAAATGAGTTCGCCGGTCGTTTTGCCCTCTTTAACGGTAAACCCTCTTTGTAATTTAGCATATACAGTTTCTAAAATAGAACAAAAGAAAAAAACAACTCACTTACTGTCTGACAAGAAATAGAAGAATGTAAGGACCTCCTCTATCTTGTACGCCGTTTACAGCCGCCATTTCACCGGTGCTGGGTGAGACACAACACCGCACAGGCTACCCAGACCCAGACCGACCCTAGACGCCTCGGCCGACCGCGAGGAGTCTGAGAAAGAGAAGAGGAGAAAAAAAAGTCCTCTTTTCCCTCCCCATTCTTTCTCTTAGGCTACCTCAGCTCAGACTTACAGTATGAAAGATAAAGTTATACCTCTCTTTCTACTTTGAGTGATCTGAACTTAGTCAACAGTGAAAATATGCATGATGGCTGTAATTGCACCTCTTTCTTCATTCTAAAACCTTCTTCTGCGAGGAGGCCCCGGATGAAAGGGGTTCCTTTTTCTTTCTCAGGCTTCAGGAATATAAGAGGATAGGGAATTCACTAGTTGAAGTATATGAAAGGGTAGGGAATCTGTCATTTCAATATGTAAAAATGCTCAAAGGGCTAACAAATGCATTTCATGGCTTTGAAAAATTCAAGAAAACGTTCTGGTTTTGTGATTTATTCACATTTAAAAGATTCTGCATTTACAGCAGTTAACAGGGATGCAAAGTTCTAAACTAGGTAGGTGAAAGGGGTACAATTTGGCAATAGAAGGTTTACTAAAGGGGAACCTTTTCTGTAATAAAATGGTATAAAGAAGGGTATGGGGTAGGTACTTGGGCGGATCCCCCACTTATAACTTTTTGAGTGATTTGATCTGTGGGTTTGATTACCAGCCATGGCTTTGAAAATGGGAACATGCACCCTCCTTGAAAAAGTCTCTTCTCTGGGTGGAGTGAGGAGACTAAAGAAATTACTGGTAACTTTTTCAGGCTTCCAGAAGCTGATTAATGGGCTCCCGGTAACAGTGCTAACAGATCCATTTTATGGTTAATTCTGGTTTTGTGGTTTGCAGTTAAGAGGAATGTAAAGTTCTCAATGAGGGATGTGAAAGCCAAGGGGCACCATTTGTCAACAGAGAGTATACAAAAGGGATACCTTTTCTGTCATAAAATGGTATATAAGAGGGTGAGTCTCCCTGTATAAAGGATTGTTGAGTTCTTCCCACGACCCTCCCCCCCAGGTAAATTTTAAATTATTGATCTGTCGGTAGGGACCTGGGGGGTCGGGGTGGGAGAAATTGACAATTGAAGTGATTGGAAATAGGGACTATAAGCTCCTTCTCCTCACTTGATGGGAAATGAAGCCAGACGAACCTGTGAATCTGTCATGTGGAACCCGTTATTGAGCTAGCCAGCTGGCAGTTAATGGGAACTGGGGGGTATTGTCACAAGCACAGTCATTATTTTTGATTACTTGATGCTCATGTCTGTACCTGCGCTATCCTGTTCTAACACATTTTATGCCCACTGTTCTTGGCAAACAAAACAACCTAAAAGCTCAGTATTAAAGAATGAATAATTTACATGGGACGTTTTTGAAACCATATTCAATAATCTAGCACACTTGGCAAAATCTTGCAGTCTAAACTTGGTAATGCTTATTTATTTTTAAACTATAGATAAAAACCTAACTCCCATGATAATAAACTTTTTCAAACCATCAAAATAAAGTACATGGTTTACTGTCATATACAGTGTTCTTGGTAAACAAAACAACCCAAAATTGCAGTATTAATAAAATAATGAATATTTTACAAAGAAAGTTTTTGAAGCCATATTCAATAATCTAGCACACTTGGCAAAATCTTGTAGTCTAAACTTGGACTCACCTCTTTATTTTTAAACTATAGATATAAAAATCTAACTCCCATGATAATAAACTTTGTCAATCCATCAAAATAAAGTACATGGTTTACCGAGATAAACAACGTTCTTGACAAACAAAACAAACCAAAATCGTAGTATTAATAAAAGAATGAATAATCTACATAGGAAGTTTTTGACGCCATATTCAATAATCTAGCACACTTGGCAAAATCTTTTAGTCAAAACTTGGTAATGTTTCTTTATTTTTAAACTATAGATAAAAACCTAACTCCCATGATAACAGACTTTGTCAAACCATCAAAATAAAGTACATGGTTTCCTGAGATAAACAATCCTGTCACCTACATTACACCTTAAGCATACCAAGAATTGACTCCATGAAAGGAATGATTTAACCCAACTTTCAGATTGAAAATCTCATTCTTAGGGGAACAAATGGACACTAAAAAACAAAATAACATATGGCACTTATAGCCCGTATAATGCGTTAATAAATCTGTAATATTGACCATGTGCGAGGTCAGGAGGGCTGGATATTTGTCACGAATGAGAAAATATCTGGCCATCTTGACCAAACAAGCTTGGTCAATAATAGATACATTATGTGGCCAAAACAAAGTATTTCCTATTGAGAGAAAGATAAGCCCATTTGCCCACTGAGATAGGCAATAAAATTATCCTAGGAAAACAGCCAACATTTTGTGACGCCACTGGTTTTCCTGCAAAATGATGTCTGAACATGTGCACAAATTTGATCCTAATGGCATGTCACTACCCAGATTACAACATGGTAGTGCTTTTAATCGGTGGTGTTGCAAGGGAAATTTGCTTGAACCAATAATTTGGAAGCAATGCCCAGATTTGAGTAGCGACATGTCATCAGTATGGTGTATTAAAACACTTGTTCCTCAGAGGTCATTTGGCAGGAAAACTAGTGATTGTGTCGTGAGATGACGCCTGTATTCTCGGGCGTCTGGAAAAACCGGAAACCGGAATCCGGAATAGGAACGGGAATGGGAACAGGAACCGGAACCGGAACCGGAAACAGCAACGGAACAGAAACAGCAATGTGAAGAGGAACCGATACAAGAACAGGGATATTATTTACTTTAAATTATTTTAATTCGAATTCAATTTATACAGAAAATAAGAACACTACTCTGGTATCATGCTCCCCCTGAATCTCTTTATAATACGGCAGCGAGGAGGTAGAAAAAGCCGCAAGTTAAATAAGTAAAGCAACAGCTTTGCGAGTGCATAAATGTCGCGCTTTCTGTCAAATTCTTCACGCGTATGCACAACTATGATGTAAATGATCAAATCTTAAGTTCTCTTAGGAACGTGAACGGCAGGCAATAAATTTTATTGTGTCTTTCTGAGCTCGGACGGTCTCCAGCTTCATTTCCCAACCTTTAAAAGACTGGGCAATTTGGAATTAATGAGAAATAGTTTGAATTAAGACCAATTCAGTTTCTCAGTGGCGTTTTCGCTGGCGTTGCCGTCGTCAGATCTTAAGGTTCCTTTTTGTCTCTCACAGGAAGGTGGTTATCACATGTTAATATTATTTGTCAGATCATGTATCTGAGACACCCATCGGAGACGTTTATTGGGCTGCCATACACCTCAGGTTTGCTCCATAGATATATTGTACGGTGCTAAATTGGGAAGTTAACCAGAGATAGATAGTCCACAGCTTAAAAAGGGTATTAACATGTACTTCCTCCCCCTCCCCCCCCCCAAAACCCATCTCAGCGGCCAGTACTTCATCTACCTCAACCGCGTGCAATAGGGACCTTAATAAGCAAGCAGAACGTTGACGTCCAGGACATTAAAAATGGAAACTGGAAGTGGATGTTTTCTGTCTTTAGGTGCTCTGACTCAACAAATTCGCACACTGGAAGGTAAGAGGAAGAATTCAGATTCGTTGTGTGAGACAGAAGCGTTCCATCAAGCAACGGTCAGCGTTCTCGTTGCTTAAGTTCGCTATTATGTTTGACACGAAAACACAATGTGTCATAGGCTAAAGATAAAGAGAGGTTAATTAGATTAACATTTCAAGGGTGTTTTCTTGTTTCTTTAATTATTTCTCTGGCTTTTTAGTTATATCACGATTATATCTTTTTCTTTTCATATTCTATACACTGTTTATATTTCTGTTCCTATTCCGGTTCCTATTCTATTTTTCCCTTATTTTTCGTATATAATCTGAACAGGAATTAAATCCAGATTAACTTAAATTAAGGTAAATGTTGTCCCTGCTTTTATATAGGTTTCTCTTCCCATTCCAGTTCCTATTCCGGTTCCGGTTCCTGTTCCTGTTCCTATTCCCGTTCCTATTCCCGATTCCGGATTCCCGCTTTTCCAGACGCCCGTATTCTCAGGTTAGCAGGCAAACACAACGCAGGATTTGTTTCATCTTGCCCGCTTGCTGTGTGAGCGAGTCCAGTCAGAGAGGAGATAAAATAATATTTCCTGCATCAAGGAAAGTGTTGTAATTTGTAGAAAAAAATTTAGCTTATTGGTGCAATAAAGAAGCAATTTTCTGTAGCTTAAATCAAAAAGGAATTTGTTTTCAGTTTCGTTCTTTTTTCTTCAAAAATTGTGTGTTGTCAAATTTCTATTTGCACGAAAGGAAAAACCCTGAGGTTAAAATTTGAATTAAAAGAAGAGAAATGTTTAAACAAAGATGAATTATAAATTAGAAGCCTGCCGATTTAAATAAAAGAATCTCTCTTGCGTGAACTTATCTCTGTCGTAGACACACACATTCCTCGTGACAGCGACTGCCATTTAAGGATGCAGATCTGTGTAGGGTGAATGGTCTACAGATAAGCGTAAAATAACTTGTTTATCCTTGATCGCGCCCTTAAAACTTTGCTAAATCAGGACAAGGAAATACCACTTACCTTACACAAATAATTTATTAATTCTCCTTTACGAAAACCGCATTTACAACAATTTCAAGCAGGAGCGAACAAATTTCCTTGTAGCTAAGCTTATTTCTCACTATAACATGACCACAGAATAACACACACACAAAAAAAACAAAACAACCGTCAGGTGTTTTTGCTACAGCGGCGCAAGGAAGTGGGATTTTAAAATGCCTGTTTATGACTACATATTAAACTGTAAAAAGCTGCTGCTAAAACACAGCATAAATGGGGAAAGCGAAATTTACCTTCCAGCGACACAATTTTGTAATAAGCTTATACTAGGTCGAGAAAGTCACTGATCCATAATTTGAATTATTTGCGTGTCTTGGACATACTGAACGCTCTTCGTATGTGCGTAGGTCTGTTTAATTCTCCGTTAACACCTTGCGCGTTGTCTTTATCCTTTTTTCCTTGATTTTTTCCCGTTTCACCAATTTGCGTGGCTGTGGTGATGCTTGTTACATGACTAAACAAACATGGAGTTGATATCTCCACTTTCTTTAGTTTACGGAATTTCTTTAAACGTTCTTTACTCGTGTGCGTTGGAAGTTTATTTAACTCCGGTGCCGAGGCAGCAGTCGAATTTTCCTCTACTGCATCGATGACACTTTTCAAGAAAGTGTTCGCAGAGTCTTCGCAGTTAAACCGAATACCCGCCATTGTCCCATCGCCAGTTGATAACGCCAGTGTATGAAAGTTCTTTTGTTGTTCCCGGTAATTTGAGTTGGCCGTAATAGTCTCTTTCCATGTCGCAAAACCACTTTCCCTTTCCACCAAACCCACATACACTCCTCTAGGATTTCTATCACCAGAGTCTCCTGAGCTTATGACCAAAACTGGAACTCCGCTCCGCGCATATGTCCACTGATTCGAAGGTGATTCGGGACTTGGTGGTTGCCAAAAATACAAAACTGCTGTCGTGCCGCTCACCACAACGCGGTTAGAAAGGCAAGATAACGAGAGTTTGATCTTGAAAATATCCTTTTCTGATAGCTTTTCGCTCAAGGCTTCGTCACTAACCGTCGCCCTCATTGACATAGCTTTGATTTTATAAAACCAGCAAATTTCTCATCAGACGTGACTTGTGATTCGAACAACAGCCTTTGGACTTTAAAAGCAACGCACATCCAGCAAACAACACCCCAGATACTTCAAGAAACACTCCACTGCTATTACTGGATTATCTGAAAATATTGACAGCGAATGATTTCCTATTAAAACGCTCGTAAACCTCGCTTTTCAGTTACTTCACAGTTACTCGATAAAGAAAACGCAGTTTCGAGAATCATCAGTTGAACACCGCTGTGTGACGTCACTGGTCTTTTATTTTGAAGGATGACACGAATGTGTGACCCTTGGGTGTGGCTATTTCCGGTCTTTAGGCCAACGATCGGGGGCATAAATTAAACAGGATTTAACGAGGGAAAAAGCTATAACTTTTCAGTTCAATGGCCAACCAAGTTAGTTTCAATTAGACAAGTTACCACTTTAATCAGAATCACAAATAGATTACACTTATCCGAACGCAGGGTACTCCAGACAATAAGGAAAAATGGTCATTGATATATATCCATTACCATTATTTCCAATTCTTGTGGTTGCTTTGTTGTCATTGCGCTTTTGTAATAAGAGTACAAATACCCCCTGGATAAAACCGATTAAAGAGTAATTTGGAGTGCTAATGAATGAATCCACCATTATGGCGCCGTGTACGCATTACCTATAACTGCGGCTATTAAATTTGTTTATGCTAAACGCGCAAACTTGTAAAAAAGATCAAAGATCCGATAGCCAAATAGCCTGCGTAGCAAGCGTTTCCTCGCGAGTTCGTTGAGAAAGTTGCAGGGACGAGAGCAAAAAAAAAAAGGAATGACGGGGGAGGGGGAGGGAATGAATGAATGATTTCCTCTTCTCCCCTCCCCTCCCCTCCACCTTTTTTTTTTGCTCCCGCTCTAACTTTCGCGCAATAACTCGATTGGAAACGCCTGCTACGCAGGCTAATAGCCAAATGGCAAAGAAAGCCTCAAGCAGACTAGGGAACTCCCTAACTGGAACCCCCCCGCGGGTAAAACCCTTTCCCCTTTGCGGCTCGCGTTCTAAAGTCTGCCATCACAGCTGCCACCCAACCAAATCGTGTGAGATAAAAAAAACCGTTTTTCGGTTTTTTACCTACGATAACTGAAGCCCCGACGGATGCCAAGGCAGAGGTGGAACCAGAAATATCACAGAGGGGGGGACACTTGCCAGCTATACAGATACACAACTTATTTTTTATACTGAGAATTTGTTTCGACCGAAGCACAGAAAAACGGGTGGCTGCGGTCCCACCGGCCCTCCCCTGAAGTGAGAGTCAAAGATTTAACCTGACAAAACCAGTGGATTTCTCAAGGTTGATCGATGCTTTTAGGTTTACTTTTTATCAGAAACATGTTTCATATGGAGAAAGCGACGAAGATCAGTGTGCGTGATGTGGGGTGTGCCCTTAGAAGTGTGCCACCGAGAGGTGTGGCGGATACAGCGAGCCCAGGTCAGCCGCACCTTACTGGTCCTCCTGTGCGAGCTGGGCCCAGTCTGGGGTCTGGAATAATGGTGCAATTTTTTTAGCAAGACCGAACGAACAAAAACAAAGGAAAAACAACGAATGTGAAGAAAAAATAACGAATAAATAATAAGAAACAGCAGTTTTGCTTTGTGCCTTTCTCGTTACATGCTTGATTATCAAATCTTTTCACGACATTCGGAATGTATGTTTTTACAATAGTGGGGACTGCCGCACCATGAGGAAGAATTAATTGCTGTTAATTGTCGAAGGACAGGAGCCTATTACCATACTTATACAGTGGAAGCTCTCTTACGGACACTCTCGTTTAAGTAGACAGCTCGGCCCCCTTCACAAAATCCCCGTTTTTTCTCCCCTACAAACTCTGTGTTTTTTTTATGTTCCCGTAAGCGGCCAGCTCCAGTAACGGGTCACGTTTTTGGCTTACGAGCGCTTCCACTGTATTATTATTCACTCAAAATATTTGTCTGTTTCTGATTGGGTCCAATCCCTCCCAGCTTGTACCATCGATTCGATGGTAGATTTGATTGGGAACGAGGTTGCTTGGGCAGTACACACTTACGACGGAAGCGTGGAAGCGAAGCCTAAGGAACACCAGATTTCCCGCAAATAATTGATAGGGCGGCGAAAACAAGAACAATTTGTGATTTAGAGATTTTGAGCAGTTATGCTAAATGAACGTGTGTTAGAAAGTGAACAGTGAAGAAACTAAATTTCAGTAAGGATCCTTCGGAAATACATGAAACGTCAAGTCTTTCCTATTATCGGAACGATTATTACAAAGCGCAGCAGCGTAGCATTTGTGAGAACTTACTTTTTTTGTAGTTGAATTAATATAAGATCACGGTCTTGCGACTAAACTCCAGAAAATGCAAAATCGTGCGCCACGCAGTACGCATAATCGCGACGTTCCGAGGTTACGATGTGCGTTCAGCAGAAATAAGAAAACAATTTTAACTGAGAAGAGCCTGCCGTAAGGTGGCGAAAGCATTTGAGCCTATTAATGTACTTTATGATTCTGGGTATGATAAGTAACTTGAAATGTACGGCTTGAACAACTCTTACTGATAAGTCAGTCTAAGCAAACAAACGCAATATATTTAATGTTACACTGCGTTATCAGATTCAAAAAACAGATTAATATAGCGGGTCTTGATGTTCACATAATATAGCCAGGAATGATGAAGAATTCATTACCAGCTGAACTAAAGGCTTCGAAATGTAAACTATTTTTGAAAGAAAACTGGCCAGCAGACAAGCAAACTGTTGACTATATTTATCGTCTGCACCTGAATTGTTTTTAGAGTATTTCTACAGTATTTACCTCTGTTTCAATACGGCTTTCATGGAATAAGTTTTGTACCTTTTGATTTTACCGTATTGAATGAAAATTAAAAGTGAATCAATCATCTCAATCGCTCCACCCACTCGAAAATGAGAGAAAAAAAAAACAAACAAAGAAAAAAAATGTAGATGCTTATTATATACATGACCATTCAGCCAACTGGGAGGGAAGTAGGAACTCTACTGACCAGGACTAACGTAACAAACTAAAGTTCTTCATCCTGTAGTGAAAGATCCAATATAGTCACTTACGTATTAGATATGGGTACTATAACGCAAGTAAAATGATGCAGATTGTACTGTACGGGAAAATATATATTAGATATTTAGAAAGACACACTGCCTTGAGCTGTTTGAAGGAAGGATTGTTTCGATCAGGTACAGGATATGAAGCGAAGAAATCTCCTTGGTCACTGAAAAGACATTTGAAAGACAGCAAATCTGCGTTTTGTAAAGACCGCAACTACAGTGAAACCTCTATTAAGCGGACACCCTGTATTAAGCGGACACTAAGCCGGGTTCCGAAATTAACGTCTTATATTACCCTTTATAACGAACCCCTATTCAACGGACACCTCTATTAAGCGGACGCGGACACTAAAATAAGATGTATTAGGCTAATTTTTATTGTTAAAAACCTCTATTAAGCGGACACCGGACTGAATTGACAATAGTAGTATTGGATTATGTCCTTGAAATACGTACTGTAGTCGATTATTAAAGATAAATCAATTCATTTAGCTGTCAAAAAACTGTAAATTAGACCGATATTGTCATCCGCGATCAAAGTTCACCTAAAGTCTTGCAAAAACTATACCACAGCTTCCTTAGCTTCCTTGGCAACATGGAACTTTATCACAGAACAGAGTAACCGTTGAATGTTAATTGTTCACAAACATTGCGTAATTTTTAAAACCTCTTTAAGCGGACACACTCTATAAACCGGACACTTGGGTAGGTCCCGAATGTGTCCGCTTAATAGAGGTTTCACTGTAATTGTATAATGGAAAGTTTCTACCGTAGCTCCTCCGTCTTGGGTGGGTAGTTATGAGGTGTCAAATTTCAAGGAAGTAGCTTTCTTGTCGAAGAACATGTCACTCGAGCTTACAAAATGTTGTTGTGTCTTTACTCCGAGATTCAGTGATGATAACATAGAATGTTACTCTAAGCAATACATTGGAAGGTAAATTGCAAAAGATGGAACAAAATTTTTAATCCTGGAATGGCGCCGGCGGCCTTTCAGGAACCGGGGACTGGACCGGTTTGTTCAAAGCTGGGTTAAGATAACCCAGGGTTAGTGCGAAAATTGAATTCAGATATGAAAGCTTCAAAAGAAAATTCATTAATCTGTTTGACTACAATTTGATAATAGGAAATCTAAAAGGAACAGAGAAAGTTATCCGAGAAAGCTTCTTTTGATAGTTACAAAATGAAAAAGAAACCCAGGCCCGGTTCATGGAAAGATTGTTAAGTTTCACCCAGGATTAAGCCAAATATTAAGCACGGTTTTCTTGTCTAAGAACATGTAACTCAAGCTTACAAAATAGTGTTCTGTTGAGCTTTTACTCTGAGATACAAAAAGTGAACGAATGAATGAATGAATGAATAAACCTTATTAACGTGTCAATAAAATATCGAGCAGAGGGAAACCCTCAGCTAATAGGTGTCACCTAACTAGGCTAAAACTGTACATGGATAAAAGAACAAATCAAATTTTAATCCTGGATTAGCGCTAATCGCCCTTTCAGGAACCGGGCGCCGGGTTAAAATTTCATCCTGGGTTATCGCTAATCGGCCTTCAAACAACTGGGACTTGATCATGACTGTTCCTTGGAGATTGTTTTCTTGGTTTCCCTGTTCTTTATGTCTATCCACCCGTAATCGGCTCCTGCTATTCACGCTTTTAGGTCAGTCGCAGGAGTACTTTTCTCTTGCAGGGTCATCTTTACTAAAATGGGACAAGAGAAAATGAATAGGATAAATATCGTAGCTAGAGTATCAGGCCGTCTTTAGGGGTAGGGAGAGGAGGTGTCTTCCTTAGGGGCTAGGAGAGAGATTTCTTCCTCATGGGCTAGGGGAGAGGGGATTTCTTCCTGAGGGGTTATGGGAGAGATGGCTTCTTCCTTGGGGGCTAGGGGAGAGGAGATTTGTTCCTTAGGGGCTAGATAAGAGGTGGCTTCTTCCTTAGAGGCTAGATGAGAGGTGGTTCTACCTGAGGAGCTAGATGAAAGGTGGTTTCTTCCTGAGGGGTTATGGGAGAGGTGGCCTCTTTCTTAGGGGCTAGGGGAGAGGAGATTTCTTCCTTACGGGCCAGAGGAGAGGTGGTTTCGTCCTCAGGGGTTACGGGAGAGGAGTTTTCTGGCTAAAAAATTGAGGTCATGGAGCTGTATTTTTTTGACTTATGCAAAACAACAAGCGATCAAAATTCTTCAAAGAAAGCCGACAACCGTTTGGGATAAGCAACAGGTAGTACACAATATACCAATTTTAGAAAAGAAAAGAACATAACATTTGCATGAAAAAAAGAAAAAAACTATTCAACCGCTTAAACAAAAAGTTTTATTAAATGAGTCCAGTGATAGGCATTTTAACAACTTGTCAAGAAGCATCAAGACTATTCACGCAATCAAAAATAAATTTATTTGACGTAGTCCAGCCGGCCTAATGGTTTTGACGCTAGCAGCATCCGTTTTTCGACCTTGCTCATCAAACACTTGACTGAACGACATTCGTTGTACAATACCGGCCCATGAAAATTTGAATAAGAAGTAGACAAGTTCAGCCACAGGGTAAATAAATCATCAGGTTGTTAGCCATAAATGGCCCTTGATTTCCGACTCGATAAGTAAATAATTTACTCAGGCTTCTGTTGTTATTGTTAAATTGTTACCAGTCTTCGAGATAGGATAAAGGAGCAAGATCTCATTGGGAAAACGTGGATATAGCAACCCACTCAACTGTACAAATAGGGATTTGGAGGCCCGCAGTCATGTAAATATGGATCATATCTGCTCTTCACTCCCACGCCTCGATTTCCGCGATAAAATTCTCAACCAAGCGGAAATCCACTAAAGCCGCTCAGTACTGAACAGCGACGAATCGAATCACTGCATTCATCACACTTCACCATTACCAATACAACTTAGTTTTCTATACAACAAGTACATTGTTTGGTTGTTTGTTTGACACAACACTCCGCTGTCGTTTTAGTGGTTAAGTAAACTCAGTTCTTCTAAGATCTTGGCAGTGGTGGACAAAACACTGAATTCTCAATGAAGCCTGCGATGGTTTTAAGCGACAAAGATGTCCAACGGGTCAGAGAGTCTTTGACGAAGACTCTCACTCCTCAGCATAAAGTTGTAATTGCTCCTTGTTTGGCCGAAGTTCTTGTCCTGAACAAGAGCAAAAGTATTCTCCGACGATCATTTAAAGAGAAATGGAACAGTGTCGGAAAAGGAGTCATTGCTTTAGTCTATAACACGGACAGCCTTGGTCAGCGAATTGAAATTTGCTTGACATCCATAAAAACCCGAGAGGTCATTTGGCGAGAGACAGTTGTTGCGCATTTATCCCGAGTTGAGTCACCGCAACCAAATTACCATACCTTCAACAGCACGAAAAATTTCTTCGAAAAGGCTGCGATACGTTACGACAACGAAACAGTCGCAAACCTTGTGTTACGAGCTCTGAGTGTGTTTTCATCACAATCAAAATCCGCGAAAGTTTCTGGGCATAAGCTGGCCTCGCGGTCACACTCGTTCACTGTTGCGCCAAGACCCAGACACGCGCGCGCTCAAGAAGCAAAAAGTGCTTTCGAACGATGCACAGTGGCTATTTCCAACTTACACATTCAACAAGTGTTTAGCAGCGACGGAAGGCCAGTCAGTGCCCCTCAAACAGCTTCAATGTGCGGAACCTCAAGCGCGCTAACTGCGTCGCAAAGTCAGCAACGGAGCGACTGTCTCTTCTCCGTATGTGAATCACGCGAGCAGAACTCAACGCAACTTTCGTCAGATCAAAACAGCGTTTATCACTTCAATAAACAACCATTAAATAACAACCGTCCTGCCCGGAGTACAAGTTTTAATTTGGTGCGACGTTGTACAGAACCAGTTTTGAAGCCGAGGACAGATTTGCTAGTTACTGATCTGTGTACAACGGAGCTTTAAATTATTGGAATCCAAAAGAATTCGCCGCCTCGAGAGGGACACTGAAGAAAATTGTGTGTTAAATGACTCTACAGGAAATTTTTTAGAATGATGATACAAATCTTTGGTATGTAGGACCTCCGGGTTAAATTCAAGCGATGTTAAATGTTATTGTAAAGAGACCTGGAATTTAAACGCACCACAGTCGAGATTAGTCGAACGATTACTAATTGTTTATAAAGATTAGATTTTGTACATATCTCATGGTTCCTACATTACTGACCGCATATTTTAATTTATTTGAATAAATAAAGTTGCTGATGCCTTATTCTTGTTTTATTCTGTCGTCGGTCGTCTGCGCAAATTATAAGCGGTTAACCTCGCGTTAAATTATTCTCATAAACAGACTCATTAGTTTATGAATAGTCATCTGTAATTGATAATTAGCATACATCCTTTTACAACGGATTGAACCAAGGAGAGGACGTTGTGAGCTACAAAGAAGTACGAAAAGTAAATCAGCGGAAAGGAATTACAACGAAAAACGCTTCGACTGTTTCCCCCATTTCAACTAAATTCTTTGATGACATATCCGTTGTAAAATTGAACATAATTTATACTTACCGGAAATCTACGCCGGCTCAACACAATAAACCTGTCATAGAAAGGTGGATGGCTCTTGAAAAACCTATCAAGATGCATGCGGTTAGTGATGACTTTTCAAAGGCATGCAATATTTTACTTCTGTGAAGTTCCCGTTATTAACAGAGATGAGAAAAACAAACTGGAATGTTTTTTTTTCTAAACTATAGGATATAAAAAAAGACACTGTTAACAATTATTTCCGTGGACTTTTTGCTGAATCGTGTCTCTTCTCATTATTTTAAAGGGGTTAAAACTGAACCCCGCTATCTAACTTCGGTCGACAATGGACTGTCGTTTCATAGAAAGTACTCGAAACTTCTCTTTATAGATGTCAGGAAGCTGGCCGTGGAGATGACCGACGATATAGCAAGACGTGTGAAAAAAGACTAACGTCATTTAAAAGTGCTCTTTTTCCTTCTACGAGTGGTGAGCCGGCAATTCAAAGTCTATTCTGACTCCATGGCCAGTCAGTCGGACTCGAACTGTATATCCAGGTATATCATAGTCAGAAACGGCTTGACTACCGTAGAAAACCTTTTTACGTGTTAACGAAGGCTTGGTCGGAACTCATGCTATTTTTCACGCTTTTCATATTTTATCTCAAGAAAACACTAGATTCGAATAAGTTGCTGTTTATAGCGTTCAGTCAGTTCTGGCCGGATAGTGGTCGACAAAAATGTGATTCATGGCAACTCCAAATTCAGTGGTGTTTCCGCTCAGTTCTTCCGTATAAGATTATTTATTTGTCAGTGTTTTGAGGAAAAGAACTTTGAGATTGTTTCTCGGCACTGCAGAATTTTAAACTTGATCTAAGGCTGATATTGGTAGCCTGTTCCCAGGCCAACTTTTTTACTAGTAGTTAAGTGATGTCAAGTACTCGAGAGTGAATTAACAAAACAATAACCGATCTCGGAAGACATTAGGAGATTTTTAATGAAAATAAAGCAGGAACAAAACAAGTGAGACAATTTCAGTCAAATACAAGATCAAAAAGGGATCAGAAAGATAATCCATGCAGATGTACAGTTTTTCAGTGGTATTACATGCACACATCCAGTAGGCTCTTGTTAGCCGACAGTAGAAAGCCTTTATTTTAAAAAATGCTATGGAGTCGTTAAATTTCTTAGTAAACACACTCACTTTGCGGTCCTGACTATCTCATTTTGTTATCCACTCCCCTTACCGACATTATTCCGCTGAGGAAACCAACAGTCTGGAGAGGAACAGAACGCGACCGCAATTATGCTATTCTCGGTTGACTGTAAGAAATTAACCGGCACGTGCACCAAGCGTTTTCTTTCTGTAAAATAACTGTTTGAAGGAGCAGATTGCCTAGAAAATTCTAAAGCTCGAGAAAGGCTAAAGATTCCCGGATAAGCGTTCTCAGTGTCTAAGATATTCCGCAGACTTTTTCAACTATCTTACCTACGATTTCGGAGATCGTTGTGTTTTTAACATATTACCAAGATATTTATACGATTATTGATAAAAAAGCTCCCCGAAAATTTCGGCATAAAGACAAAACGTCACCGAGTCTTCTAATGAAAATACGACAACTCCTCGTCCTCGAACTTTCGACCGGACTCATCAGGGTGGCTGAAAATTTCACCGGACGCATGAGTCGAAAAAGCGACCTAAAGCTTACGAGACCACTGGAAAAATTTAATCCCCCTTAAGACATCCGAACAGAAAAATAAGGTTTTAGGGCAGCGGCTCCAAAGTAACCACCAAGGCTTCTAAAGCATAGAGAAAACCATTTGAGACTGACTTCTGACTTTTGTTCAAAACGGTGGTTCAGAAGCTATCTACTGGATACTGAATCTCTATCCAGTCGATAGTGCAATTGGTTTTCCTAGCATTTAATAGTGATTTATCCAGTAATAGCCGGCTGACCAAATTTCAAACAACCGAGCACACACGCTAGTACAGCAGGCGCGGATGGCGTTCTAACGGAAAGCGGAAATCCAGGAGCATTCTGGTAGGCGGTCTACTCCGATTAAAAACCGGTTGGCTCCGGCACTTAAGTTACCAACAAGGAGGTTGAACTACTGTCTCCCACACGAGAAAGAACGCACGAGAACTCATTAAAATAGTTCGCTGAATGAATGTCGATCATCATTAGGTCAGTCATTCAAATTTTCCATTGAGAAATCTTCCATTAGCTACCTAAACCGTTTAATAAAATACCTTAACAAACCTCGCGTTTACGATGACATTTACCTCGCCATTGACTTATGCTCTGCACCTGAACAATAGAACAGTGTTGAAAAAAATAACCAGTTTCGCTTTCACAATATCAAGACCAGTAACAGTCCAACGTCTCTAAAAATCCTCTGTACCCGACCCGAGGGGTACTCAACAAATGTTTATACGGGGAGGCTCCTCCCCGAGGTCAAACCCCTTATATACCCTTTTTTATGAAAAAGGTACCCTTTTCGTTAACCTTCTATTGACAAATGGTACCCCTTTCACATACCTTCTTTAGAACTTTGCATCCCTTTTAACATTTTAACTGATGTAAATGCAACGTCTTTTAAATAGGAATTAATTACAAAAATTAAAAAAAAATAGTTTTCTCGACTTTATAAAGCCATAAAATTTATCTGTTAGCCCTTTTGGGCCCGTTCAAAGACCCAAATGACAGATTTCCCTACCCTTTTATATACTTCAACTAGAGAAACCCCTACCCTTTCATATACCTGAAGCATGAAAAAGGTACCCCTTTCGGCCGGAGCCTCCCCGTATAGGCCATCATACGGAGTACCCCTCCGGGGTACCTGAAAACAGACCAATTACATTATATCAAAATCTAGCCTTAACTTCCAGGCATTGATTCATGTAAGACTCTTAAAATGGGGAGTGGTGCGGAATGAGAAGCTTGAAGTAAAGCAGAAACGCCGGAAGAAAGGAAAACGAGAAAAACTTTATCTATCTATACCACACAAAAAAAGACAGGAAAAACCACAGGTAGCCCGAGCTCGAAATATGAGCATCGGCGAGCATCGGCATTGTTGCGTAACATTCAAAATATAAGGATTTGTATGGGAAAAAAACTAGACTGCAAAACAGTCCGTATTTTTGCGTATTCAACTACGCGCTAGCAGTCAAACAAAAGGTCTGGAATGAGGATGAAAACAGAGAGCGAGACTGGAGAGAGACGTTTTTTTTTCTCTCGCCTCACACGACCGTAGGGCGTGTGAGCGCGTAAGACTCAGTGACCACGCTTTACCGATTTCTTTACTGATTTTGAGAAAAAAACCGACTGTTTCGCAGTCTAGAAAAAAACCTATCGTTTCTGTAACCTACGAAAATAAAAGGATTTCAATAAAAAACAGTTTGCCTTACTTAAAATGTGTGTTACGTCTCTCCTGTGTGGTCCACGGGCCGATTTATGGCCGTTTTATGGGTTTTTATGTAAACGGTTTTCTCTCTATATAAAGGAAAACTTTTACATAGAGAGAAAACACACATTGTAAGTAAGGTAAGCTGTTTTTTATTGAGATCCTTTCATTTTCGTGGGTTACAGAAACGATAGGTTTTTTTCCCATACAAATCCTTATATTTTGAATGTTACGCAACAATGCCCATGCTCGCCGATGCTCATATTTCGAGCTTGGGCTACCTGTGGAAAAACAGACACTACTACCTATATAAGGTATAAAGTCACCGAGAAAAAAAACTAAAAAGCTGATCTACTAAGCTAGGAGGCATATTAAAGTAGTTGTTACATGGAGGCACGAGAGTACAAGCAAGAGGAAGAGTTTTCTCGTACTCTCACTCTCGCCAGTCACCACGTTTTTTTCCAGTTCCTGCTCCGTTCTCTACAACGCCTGATACCCTCGGTCCAAAGGATCCCTCTATATCCGGGAACGAGGGAGAACAACTGGAACAGGCCGATACAAACTTTGCCAGTCAGTCAGTCAAGTTTGAATTTAGGCTGCTGAACATTGAATTTTAGGGGAGGGGAAAGGGGGGAAGGGGGGAAGGGGTTGATTTGGTTTGGGCCGAGGGGGCCACGTCTTTTTTCCAAGCATACTGAGCGTACGACTGTGATCGAATTTTTTCGTCATTTTTTGGTGGAAATATAGGACTTTCATCTCTTTACAATAATTTTTATACTACAGATAAAGTTACCATAAAAGCAAAAGCACCTCACAAACAGGAGTTTTGGGCTCCTGCCACAAGTTATACAATATTTCTAAATATGTAAGAAAGTTGATATAATATGTAGGTAAGAATAGGGCAAGCAAGTGACAAAAAGCAATGTTTCAATGTTTCAAACCAGTATCTTAGTCCTCCTTTGTTTTAAATTAATTGTCATAAAAAGAGACAAATGGGAAACAAACTCAATAAGAAAATGAAGCCCCATGCCAACATAATATTTATATTATTAAATAATAATAAATTAATGCTTATAATAAGCATGCTTTGTTTCCTCTGTCTTACACAAAGGATGCACACCTTGTGTTTCAACTACATGAAGAAAAAAAAGTTCTGGAAAATGTTTTTGGGGTCTTTTAAATGACTTTAATGCTATTTAACAATAATTTTATTTATAATAATTTATTATTCCTTGAGCCTGAATGGGCTCACTCCGAGTCAATACCCCATGAGGCCGAAGACCGAATGATCTGTTGACTCAGAGGCCATGAGGGTGAGAGGAATAAATAATAATTATTGTTTTAGTAAAATCCAAGAAGTTGGTCAAAAATAGAGACAACAAAACTTTAGCTAGCAAAACATGATTCAGCCTCTACTGTTTTGGTTTTCAAAGCCGGCGCTTTTTGCTACTAGTGAGATATAACATATAGCCTAGTAGTAGCTCAACCAATCAGAATGTAGCATTGAGAATAGACCACTAGTTGGATTTAACTAAATGCAAATAGCCCCAATACCCAACAGTCAACATAGGCTATATGTATGCCCCAAAATCTCCATAATGCACGTAACAAAACAAGAGATATATAGTTACCACAACAATGTAGACAATAAAAAAATCAATTTATCAAGGGAGCTTGTCAAGAAATTTGTCAAATTCAGAGGTAACTGCTACCAAACTGAGTGAAGTATAAACTGCTCAAAAAGTTAGAAGAGGGTATAGAATTTTAATAACACAGCACACGGATGGACAAACTTGAAGAAGATTAAAACGAATTACAATTTATTGTAGTCTTTGAAAACTTGTTAGCCTTATGTAACAATTTTTCAAAGTTCATTTTTGTTATTGGTAACGATTGATGTAATGCTTCCAATACATATTTTGTTTGACAAAAAGCAGTAATCTTGTCATTCTTAGGTACCGTAAAATTCCGAAAATAAGCCCCTCCAAATATAAGCCCCCCAAACTTGTAACGCAAAAAACCCTCTGTTAAATCACCCCTCCAAAATAATATAAGCCCCCCCTTGTACTTGAAAATTGCCCTCAAATACAAAGAACAACAAAGCAAAAACGGTAAATTTTCTTTCAACTATAAAGTTAGTCCAATCGATTTTGAAACGCAAATTTCCCTCTGTAGATAAGTCCCTCCAAAAATAAGCCCAAAAAGGGCCTTTGAAAAATATAAGCCCCAGGGGTTATTTTTGGATTTTACGGTATTTTCTCAAGTTTCGTAGCAAATAAGGATGCGTAGCTGGTATTACGAATGAAATGAACTAGACTGCCTTGACACACTTACTTCAATGATCATGTTTTACAATGTTTCAACCCCGGGGGGGGGGCACTTGGGTATTTTGGGTGGGTATGTGCCGGGGACTCCAAATTGGCACCCCGTTCTAAAAAAAATTTCCTCTAAAATTGATACCCCGTTCTAGAAATGGGCCAATTTTTTATACCCCGTTCTAGAATTCGCCCTAAAACTGACACCCTGTTCTAGAAATGGGCCAATTTTTTATACTCCGTTCTAGAAAGTTTGTAAATTGAAATAGCCCTGTTTTTTTAAAAAGATATTTCTTTATTTGTTCGACTTATACATCAAATAAATGCTTCTTCATAATCAGCAACAATTTTAAGCAGAAGATAACGCCGTGATCCACAATTTTTTATACCCCATTCTAGAAAATGCCTCTGAAATGGATACCCCGTTCTAAATCAGGAGCTTCAAAATCACGACCCCGTTGGGCGGCACATACCCGTATAGGTAATGTATGGGAGTACCCTCCCTGGGGTTTCAACATTGGTGATGCTGGTGGTCAAGCTAACAGCCACAAATGCCAAAATATCATAAATATGTCTTGAGTAATTAAACCTAAAAAACCAATGAATTTCCTGTAGTTGTTTAGTGTACGTATTTACAATAAAGAGGTTCAACAGCACCATACAAATGTACATAAGGTCTCTTTTCTGAAAAGCTACTGTTTGTTTTTCACGCACTGCACATATGATTATAATTTCTAATTACTTTGTTCCATGAAAACAGGATTCATGAACAGCTGAAGTTATCGTTGTCTAATAATAATAGATTTAGCCAAGGCCAAAAGTGAGACTCTCGATGGATGTTTTAAGAAATATTTGTCTGCAGCGATTCAATATCAATAATTATTAATATTGAATCACTGCAAGAATTATTCTTGCTTAAAGAAACAAACTGAATAATTATTCCCCCCCAAAAAAACCTGAGCCTGCGACTGAATTGAAGCCAATAAGTGGTTAGGGGAAAACTTAAAAAAAAAAAATGTCAACTCAATGAGTTGTACTCCAGAGCCCACAATACAGCCATGTGACCCTGTCAGCATATACCCCTTTTTGACAGGTGTCAATTGACCATAACATGGATGTCCAATATCAAGTTCAACAGAGATTGTATACATGACTTGGACACCAAGCTACTTAGCTAGTGTTACTGCTTACTTAAAGGGGCTAACAGACAGACAATTTTTTCACTACCAAAATTCCTGGCATGCATATAATTATTATAACCAAATTTTATTACCAATGGTACTCTACTGCACCCACCATTGCGACAGTACTGCTAAGATTTGTTCTTGATTATCTTCACCTAGCCATCATAAAGCCCTTGGTTCCCTTTTTCACATTAGGAGATAAAGGAGCCTGTATGACAATTATACAAAGAAGTGTACCAGTAGTGTACCTTGATGTAATATGTCAAGGCAATTAGTCATTGACCACTGGAAAGAAGTTGAAAGAATGAGGCATTGTAAAAGCAGACAATCAAACTTGAACAATTAGCCGAAAGGGCAACATGTAAAGGTTCTTCAACAGTCTCAATTTTTGATATAAGTTCCCCATCTGGCTTAAAGATGACAATTGCATTACTGCTACAGTCACAAACCAATATGACATTGTTGATAACATCCACTGTAATGCCCACTGGGTCTAACAGATCACCATTCCCAAAGTCAAAAAGAAATGTTCCACTACTGTTAAAAACTTTCACACATTCTAGGTCACCGTCAGTTACGAAGAATTTTCCTTGGTGAAATGCAACATCTTGAGGACAAGACAGTTTGTCCTCACCAAAGCTAAACAGAAACTTTCTGTCTGCACTATAGACAAGAATACAAGGTTCAACCAATTCATCTGGCTCATCACAACAATCTCTGGGACTTGATGTCACTAGTAAACGACCATCACTATCTGTTGATACCCTAGTGAATTTTACTCGGCTGTTGGGTGCTTTGACATACTTTTTCACAAATGTGCCTTCTCGGTCATAGTGAAGCAGGCGATTGCATTCGCGGTTCAAAACTATTATTTCATCATCTTTGGAAAATGTGATATCCCATAGGTCACCATATATGATGCGAAATGACATAACGGGATCTCCCATTGAAGAATAGACATAAACTCGTCGATCCTCTTCATCTAGCACAGCAATGTCACCAGTTGCACTTGACACAGCAATGGCAAAAGTGAACACTCCAGTCATGATAGTCTGCGCTACTTCCCCACATCTACTGTAATCAATAAAACCTGCCCCATTCTTCACACTCTGGGTATAGTTTTTGGCTGACAATGACAACTGTCCAAGTAATTCCATACATTTACCATGCAAATCAGACCATTGACCATGAGAAAATTCCATTTCTGCATAGTTAGACAGCCTGTTAACTGCTAGGGCTCTTTCATCTGCAGCAGAGCTGATCTGCGTTAATTTTTCGACAAGGTCATTTTTAGATTCTAAAATCTCCCCAACTTCACCTTGCTGGAGAATTTCATTTGCTTTCTGCATGCAACTCCTTGCTCTTACAAGAAATGAAGACATCTGTTCCTTCTCCCTTTGGAAAGATTTAGAATCAAAATGCTCTGTTAGAAAGGAATCAAGGCGAGCAATTAGAGACTTTCTTTTATCATCAATGGTTCGAATAAGATCATCAGCCATTTTATTAATCTCGCGTCTTAGCATTTCCCCTTCATCTGAAGCTTTATCAAAACAATCTTCCATTTCCTTCGCTGCTTTTTCTGCCCCTTTAACGCGCTCTTTGCAAATGTTCAGAGCGTTATTTACAGCTTTTTTCTCTTTCCTTGCAGGTGTATTCTCCATAAGTCGCAATAAAAGGTGGTTTGTGGGGAAAGCAGAGACGCCCGTTGAAGGAAGGAAAGACTCTTCCCGGCATTGAGGACAAGAAATTGTGTACGAATTTTTACGGACCACGACGATATTCTCTAAACACCGCTCACAAACGTTATGAGCACAGCTGGGGAGACATTTCGGTTCTTGAAATTCTTCAAGGCAGACAGGACAAGTGGTTTCGTCTCCCATAATGGCTACAACTTTCTGAAGTTCTTTGCGTTCAGAAACTGCCGCCATTGTTACAGGAAATTTTTCATAGATAAGTGATGACGTACACTCTACCATAGGACAGGTACAATTTTATAGGTCCGCAGATGGTGCAAAATTATTACTGAAATCGCCGGGGAGAATCGTCGTCTTGGTATTTTCATTTCAGTTTTAAAATGTTTATATGAAAATTACCTTTGTAGCTCAGGTAAACTGATCACTTGAGTGAAGATTTTAGTCTGGACTAGGGAAACTGGAAATTGACACCAAAAACAATGAAATCAATAAATTCACGTTACCTGCAACTTTTTAGTTAGTTAGTGCCGACCTAAGTAGTTTCTAGAAAATAGCCCTCGAAAATAGCATCTTTAGGATAAGGAGGGATTTTGGGAGTTTAGTCTCGTATAGGGTAGGGTCTGCCAGACCTCTTAACAAGGCTTAAACTGTTACATTCTCTCTCCAAATTGCCTTGTTTTTGCTTGTGAAAAATAATTCAAATTCAACATACCAAGACTCACTTCTTTCTCAAGCACCCTTTCAGTATACTGGTAACTACAGGTAAAGCAGAAAATTTTATTTTTATTTATTATTACATGTATGATACATCTGGTGCTCGCAAAGGATAAATTATTTACACGAAAAATCACTTTATATTCAGGCCAACTATTATTGAAATGCAGTTCCTGACCACAGACATATCAGAAAAGACTGGAGAAATATTTTATGTATGAAAAATGTATATCCTAGGTATAAATAATTTATAATTAATCAAGCAGACTGCATACATTGAATTTCATATTACCTAAAGAGTTAATGTTCCTTTTGGCCTTAGTCCTACGTTCATCACATAAACTGCTTTCATGGCAGGTCCAAGGACTTGCATTTAGAGCTGAGATACAGCTACAGCCTCACAAAAAGTCATTCACTGCTGGGAAAAACTTACAAAAAAATGCACTGCTAAACCTTACATTCCAAAGCCTATCAATGTTACATATTGGCCAGTACAATAGAACCAGGGGCAGGAGCAGTTGCTTGCAGATCCATTTCCATAAAGAAGTTCTTGCCATAACTGTAAGTCCTGGCCAACTGTCACAATGGGCATTAGACTTGCTTGCCTGCTTTGCAACAAGCCGTACTTCCACAGAGAAATAGATAAGCATTCCATATGAATGACATCTTTCAAATCTGCACTCTATTCTATTGTCTTATGAGTGAATAGCACACACCGATACCTATGGCAGCTGCAGCCATGCCATACTTGAGCCAAGAGTCCCAGGAGTTTCTTTTGTCAGCACATCCACTGGCTCTCTTCATGTGAAGAGCTTCTTTACTGCCACCATCTTTTTCTTCTTTCTCCCAAAACTTTGCAAGCAGAATCTGTGTATCAATGATGTCTTTCTCATCAGCAGCATCAAAAGCTTCCTATAAAAAATACCACCACTGAGACAAAGCCTTTAAAAGAACTTTATCACTCTGTTTACAAAAATGGTTTACCTGTACTCGTGCAGGGCTTTGTGCAAATTGGAACCTTCACTAAATTTTTGCGGTAATTTTTGAATTTGCTTTACATTAAAACATACTGAGTTTTTGCTAGTGACTTTTGTTTTAGTAAACAAACACTTTTGCAATGTTTTCTTCTGCTTGTGATTCGTTTTCAAGATATATGAAAAAATATGCCAGAATTCTTGGGCTAGATGTATTTACGTTACATTGGGATTAGAAAGAGAAAGATTAGACAATACAAATGTCTGAAGTAGGGAGCAATAGGTTAAAAGACAAACTAAATGCCATACACACTTATACATACAGTAAAGCACTACCTCCAATTAACCAGCCAAAAACTAACACTAAACAAGCAAAATGATGTATGGGTAAAGTGTGAAAAAGTCAAAGATGAACAGTGATATTACACTTCTAGATGTGAAAGGAGTAATGTTGAGAAATAAGAAGACAAAATATGAAGAAGAATGGATGCTAGACTTTGTCTTCCTATTCTGAGGCCCAGTTCTGATGCAAATTTTACAGTCATATGAAGTTATAGAAGGTCCCTAAGAATGTACCCACCAAGCACTAAAAGAGTTGGAGAGTTAAGAGATCGCTTTACTTAGGATGTTCATTAGGCATTGGAAAGATCGGAGAATTCTCCGTTTACTACACAGAATTCTCTGGCTAACATTTGGTACCTTTTGAATACTTTTTATTCAGATGTGGAACCTTTTTCAAAATTATTCTCCTGCTACTAGAATTCTTAATGAAACCCTGTTTACCTTAAAGCTGTTATTAACCCATTCGCCCCTCAGCCCCCTGTAACCGCCCATGCGGATCCATGTCCTTTCTACTGATTGTAACATCATCAGTTTTAATGGTCAAGGAAAATTTTGTCTGCTAACTTGTGCAGAGTGAAGAGATCTTTCAAACCATACCAGAATGAGCACACTTCAGTCAAGGACACCAGAGAAAAAGGTAAAAAACCATGTAACAATGACCTGAAATTCCCATGAAAATCTTGTTCCACTACCCACCTACCTTTCTTTTCATCTAATCCTAAGATCCTAAAAGCTTTCCTAAAAACTTTTCCCACCAAAATGAAGCCTCCTAAATGCCAAGCAAGAGAAAAAAAATGAAGCACGAAAAGTGCAAAAAGAGGGGAGGAGAGAATTAAAGCAAAAAGTAAAAGTCTTTAAAGCACGACAGTGACCAGAGAACCACTCAACTAGCTTCAAAACACGTTTTTCGGCAAAATCTCCAGGAGCAAATGGGCTAAGGTGGCCCTATACAGTTTTTCAGGGTCAATACCTCCCAAGTTTGAGCATAAACTACGTTGCCATAAACAAAGATTTGGAAAAATTGCCACCGCAGTTGTATTAGATAAAGATGAAAATTTGTCATGATCAGGTTTGCAATGACATTGGAATTGTCATAGCAATGAAATGATGCCCTTACCTTTTTACTTGCAGCAGTATTTCTCAAACACTGGGCCCTGTTCTTCCAAAATTGTTCATGGGAGCTTTTTCCTTCAGTTATAGCTGCCTCGATGTTCCTGTATTTTGAGTGAAATCTGTAAGAGCATTATCGAGATGTTTTGGGATAAAGTTTTTATGGTTACAAATATGGTAAAAAAATGGACATGTTCTGCTGTTATCTGTAGAAAACGAAGTGCTTTTGACATGCAATTTTGCCTCATAGAGTTTTAGTCTTTTTAAAAACTTGTGTGAAAGATCATGGAGATAGCTCAAGCCGATTGCTACAAAGAAGGATTTGATTAGTATGTATTGAGGCACTCTTATTAGTGGTTTTGTAAACATTTTGGTCTACTTTTATTTAACAAATCAGTGAATAATTTTTAAACCTCTCGATAGATATTTTTTAAAATTTAATATTCTTGAGATTAACCGTCCTTTTACATGATCTTTTTTTTTTTCAAGATTGTTGATATATTGTGAGGCAGTAAAATAAGGGTTACAATTCGCTAATATCTTTTGAGAAATTTTGTGTTTACAAGTGAGAGCCTCTCATTATTTAGGGGTATTGTCTCCAAGTTTCATATTTTTCTGCACAACAATACTAGTCGGCATTTTTGCGTATTTCAAATGCATTGTTAATCACTGCTGTTCACGTGAAAATTTAAAATGCATTGTTAATCACTGCTGTTCACGTCGTGAAAATTTCGCATAAATTGTGAAAACCTGTTGAGCCAAACAAAAATAATAAGCCTGGCTTTCACTTGCTTGAAAAGGGTTTTCTTCTTTTCTCTCTTGCACAAAGATTACTCTGAGCAAAAATTTAGAGGTCATGAAGCAGGATACAAAAATTTCCTGTGGTTTATGCTTCTGTGGGTGCGATAGGATTTGATTTCAGGCGCAGTTGTAAAGTGTTTAAATTTTCTTGACCTCTGTTTGTTAAGGCTAAATAAAGTGGCTTTCTCCGAAATGCCTGCCTGGTGCGAGAAGTCCACGCCGCTTTTGTAGTTTTCTCAGACACTGCCCTTATTTTACTGCCTTACAATATCAATAATCTTGAAAAAAAAGGATATAAAAGGACGGTTAATCTCAAGAATAAAGGTCTCCTAAAACAACACTTCATCTAGAGAATCTCAAATTTTTTAAAAAATCTATCAAGCGGTTTAACATTTATTCGCTAATTTGTTAAAGTAGACCAAAATGTTCACAAAACATCTAACAAGAGCACCTTGATACATACTAATCCAGTCTTTCTTTCTAGCAATCGGCTCGAGCTAGGGACTGGTCATTATTTATCGGGAGGGGTGGGCTGGTGCAAATAGGGGGTGGGCCACCATTTTTTATGCATGGCTTAAAGGGGGGGCCATTAAAAAATGTGCAAAGGTTTTGCCAGCAAAAATGTGAAAAGCTGCATCTGGATGCCATCAACAAATGCAGCCTATTAAAATAGCTTTATACAACAACTTTTGTTAACACTTACAAATCAGTATCTTACAACATTGATCTTATTTCTACTGTAAACATAACTAGCACCATCATCATCATTGCTGTTGTCCTCAGCATTTAATAATCATCATCATTGTCATCATCACCATTACCATTGTTGTGATCATCACCATTGTCATCATTGTCTGCATCATCGTCAATATCATCGTTGTCTTTATCATCATCATCATTATCATCATCATCATTATCATCATCATTATTACTGTCATCATCATAGGCATTATCTGGTTCTAGGTTAGTGTTTTGTTTTCTTGGAAAATTGTCTACATATTTACTAATCAAGTTTACAGCTTCAGTAGATAGTTGTCAATCTTCATACATAAGTTGTAGATATTTCACTTGACACAATGATAATGTAGATAGAGCTTCCAATTTTAGGTTTTGGAGTTGAATTACTTCAGATGCAGAACGCTCATTCGAAATAAACTCTCGCACTTTCTGTATGTTGGCAGCTTTTCTCGAAACTTTCCATCTTTTGGCTTTCCTTCGGTTCTCTTTCTGAGAATGCTTTTTGGTTTTTGCATTCACATGGGGGGCATATAATTGGAACATATTTGATGTCTTCTCTAACTTTTCCTTAAGGCTTTCTTCTATTTATATCACACTTTCTTCAACTTTTATAAGTGTGTCAATAAGTTTTTCATCAAATGTTTTTGGGTGGTTGTACCCTGGAAGCAGTTTCCCTGCTTTGGAGAAATGAGTACAAAGATGTTTTTTTGCATCTTCCTCCCGCTTCTGGGTGGAGGTCTTAATATCTTGAACCATTTTAAAGTTGTTTTCCAATATAGGTAGGTCAGAGCGTGTAAATACGTAATCTTCACTGAAATATTTGACTGCAACGGGCAATACGACAATTGATACAATTGTCTACACAGTACGGTCTGGGCGAAGAGCAACTCAAATCCAAATTTAAGGTACCTTTAAATAGAATGTCTATCAGTTGGACATGGTGACTAGATACATGTAAATACATACTTTTTGTTTCATACATGCTGGAGGACGAGGGGGTATTGCGGGGGGGGTCAGCAAAAAAATAAAGCATGGGTCAGCAAAATTTCAACATGGCACCATTGCACCCCTTCCAATAACTAATGACCAGTCCCCTATCTCCATAATCTTTCACACAAGTTTTTAAAAAGAGTAAACCTACTATGAGGTGGAATTTCATGTCAAAAGCGCTTCACTTTCTACAGATAATGGCCAAACATCAAGATACTGTATTTCTAACCATAAAAACTTCATTCCAAAATAACTCGATAACGCCCTTACAGATTCTGCTCAAACTTCATGAACATCAAGGGCGGCTATTGGAGGAAAAAGCTCCCGTGAACGATTTTGAAACAATAGTTCCCAGTGCCGAGAAAGACTGCTGCAGTAAAATAGATAATGGCCTCATTTCATTGCTATGACAACTCTGATGTCATTGCAACCCTGATCATAAAAAAAATTTCGTCTTTATCTAATACAACTGGGGTGGCAATTTTTCCAAATCTTCGTTTATGGCGACGTAGTTTATACTCAAACTTGGGACGTATTGACCCCGAAAAACTGTATCAAGCCGAATTAAAGAGTAGTGCAAAATACAGAGCACTGAGTACTCACCCATCCACCATTTTTTTCTATCCACTCTTCTGTACTTTCTTGAATAAACCTAAAGCTATGATCAGCCAACAGTTCAAGCTGTAAATCATCCAATTCACCTACAATGGCAACTTCACGAGCAAAGTGACAAAGAAGTGCCACCTTGGACCAACCCACAATTTGATGTTCAAATGTAAGATGTCGTGCAGCCACACAAAACTGTTCGTATGAGAGATTTCCTGCCTGCATTATCTTCAAAGGTTCATCCAGTAAGTGAGGAACTTTTCCCATAATTTCTTGACTTATTTTTTCTAACCTAGCTGCAACCCGGCCTTCTGGAGACAAAACTGGTGAGGGAGTGTGGTCAGAACCAGGTTCAAATGGCGGAATCTTGAGGTTGTTTGGTCTCTTTAAGAATTCTCTGTTGAGAGAAAAGTTGAAATTTAACAAGAGTGTTTCAGCAATTTTAATTCTGACTAAGTAATAGTATGTAAAAGCTTGAACAAATAAAAATGGCTGATCCTTGGCCCCCCCAACACTAGATCTCACCTATCCAGTGTTCTCACCAGGATTTTGCCTTGGGGAGTCCCAGGGCCCCCTCTTCTGAGAAATAGGGGCCCTGTAAGAACATCAGGGGGACAAAGTTACAAAAAACACGTGGTACGAAGAACCTGAGCCCGCACTCCAAATTGTCTGTTACATGAAGTACCTACCTGATCCAATATGGCGGAAGAGGAGTTTACGATTCGGAGGAGGCGTTTACGATGTAGTGGGACGTGCGTGGGACCAATGAAAGTAAAGGCAACAAAATTAAAGACTTTGACTCATTTGATATCATGTTTTTTATTTATTCAAACAAACAGAATGCTTTAGTGTTAGGTTGACCATTAAAACTACTTAAGTCCGTTTGACTCGTAGCTTGCCCCTACGCCCTAACGGGCGCATCTTCTTGGTTCTAATGCGCCATTTCAGTTTTTCTTGCGGGAATCCCGCAAGGCCGCGGCCTGGTGAGAACACTGCCTATCAGCTTGTGCATCAGCTGGCAATAATAATTATTATAGCCTTAAAAAATTCTTGGCATAAACATAAACACTACCCCGTGTGGCACTAAATTATAGTGGGTTCTAATTTCAGGGGTACCCAACGACGGTTTCCTCCGAGTAAATACATTGAAAACACTTTTTAGGCTTTCTCGAGTACTTTTAGATCTCTAAAGATGCATTATAGGTGGCGCTATAGAATTTTTGTTTGGTCATCCTAGGGGAACTTGAGTCTTTTTGAAATTACAAGGACTTCAGTATTATTTTCCCGAAAATTTTAGATGCACTCATATCAAGAAAGTGAGAATTTTTCTGATTACTCGCTCCATCACATTTTTGAATCCGAAAATATTTTTAGTTTTCCTTTTTTCCCTGAAAAATAGCCTAACCTGGGTGGTGAAATGTGAAAAATTAAACTCCATGAAACCTTTGGGAATTTTTTGGATAAGCTTCAAAAATATTGTACATACATGAATGGAATGGTCATCTAGAAATTTTTAGCTGTCCTCAAGTAATAGAAAATTCTAGGCAATATTCGCTTCTCCAAACAGATACCGTAAAATTCCGAAAATAAGCCCCAAAATGTATAAGCCCCTCCAAATATAGGTCCCCCAAACTCGTAACTCAAAAAACCCTCCGTTAAATCGCCCCTCCAAATATATACCCCCCGGGGGCTTGTACTTGGAAAATTGCCCTCAAATACAAAGTAAAACAAAACAAAAACGGTAAATTTTCTTCCAACTATAAGGCTAGCCCAATCGATTTTGAAACGCAAATTTCCCTCTGTAGGTAAGCCCCTCCAAAAATAAGCCCCTCAAGAAGAACCTTTGAAAATTATAAGCCCCGGGGCTTATTTTCAGAATTTTATGGTATTTTAAAGAAAACAGGATCGTTGGGTGCCCTTGTAATTTTTGAGGATGTTTTGTGATCTGCAAAAGTTAACGTTAAATAGAACCCACAAAAATTCAGTGCCACATGAGATACTAGTATTCTATACACTTAACTTTGCTACACAAGACTAAAATACATTCATGATCAATTCATTTGAACCCAACTTTCAGAAAATCGCCAAAACAAATTCCTTGCAGGAAAATAACCTTTGTCCTGATCATAACAAAAATTTAGTATCTGAAAAACACAAAAAATCGGCAATCTGCAAAAATTTATTTCCAGATGGTATTTCATGCAGATTTCTTGCCTTCCAATGATACCTATGGAAAAACATGAGACTGGAAATGACTTGTGTTAAAACATTTAGGTTCCTTTGCAATACTTCTGCCAACAGCAGAAACTATCACATTGGATTTCATCACATGACTGTAATAACCAGCATTTCAAACATAGGTGGTGTTCATTTTTAATCACGCTTAAAATATTCCCTTCAAAATGTCCATTTTATCACTGGTAATACTTGCAAATCCCCTTGACTTTGCAAAAGCTGGAAATAGGTAGACTGAGAAAATAGCTGAGATTTTGTGATGCTATCACTGGTTTCTTTTTGAAATGATATCTGAGAAGCAAGTGCATAAATTCTATACTGATTCAGGTTGAAGCGAACTTCCCATGCAGCACAACCAATCAGAGCCACTACACAGATCTGGGTAGTGATGCGTCATTAGTATTGAACTTCTGTGCTCATTTCTCAGACGTCATTTCGCAGGAGACAAGTAAGTTGTAGCGTTGCCAAACGTTGGCTGTTTTCTCAGGCTAGAAAACAGGTCTTAAAAGAATAATTTGACATGTAAAGACATTTTGAAGTCTAACAGTCATTATATGAAGTAGGCTGGTGAAGGAAAGGGATCTAAAAGCAGTGCAAATGAATGTCAGTTTTGAATAATTGTTTGTCACTTCCATAATTAAGAATGTTATGCTGTAAATAGTAACCTCAGTAATTTCATTTGATTATGACAGAATCATAAATGCTTCTGAACCAAGTGGGAAATAAATCTACAAGCTTTAAATCCCTGGGTCAGATCTTCAAACTGAAGAAGCCCTTTCAAATAGGAGCTAATGATTACAGCGCTCTTAAATGCTAACTTTGGCCTTTTTTCTCTGTACACCTATTGAAAATGAACCAAAAGTCTTCAACTTTGGAATTTGTGTTCAGTACAATAATACATTAAGATTTTGAATTGTTGGCCACTTCAACTAAGAATGACATGTTGTAAATAGTAACACAGTAATTTTGCTTGACTATGAAGGAATCATAGAAGCTACGATCGGAACCAGTAGAGCAAAATAAGTTTGCAAGCTTTAAATCCCTGTGGCTGATCTTCAAACTGAAGAAGCCCTTTCAAACACAGGAACTAATGATTATAGCACTCTTAAATGCTAACTTTGGCCTTCATTTTCAATACACCTATTGAACCAAAAGCCTTTTTTATATTTTTCCTCTTTTTCTTCACCTTTGAAATTTGTGTTTAGTTTAATATTATATTAAAATTCCTGATTTAAAATTTTCAAATCAGACATTTTTATAGGCTTGCTTCCTTTTTGACCTTACACCAGTTTTACAATGTAATACATAAATGCCAGTGATTGATCACAAATTTTCACTGATGGATTCTGGTCTGATGATTTTACTTTACACTACTTCCTTGTTCTGGGTTGTTCCTTTATGCCGATTTCCATGAAATTCTAACGACCAGTTCCCTTACATAAGTATCTGCATTATCAATACCAGGAAAAACGGCTGAGAGGCCACTTGTCACAGTGACAACCTGAGATATAAATTGTGTAACAATGCTGTGTCATCTTCAAGATAACCAACAATGAACAAGGAAAATTGATTGCTAAAGAGTCATGTTTGTAAATTAACCACAACAACATGAATAAAATATATTACTTACAAGTGGTGATGCTATATTCATTCACTAGCAACTTTCAGAATGACATTAAGCTAAGCTAATGAGGTATTAATACTCATGTTATGTCTTTGCTGTCATGCAACTCTTTCCCACATAAATGCTAGAAAATGAATAAGCCCTCTTAAGCTTCTAATCCCCAAGGACTCATATGTAACAACAACAGATTTATACATACAGGTTTCCATTGGACTTCCGTTCAGAAAAAAGACCCATATTGACTAAAAAAAAGGAATAAGACTTTGAAAAACCAAGAGCTCCCTTATTGAAATTGTACACAACAAGCTCTTTAATAAATACCATTAATTACAAAGCTCTTTCATTTTACAAATTTGAACTGACCATAACGTATTTGCGGGGACAAAAATTTTAGTATGCCGTAAAAGTCCAAAACACAGATGTACAGATTCACTGTGTACTGCACGAAACCGCACAGCCGTATAGCATTTAACGCAACTAAAACATCAAACAACTATAAAGTCAGCTGTGTACTTGAGCCCAGTTTGCGTCATGTATATGTTGTAGTTAATTTTTTATCTCAGTTAATTTTTATTTTCCTATTGTTTTTGGGTATGGTAATGAATGCGAATGAATTTGAAACAAAGGAAATATAAAAATTAACTGAAATAAAAAATTAACTGCAACATATATCTCGTCTATTTTTTTCAGCTATACATATAAGTCGCCGCATTTTGGCAAATATTTTACCATTTAGATAAGATAAGACTACTTACTCTTCTTTCTGTATGTTCCTGTGTTTGAGCTTCCTTTGGTCGAAACTTTCAATGTCTCTCTTTAAGTTTAGTGATAGCTTTCGCTGGAGTCTCGCCATCCGCAGAAATTTCTGCCGTTTGTGTTCGTATGCGCCTACATCGCTGCTACTTTTTGACAGACGCGACATCCTTTTGGACAAACATTTTACCCTGCTCTCTGATTCCGAAAGGTTACGAGCAGTTAGTTTGTCGGCAGGCAACGAACTCAAAAAATCTAAAACCACAATCCGTGTCTCTTCGCGAATCCGTTCTCGTGACGACCAACGAGTTAATTCTGCAGCACTGTCCGAGCTCCCATCTAACTTTAGCGTCTCCCTCGAGCCGTCCATGTCGGAATCCGTGTCTGTTGTGAGTTCAGGCGTCCCTTGAGCTATGTATGTGTCTTCTACTGAGTCAAAATGCATTGTTGTTAATTGATATGAGGTAAGTAAAGTGTTTCGCGTTTTACACTTCCTTCGACACTTCCTTCTCGATATTGAGTGACTCAAGCCCAGATTCTCTCGGTCAATCTTTTAAAAACAATATGGCCCTATTGTTGGCCCATTATATGCCCGATAATGGCCCCCGGCGGTGTATACAGAAACGTGATAGTTTTTCAATTCTTGTTTTCCGGCCCTTCAGTTCATTGAGGTCACTACTCACTAAATACACTATTGTCGTCATAGGCAGGCATTTCCTGGTGGCCACTCATTGTACTTTGTAGTTTACCTCTGTCCGCTTTGTTCGTTACCTTAGACTGTTAGCTCTGTGACCTTTGTGGACGCGGCTCTCACGATGGTTCTTGGATACATTCAGTAGCTCTTGGTAACCCCTCCTCCCCACCACCCCCAGAAAAACTTGTAGGGGTACCGACGACTTCGAAAGAGTTCCCATTCACGCACAAAACACTAGGAGTGGGGAGTGGGGGACGGGTGCCTTTGTTCCATGAGGGGTGATCCCCATTATTAACAGGAAAGTTCAATATCAGAGCGGAACAGGAGTATAGTGAGAGAGGGAGAGAGAACCTGGGAATTGGGAACAAGGTTTGGAGTTTACAGTAGTAATAAGTTCTCAGAGCATGGTATTTGAAACGGCGCTTTTTTCAGTAAATCAGCATATCAATTTATTAAATAGTCCTTCTAAAATGCCCAGACAGCACATGTAACCCATAGAAAACCCATGGCCAGGCCCTCCTCCCACCTCCTTGCTTTTCGGTTTAATCAAAGTGTTTCAAAATGAGGCCTAAATTGCTAATTATGGTGAAGCCAGCCTAGCCCAGTTAGCATAGTTCTATTTGCTAGCAAACTATAACTACCCCGGTCGCTTGTACTTTGGCTTGCCATGGGAGTTATATTTAACAATTATTCCGCGAGCCCGAATGGGCTCTGAGTCAATAGGCCTCATGGGCTATTGACTCAGAGGCCATGAGGGCGACAGGAATAATTGGTTTAGTAAAATCCAACTAGTTGGTCAAAAATATCGAGAATAAAAAAATTTTAGCGAGTTAAAGCTAGACTTTAATCCTTTTTTGCCGTCAAAATGCCCGCGCTTTTCGCTATTAGTGGGTTACAACATATGTCCTAATAGTAGCTAAACTAATAAGAACGCAGCATTGATAATAGACCACTAGTTGGATTTTACTATAAAAATACCAAATACCTTCAGTCGAACCCTGCTTTGCGGACACCCGCTTTTACCACGAACACCTCGTTATTGCTGTCAGTGCCTTTGTCCCTCGGGAAACCCGCTTGCATTTAATAAGGACACCCGTTAATGCGGACAACGAACACATTTCTTGCCCAATTAAAAAATTCTCAAAGAAAGCCAACCAATCATTATCAACTGTTATAGACCTTTCCTTTTTCAAGGTAAAAAATTCCTTCAGTTGATAGCACGTTGGTGTTTACAGCGTTACCATACACCGGATAGGATGATTTGTAGTCGTTAATTTTTGGCATCAAACGATTTTTGCAAAGAAGGGTGTTGATTAAGTTAGTAATACTCTATATAGATGAACGATTTTTTAAGTGTTTCGTGGACTTAGTAAGCCGCGTAATGACGCCTTTGTGAAGGTTAGAGAAGTTTAATTTGACGATCCTTTATGTCCTCCTTTACTTCTTTGAAATTTGTTCTAGTAAAAGTTTTTTTTAACTTTAATAGCATGACCCGTTTAATATGGACACCCCGTTGATATGGCGGGACACTTTCTGTGGTCCCTTCAATGCCCTTATTAACGTGAGGGGTTTGGCTGTACCCGGGGAGGGGGGTATTCCCTTATATAAGGTCATATAGGTATGTGCAGCCCCATTGAGTAGGGTTTTTGCGCCGTTTCGGTCTGAAAACAGGTGGCTTTGCCCATTTTAGTCTAGAATCCGGTAGGGTATTTGAGGGAACTACGGGAATGTATGGAAGCATGGGCTCCTGATGGAAGTATTTATCGTTTCAATTCCAAATGAGTAAGAAAGAAAGACAAATAATTTTTGTTTGCGTTCTAATCTAAGTAATGATAACATAATTTCCGCCAAAAGGCCAGGTCTGAAAGCGGGTGTGGAAAATGACATTGTTTGGTCTGAAATAGGGTCAGGATTTAGAGAACCGGGTGGCACACCCCCACCAAGAATTCCCCCGGGGACTGTACTTATCACTCAGACGTCTTCACAAGTGAATATCCTATTTTCACTCCCCAGACTGTTCACCCCCTGTCAGGGGGCCCAGGGGCCCGCTTCTCGAAAGTCCCGATAATCAACGGGCCCGCAAAGCTGTTGTCGTTTACATACAAGATAGACGTTTCAATAGCTTCTAACCAGGAGCCCATAAGGCTCCTGCTTCTAACATGGTAAAACTATATGATCAGTTAATGAAATAAAATGCATTAGTTTGCTAAATTCATTTTTATGAAGCAAGGACCAGCTTACTAAAAGGAAGGACCGGATCCTAATAAAGGATCTAATCAGCAATAAGTGAAAATATTAAGCAAAATAAGCAAGGCTGATTCAGTTACAGTCGGGAATATTGAGTAGTATATACAGTAGTTTGCTAGCCAGGACTCGCGTTTTTATTCTTTATATTTCGACTTGAATTTTTAATTTCGGGCCCAAAAAGTTACCGGGACTTTCGAGAAACCGGCTCCAAGGCTCGTTAGGCTAGGCTCATGTAGCTACATTATTAGTTGACTTTTAAGAAATCATACCATATTCTGTAAATAATGATATTAGTCCTCTTGTCTTACGATAATCACATGTCACTCCGAACAGCTCAGTGACTTTAGATGATAGAGCAAGTGCCGTCTTAAAACAAAGTTTTTCCTATAAAAAAACTTCCTGCACACATTCCTTTCTTTATAGTGATAATGTCGTTTTTGGTACCTACCAGTGAAAGTCAGCGGTGTCTTTGCCTGGTTTTGTTGTAGTGAGATGACGGAAGTGGCTGCTTCTTTCATAAACAGAATGTTGAAAGATTGCTGATCTGGTGCACGTTAAAATCTGGAAAATACACCAGACGAAAAAAACTTCCCGTCACTTTGCTAAAATTAAAAAGGTAATGAAGAGAACTGTATTGCCTCTATATGGTCAGAATTGTTTTAGTGAGTCAGCGAGTTTAGTTGTTGTTCTAAAATATGACTCACCGATCTGCTCAAGCAAGTAACTTTGGGCAATTCCCCTGAAAACCTTGCGCGTGGGGTCAAGATAGTTTCAGCTAAAAAATGGAAGTAGAGAAAAGGTCAGAACAGTTTCTAGGAAGGATTCAGTGCGACCTTCTAAAAGAAAGTCAAAAATAACTTGTACTTGTCGATATAGTTCATCTTTACCGGTTTCAGCGTTTCAACTCTTTCCGGTTGAGTTACCTTGACCTTTTTCGTGGGCCGCTTCGACAGAGCACAAATCCAAATAACTCAAGATATTCCTTCAACAATACGACACGATATCCAGAGTGAGAATCAGTGCTACCCGGGCCGTCCCAGTCCTCGTTTTTTTTCTTTTAATAAAAATGGGATTTTATGATAATTTATCGCATGAGTATTGAAATTATAGCCGAAGGAGAAATTCGGCCTTCCGGCTTCAAGCCGGAAGTGTGACCTCCTAGTTTCCTTTAGAGCCGTTGCAACAGGAGACTTGTATCAGAGGAGTATTCAGGGCAATTCTTATGGCGATCATATTGCACTATGCTGTATCCCTATCCATTCTGCACAACGGCCAATTGAGATTAATTGAGAAAAGTTGTAAATTCACGTACGCGTGGTAGGATTGAAAGATATCGGACGAGGTTGGACGATGACGCAGTGTCTCAAATCGAGTCGGTCAGCGGCTTTCCATGACAAATTTAAACGTGACGGTTTCACAATGACGAAATTTTGGGGGGAACTTCACAGATTTCTACGAAATAATATTCTCTTCCGGGGTCTATATTACGTTTATAAGAGTTAGATGTGATACGATATTAATTGTTACTCTCGTTAACGTATACAAGTACGGAACTCAAGAAGTTTGGTACGGGAAGCAAAGTTGCAAATTTGTGATGGCGGATGGTATGCCATACTTCAAGTCACATAAAACTCCAGTTGAGAACTCCGAGGAGAGCTTGGAGGATATCGAAAAGCAGGCATGTTTACTGTTTGAAGAGTTCTTAAGAATTACAGAACCCGCAAGTTCAGCTGGTCGGCTTCGGCATGCAAAGTCTGAGCACTCGGACTCTCCAGTCGTACGTAGTCTGAAGAAATCAGTTGGAGGTAAGAGCTTTTGCGACTCATCTTTTTCCTGCTTTTTCGAAAGTCTGTTAAGGGTTAGTTCAAGCTGGGTGAGATCGTAGAACTTAATAACGTGAGTCTTTGCTAGTTATATTATGTGGGATGTTTTTTCCGCGTAGAAGCACGGGTCACCTCAAAGACCTCGTCCTCACGTAAGGATTGCCCGAAAGTGTAAACCATTGACCTAATTTTGTCGAGATCGAGAACACAATGCTTCCTCGAGATAATGCTTTACTTAAGAAAGAGAAAGAGCCAGCCAAAGAAAAGCGTATCTTACGATTTTAGCGGGAAAAACTAAAAAATGAAACATTTTAAATTACATTTGCATGCCATATTTGAATAATAATTATTCAATATGTATGTGCATGATCAAGGACTTGTTCTTCAGTTTAGATATGGGGAGCGGGGATGAGTAGGTGGCTGTTTACAGCGGGGGGTGCAATCCTCAAAAGCTGTCGTAAATGGGGGCAACATTTCGCTATGATGGCAAAATCGGGTTACAGTTTTCACTTTTGTGTATTAACAGCTAGATTTACGCTGTAAGATCCTAACATGAATTGATAGACCTTTTTACCGATACGGCGGCCATATTGAATTAATTCGATTTAAGGAGTATTATAGGATGCCCAGGGGGCATGAGCACAGTTCATTTGTATTTTCGAGCGCTTTTCGGGACATTTTTTTGTAAAGTTTTCGTAGAATAAGATTGTAATGGGAAAAAAGATCCTTGTGCCGTGTTTGGATGTAATAATGATCGCCTTTTTCCTGAGAAATATACAGTGAAAGACCATATTTCTAATACTAAACTAGAAAAAGGCGATCATTATTACATCCAAACACGACACAAGGATCTTTTTTCCCATTACAATCTTATTCTAAGAAAACTTTAAGAAAAAATGTCCCGAAAAGCGCTCGAAAATATAAACGAAATGTGCTTATGCCCCTTGGGCATCCTATAATACTCCTTAAATCGAATTAATTCAATATGGCCGCTGTATTGGTCTAAAGGTCTATTTTTCAAACACTGACCCTATGAATAGATCCTTTCACAGTTTTTTCAACTTTTGACATGTAGCAGTGAGAGAAAATCTGTGACACATTGGAAAGAGTGCTTTAATATCAGTAAACTTGCCAAGTTTGAAAGTGGTGGGCCTTAACCCTTTAAGCCCCGAGAGTGATCAGTGTCAAAGTTCTCCTTGTAATATCAAGGCTTTGTAAAACAGAGTAGTAATGAGAATTACAGACATGATCACACAAGATGCATTTGCTTGATATTTTATCAACTTCTCCCGACTTCTTCTGTAGGAAATGAATAGGGGCTAAAAATGAGAATTCAAATATTGATCTTAGGGTTTAAAGGGTTACGCAAAGATATTGCTCCACAAAGTTGCAAAAATTCACAGACATTTGTATGGTGCCCCCCACATCATATCTCGGTGAGCATTCGGAAGTCAGCCAAGCGCGGTCATAGCACGCGTGCTGAACAAGAATGCTGTATCATGACAGACTAGAAACAACAGAAAACTCTTAAAGGCACAAACTCAGCCAACACGCTAAAAATCTTCAATGTTTACTCAAGTTTAGGCTTATAGACGATAATGTCACTGTTTTTCAATGACCATGAAATTCAGAATCCAAATAGTTAGTTAATCAATTGTGGCTCTGAAAAAATTTGAAGGAAAAAAAACTACAAATTTTTAAGAAAATGCTTTTTTCGTGAGAAGGACTCTTAAAAGCTGACAGATTCAACAAATAGCTAAAACTATAATTTCTGTATGTTTGCATTGCTCGAAATCCCGCACATTTACAAGGCTCTAAAGGTTTCTGCTGACTTGCAAGGACCCATCTGTTATAAAGATCCCCAAAATAAAGGGATAAATCTCATAGTTTATTAGATATAATCGTGTAAAGTTTGCTTACCATTTTTGCATAAATTATGGCCTTAATTTTTAAACTGCTGAATTTTTCGCATTGGATCTTTGCGATTTTGGTGAACATCTGTTCAACGCAAGGCACTAATACCCACTATATGTAGCCGAGAGATTTTCACGAAAAAATGCTGGCAACAGCAGAATTTCGATTCAGACCCCAAAGAGGCGTGGCACTATAACCACGTGACATTTACTCCGATCGCCAAAAATTTTATGCTGTATTGTAGATTGATCTATATGTTATCCATGCTATACGTTAGACTTAGGATCAAAGTAAAGGTGGGGATACCAGAGAGCTTCAAAGTAGGATGGTACCCTCACAAAATAACTGGGTTGAGTCACCTTAAGGTAGCCCCAAAACATTTTTGATGGGTAGCATTGATTACAGTTCATCTGTATTTTGAATTTCCCCCCCCCAAAAAACACTTGCCCTTTGGGCAAGTTAAGAACTGTCAGGATTCACTGGCCTGATTGCAAAATCCACAAGCCCCAGGCTACCAGACATGACTTTCTTTGCACACTGGTTACAGGTCAAAATTATTTTCAGGTTAGAATCTTTTAACCTAGGTTGATTCTCAATTTCTTTTGTCTCTTGGTCCTTAATATTCATGAATTAGGGCTAGGATTCAAAAGAAATTGACAATCAACCTGGGTTAAAAATTTAACTTTGACCTGTAACAGGTATTTGGTTTAAAAGGGTTAAAAGTGATAGTGACGATCCTGCCATAACTTGTTGGTCCCACTTGGATTGAAGAAGTAAAGGATCTTCATCTGTTGCAAATCAAATGAATACAGTAATACATAAAATCAGGTGATTTGTTGTTGCTCTTATAAAGGAGATTGAAAATTTGGATGGACTAGGTTTCACATTTTGTGACAATTTTTAAAATTAATTTGCTAATATTGCTATAAAATGCTGTAAGTTGTAAAGGGTGAAAAAAATTAGTTTATTGTCTGTTGTTTTTTTGAAGATTCTGTGTTATATCAAAGTGTCTGTCAAATAGTGTTCGTGTTTCAAAACAATAAACAACAGCACTTGATCTTAAGTGTTTTTAATGCAGGAAAATACACATTATTTTAAACAGTAAACAACAACATTTTGTAAGAATCTTTTATACAAGAAAATATAATGTTGTGGTTCAATTTTATCCTTGGTTCAAATTTTCTTTTCTTTTGTTTTTGGGTATGGTAATGTATGATAATAACATGATAATGAGTTTGAAACAAAAGAAAAGAAAATTTGAACCAAGGATAAAACTGAACCACAACATAAACTTTTGAAGTTATATTAGTTTCAGCAGACGTTATAGCCACCTTTTCTCCTTTGCTTTGTAACAAATTTTCAAGATTGTCCCCTAGTTAACTTGAACTTGACATCTTGGAGAGTTATGAAGATCTTTAGGAAAGGTGTGGTCATGTTATTTTACATATCTTTGTTGGGGATCATTTTCATGGTGATTTGATAGAACTGGAGATATTTATGCATAATTATAAGTATTAATTTTAATAAAACAGAGGCATTGATTAAACTTTTTTCATAGTCAGATAGCAAAATTTGTAATCTGTAACTTTGAAAAATTTCAATGTTTAAATTGGTTTATTTTTGTACAGCAAACACTGTATAAACCTATTACATGTACACCAGTAACATTTTATTACAAAACCATGACTCAAAAAAGAAAGAAAAGTAAAGAATTTAGGACAGTCAAAAAAAATCTCAAACTTGATATGTCAAAAATGCAGTAAAGAGTAAGAAATGTAAAGTTTAATATACTTTTTAACTTATAAAACGTGTGCTAAAACTCTTATTGTAAAGCCCTTGACTGTGTGAAATATCCTGCATAACGCTTACGGTAAATACAGTTATCTAATTACACATTTACTACATTATTTTATTAACAATCAATTCATGGAGCTTTTAGTACAAGTGTATCTGCTATTCATCCTGTTGAGGACCTTATCACATGAATGGCAGTCTGTAACTACAAGAAAACACACATCTGGTCAGAGGATGATTACATAATAGCTACTAGGTAGTTTGCTGTCTTTCTCATAGCGACAGTGTCCAAAGCTGAGAAGAGAACTGGGAATTCTTAAGTCTGTGGATTAATTTCTTTCATTATGGTTGTCTTTATTTTTGGAAGTAAAAGGGGTAAAATTTTTCTGTGGAAACATGACTTTTTTCAATTTTATGGGTCATAGGGTGATCTTTGACTTTCAACTGGAAGCAAAGATGTTAATGTGGTATATCACTTTATCATCGATATCCTTTATTCTAGGTGTCAAGGAATGCTCTGAGTCATATGAAGAAGATGACATGGTACCGGATAGTCAAATGATGGAGAAGGGTTATCCTGAGTCTCGAACACCCTTACCAGCTAGAGGAGTAGAGCAGCCTGCAGATCCAACAATACAAAAGCTGGCTCATCAGATGCAGCTTGCTGGTGATGCTCTTACAAGTCAATATGGAAGGCATGTGACGGTATGAACAAATGTAATGCTTTCCACATATTTGTATAACATGTAGTTTAATTACATTGCGTGGAAGATATTTTAATATGTAATGGTTCAATCAAATCCTCGCTTTTAATGTTATTTTTTTTTCATTTTGGGGTTATGACAATCAGGGTGCTGTATGATCAGCAAGGTTTTCTTGGGAGAAGTAGCTGTACTTACAAAAGCTTTGGATAATTATTATACATGAGAGTTACTTCAATCAGAGGTTACCGGTAATAATAGAATTCAAACCAAGGATTAAATTGAACCACATTGTAGTTTCCAAGTCCTTTAGATTTGTAAGTTGGCGAAAGACCACACAAGTAACAACAGTCCAATTAATTAACAATATATTAATTGGCAATTATTGCTAATTTTTGCTCAGATTACATGTAACTATTAGGAGTGATATCAATCGTTGAGATACTAATTCTGGGTTAAGAAATTATGGAAGTGCAGATGGCCTGAGTGGATTCTTAGCTCATGGCTATACCCCCTAACTTAAGATAATCATAGAAGTGCTGACATACCGCATTTATTTGACTGTAAGATGAGTAGAATCAGCATGAACAAGAATGAAAAAGAAATAAAAAACACCCGCCTTTAAGCCGAGACCCATTTATTACAAGACTTTTAACTACGGGAAAACCTAACATTAATATTTTGAAAAAAATGTGACCTGCTCCAGGAAAGCGTACACTTATGCTTTTCTGTTAAACGGGCAAAAACTAACAGCTGATGAACGGCATGTTAAGATTGAGCCTTTCAAAGTGTTGTAATGGTTTGATTAATGCTGTTAACAGGTGAACGAAAATTTCTGATGGCTTTTGAAAGTGTTCAAATGAATTGCCTTGATTTTCTTGAGGGTTTGCTTGACGGGTTGACTAAACAACATAAATGGCTTACATGATCAAAGTTTTCGACAATATATTGTTGTTTGGGTTTTTCACTGCTATTAATCTTTCTTTGTGTCTTCATTGTATTAAAATGGTCCCAGAAATTGCCTTTTAGTCAAAATAAACCACAGCAATTTGTGTAAAAATCACCTTGCTTATAGCCAAATAAATATGGTATTCCTTGTTTACATGTTAGAATGACACGATCACTCTTTTGCTTTGATAGGGAGTCCAGAGTCATTTAGTCTCATTTGTTCTGGAGAATGCTGCTTCTTTGACGTACGATAGGCTGAGTCAAGAGATTGATAACATGGTGGGCAGAGATAGGAATTGGTCAAACTTTGTCATGGCAATGTGTCTCAGCAAACGGGTTGCTGAGGAAACAGCGAGAGCTTGTGGAGCAGTCACCGATTACTTCAAACGCTACATAAGTCAGTCATATAGTCGGGCAATGCAACAAGCTGGAGGAATGGTAGGATCTTGCTTCATAATTTACTGTACATCATATAATTATGTGATTTTTAAGGTGGCTCAAGTGGATTTTTTAGGGTGGATACCTCCCAAGTTTGAGCATTAACTACGTCGGCATGAGTAAAGATATGGGAAAAAGGTTACCATAACTGTATTGTATAAAGATGAAAATTTCCTTGATTGTTGAGAGAATTTGATATCTGATCAAAGTATTTTTCCTTTTGGCATCATTTTATTAATCCTCATAACCTTTTCTCTTGATTCTGCCATGGTAACTTGCAAAATTCCTGGATGACAACAATAAGGTGCTTAAGCAACAACGAAGGCGACAGCAACCAGAATGGCAAAAAAGCAATGGGTTTATATAAGCAAAACAACAACTTTTGAATGTTCATCACATTTTTTTGTCCATTTCATAGCTGTTGTTGCTTGACTGCGACATAAAACTTCCTTATTTCATGCGCCGGCCTTAGGGAGTAAGTGAACTCAACACAAAAATTTTATTTTTCTTTTGTTAAACTTAGATACAGTCCTTACAGATTTAGCCCCAGAAAATTTCGCCAACATTTGACAAATTAAATGAATTGAATGAGAACGATGAAGTTTGAAATAGTAGGAATTCACTTTTTAAGTTACGTTGTCAGTTTGTTGTCATCCAGAAATTTTGCTACCATGGCAACATGACGTAACTACTTCTCCTCTCTATTGCTGGGAGATAATTGATGGTAGTCACTCTTGAGACCTAAAGGGTTAACAATTTCCTTATTCACCACTAATAGAGGCACTTAACTTGCAAACACTGAACATTGATATTTTCTTTTCTTTTAGGCACCATTTGTAGAATCCAGAGGTCGCCGCCAATAAAATTCAGGCAAGGCACGGTTAACCCAGCAAGTCAGAAAGACATCTTCTGGAAATCAATATTGTATTTCAACCAGAGTGTTAGCTCAGTGCTTGATATGTTCAGTGGGAGCTCATATAAAAAAATGCCATGTAATTAAATTCTCCTTCTTCGTTATTATTGTCACTGAAATACTGGCAGTTAACCTTTTTGGTTTGTATGTTTTATGTTCCCAAATATTCAGACCATGTGATGCTCTCAAGAGAATTTGTCTTCTGTTTTTTTTATAAGTTTGCACACATAGATGTATGCATGATTTGGATTAATGATGAAATAGGATTGAAACAGCTCTCTGGGGTAACTTCATGTGATCTAAAATGGTAAAACAAAACAGGCAAGCTAAAAAGGTCTATTGTTCCAAGAACCCCGACCTTCTAAGTTAATCAACTTTAATCATATCTGTCAGTGCAGAGTTTGTAGCTTTTAAATTGGGATTGCTATCATCAGTAAGTATTTTGAAAGCCTTAAAAATCTTATTTTATAATCTCTTCAAGAATAAGTTCTTGTAAGGGTCGAGCACTTGCTCTTTAACTTTAAAATTAAACTTAGAAGTTGTGCCATAAAATTCTCTATTTCAACACCCCACTCAATGTGCAGTATAAATTATGATTTATTAATTAATGCCTTGCACTCGGAAGAGTGCCTAAGTGGTGAACAGAATATTGATCTTCTACAATGCTTCACCTTACTGTCAGGATATCATAATTAGTGGGTAAAAATTTTTTGGTTTCTGTTGAGGTGTTCTACAAAGCTGAGTTGTTCAAAGCACTGTTTGTGAGTCAGCAAATACAGTTTGTGAGGATTATTACCATAACACAGGGCTGTCTCTAAGGGGTGGGGCCCAGGGATTTTTCCTGTCTACTATGAGGATGATCCTTAGATACTTTAATAGGAAACAAAGAAAAATAGAACCAAAAGAATTTTCATAGCTCATCAATTCCTTTCTAGTAACTGCATATACCTGGCAACAAGAAATCTTAGAGACAGCCCTGGTAACAACTCATTTTCCAATATTAGTGCTAATCTCACTTCAATCTCATGGACCTAATGGGCTAACTCAGTGTTGTATCCAATGCAAATTTCCCGGGGTTAAGATTCTTTGTGTATTGTATTTGCATTATAACGTGGCATTCACATTTAAATGATATGGAAATTCCTAAAACTAAACGTTTTATTCCCAAAGGGTTTGAATTTGGTACAACATTGAGTTAGCTGAATAGGTCTATCCCAGGCCCTTGGTTTTCAAAAGATGGATAGCGGAAGTGTTGTTCAGAAGGTGAATAATGCAATTAGTTTCCCAAATAATTAACCGCTGGATGATGATTTATCCGGTGGATAGTGTTATCCAAGGTTTGAACAACCAGGGCCTGGATAGCTCAATGGTTCCCTAATATTTATCCAGTGGACTGTGACTTATCCTGTGGAGTAGAGGCTCTCCAACGTTTGAACAATAGGACCAGATGTGCAAGAAGAAATGATGTATTTTCCAATCAGTTTCCATTTATTTTTTTTTGTAATATTTGCTTCTGCTTTACCCTCTCCAAGAGAGATATATGCATTTGATGAAAGTGGTAGTCTTTTGTGGTATGAATCGAGTTCTTTTCTGCCACTGTACTCTTATTTGGTTTCCAGGTTCTCTGTGAAAGAAGAAAAAAGAAACTGGAAACAATGAAAAAGGACTGTTAGATTTAATGCATTTCAGGTATTCTTGTGTGCGAGGCCTGGATAAGAGTAAATTCGTACCTTTTATAATCAAATGATAAAAAAAGAAATAAAGTATTTGAATGCTTCTTAATTTTTTAAATGATGTGTGAAGAAGGGAAGTTGATTATAAGAAAGTTAAAATACAACAGCTGGGGTCACTTTAATAAAACTTTTACAAGTGTAGCTATTGTTCTCAGACTCTAAAACAATGGCTACAGTTCTAAATTACACGTGTAAAAGTTTGATTAAATTGATTCCAGGATACAGTCTGTACCACTTAATAGCAGTGTGTGTTAAGATCTTGGGGGGTGGGGGTGGGGAGGTACTCCCTATAATGGCCTATACGGGGAGGCTCCACCCGAAGAAAGGGTGTCACTTTCAAACATATTAGGTGGCGAAAGTGAAAAATTCATTTAAATTCCAAATCCCTTTTTGTAAAATCATAAGATTTAAACAGTACTGTTCAAAATTTCTGCCAAAGAGGTTTTATTTGAATGGTAACACCACAGCTTTTCATCCAAAAGTGAAAAATATTATTGCGATCGAGTGGTTTGTTGCACTAGTGTTCCTAGGAATACAGCCGTCTTACAGATGTTACACGCGTGTCACGAAACGTGCCAGTGACAGGGAGTGATGAGAAGCGGCTGTATTCGCAGGGTTGGCACTTACCAATTGCAGGTTCTTCCTTGCTTGGTTTTCCTGTGTACCCCTGGTCGGGGCGTTCCTGTTCGGCACGTCAGATTTACAATGCGGACGCCTAGCAGTTAAGAAGAGTGCCAGATGTTCTGAGAAATTCCACTTTTGATCATAAAACAACCAAATGCCAAATCAGGTGAAAACTGATTAATTGGTGTTTCAACATTTTTTTTCCGTTTTTAGAAAAACTACTCTTCTAACTGCCAGGCGCCGATTGGCTCTTTGCAGACGTCCGCCAAAACAGTTTTTTGCTGGAAATCATTAGATCTAAAAATAAATTGCAACGGGAAAGGCTTGACTCAAGGTTATAGCACATATGGAGGCTCCGGGTGAACGGCTTCTGTAACTGCGTGAAAAACGGTAACCGCTGAACTTTGAAAGGAGAGATAGAGTAGGGTTACCCCTGGTGTGCAATAAAGAATTGAATTGAATTGAATTGGGGTTACCTCTCCCCAGCTGTCAATTTGTCTGCTGTTGCATTCAAGTGCGGTCGCGTTGATCACCTTTTACTTACTCATTATTCGAGTACTTCAGGGGGGCAATTTGGTTGCTTATTGGGGGAAATGGGGTTCAATTGAGATTGAAAGAGAAAAGGTATGCACATGAGTTCAGGGGCACCTTGTTATGGTAGTGGACTATTTAGTGTTTGGCCCAGGGGCGGATCTAGGGGGAGGGTGCAGGGGGTGCGCACTCCCCCCCCCCCCCTGAGATGACCTCCGGTTTTCTAATACAACTGGTATTCCGCCAAAAAAAAAAAACTATGTGGTTTATTGGTGTTGAAGTAGAGCAGGAGACGAGTGCACCCTCTCCTAAAAAAAATCCTGGATCCGCCCCTGTGGCCACTTATACTACTACATGATAAATTTCTACAATTTTATTGTGTTAGAGCAGTGGTATTTCAGCTTAAATTGAAATACCTACATGAGAAAATTACAAACCTTTTGCGGGTAGTAGTATAAATAATAGCATGATTTGTTCGTGATATTTGGCATAAATACCACTCGTGATATTTCCAAATTGTCTCAAATTTCAAAATATCACTCGTGGTATTTATGCCAAATATCACTACAAATCATGCTATTACCTATACTCAGTGATTCTTATTCCTTCAGTCATATTTCAATTTTTTTTTCACAACCCCTACATCCAAAATTTTTCAATTTTACATAATTTTAAATTTCTCCCCCTAATTTTTATTCATTAAAACAATGAAAAAATCGTCCAAAAATCCTCATTTATTGAAGCAATGACTCTTATCCTGTTGGGCCATTTTTTGATTGAATGAAATCTTCGCAAGATTTGAACAGAACGGGCTGAAATCTTTTGAGCAGGGGGCTCTTTTTTGGGTACAAGCTTTCGGGGGGTGGATATCTAGGATAGTTTGGGTCTCCAAATTTATGATTGTTCTAAAAAACATCTCCCCAAAATTGATCCAACCAAACGTTCTAGAAATGGGCCAGTTTTTATACCCCTGTTCTAGAAGTCGCCCTAAAACTGATTCCCCTAGTTCTAGAAATGGGCCAATTTTTTATAATCCGTTCTAGAAAGTTTGTAAATTGAAATAGCCCTGTTTTTTCTTTCTTTGTTCGACTTATACATCAAAGAAATGTTTCTTCATAATCAGCAAAATTTTAAACAGAAGATAAATCAGTAATCCACAAGTTTTTTTATACTCCATTCCTAAAAACACCTTTATTTAAAAAGAGTTTTGGTTCGAAAGGGTTCTTCGTTTTGCGATAGAGGACGTTTGAATTTCTAGGCTTTTGCGTGACGCGGCATTTAGCTGGCGGCCACAACGGTTCTTATGTGGGTTAAAAACATTACCAATTTTGGGAGATTTTGCTGTCTAAACATTCTTTGTCTCAGAATAAATATCACTTTAATAGTTTATGAGTTTTTCAAGCGATGAATTAACGCATTAGTAGGAAAAATCAAAAACAGATGTTTCTGTTGGTTTCCGGCGGCCATATTTGTGCCCCGCAAAGGGACACAAACATGGCGTCGCCATACAAAGCTTTGTAAATTTGGGTAAAACGTTTTTCCTAATATCTCGCATATGAAATATCGCACAGACCTGATTCTTGGCGAGGCCTTTTGCTTATTTATCTTCTTTTATTTCCTAGATTCGGGACTTTCTGTATTGAATGGTTTGCAATTTTATTTTTGATTGCGTGACAGTGAAAACCGAGAATATGTATGATAACTGAAACAGGTTTCAAATTCTCGTGGAACATCACGTGGTCTAAATTGGGAACTTTCCCTGAAGCTATCAGGGGCAGTGCTAACAAAATGCATTGCTCCTTGAAAATCGACAAAGGAAAGCTCTTAGGATGACTTGGGAAATCTAACGGATAAGCTTATCAATGAAGTCCACAAAGCCTTGTTGCTAAAGGTTATACTATGCAGGTACAAGAAGGGCAGACGTTTTCCTCAATGTTTGGGGAAAACGGTTCAAAAACCATAAAAAGAACTCTATAAGATGTTTTCGTGTTACAAATTTTTTTTTTCACATGATCGAAATGATAACTTGTTTAACAGAAATATGTCGGAAAAATATCATTTCTGTGGCAAGAGTAAAGTCTTAAGGCGGGAACTGAGAGTCTTTGTTAGTGAATTTCTAACAAGAAAACTAGTGTCAACTTTGTCGCCGGAGTTTGTTTTGTTATTTACGCACAAAAAAATTGAATAGTCTAAATATAAGACCTGCTTGACAAAATCCCATTGAAAGTGTGATAACCTGTTGACAGTAAACATGCTCTAAAACAGATACACAGTAAAATGCACACAGAGCGGAAATAACAAACCATAAAAGTACAAGGAAAATTTCCCCTTCTTTTCTCTGTGTGTTACTACTTAAATGAACAGTGAAAAGGAAAACAACTAACTGCTAAATCGTTTCAGGCGTTGAACCAAAAAGATTCAGGCGACGCTACGTCAAATCTTGAGAGTCAAAAGGCTCATTCAAAACCACCTGTTGGACAGGGCGTGGTCCACACGTTACAACAAGATACAAAATACATGTCCACCCCGATTTTATCGCACTGCTTTGGAATTTAGTTTATGAAAAAAGCACATATTTAAAGGTCCATCTGTATTTTTATAAATGAGAAATTCTATTCAAATCAGTGAATCGAGGCTGTTATAAGCTGTTCATTGTCGCTGATGCCCTGAAAGCAGAAAACATAACATTGGTAGTATGAATTATTAATACACGATCCTCGGTACGAAGCTAATTAAATTTTAAGCAACGCTGGTTTGCTTAATGGAATTCTGCCTGATAGTCCAGAAAGCTGTTATTCTTTAATAATCCAAGAACTAAGTATTAGTCGGGAAGCACTCATCAAGCGAAAACTTAATTTTCTCACTCTGGCTTTGAGGAGATTACTTTGACTTCAAACTCAACAACAACTATCACAGCTCACAAGGAGACAGACAAGCCTGATCTTTGAATATCCTGCAAGATCACATTTATTATTGCCCACGTAATTATTTTGCTGTCGGCAACGCTGGTAAGAATTATTTCTATATATAAACACGTACAAGCTAAAAATACCAATTTTAAACATGGTTAATCGCTAAGCTCTCGTTTTAAAAACGACACAAATTCGCTTATTTGAGTCGAAGGACTAGCGTAATTATATCAATTATATCGTCTTTTTTCAGTGAGGAAGTTTCATCTAGCTATACAGTTATCTCACAACAAAATGCCGTCAATGTTAATGTAATCATATATTTATAAACAGACGATTTTGCTTTTACAGTTAGCGCTTTAAGTTCTTTTTATTTTTCACCTGCAAGTTTTTCTGAGTTTTTCGTCGTACTGTAGGTCGAAAAAAAGGCAGTTTTTTCGTCTCCAAAAAAAAAACAAAATTTTCCTTAATGTTTAAATTTACGAGCTAAGAAAACTTGTCGATGAAACTTGTTTCTAGTATAAATGATTTTTGTTATATCGGTGTTTAACATTTGGTTATTGCAAATACACCGAAACTCCCTACGTTGTTGTGGAAGGAAAACCAGTACCAAAGTATTCAAAGATTCTAGTTGAACGCAGTTATTTTATTAAGCCTTTCCAGAATCTAAGGTTGGCTTGTCCAGTCTGTACCTGTTATGAACCAGCGTTAACACAAAAATCCGTATACGTGCCATTTGAATGCCATTGTGAACAGCATCTGCCTGAAGAGGGTCGATATGAACGGCATACTAGAAAGTGACTAATTATGATTTTCTATATCTGTCCGGAGTAGTTTCATCATAAGGATTTCCCTGGTTGTAAGTACTGCCAATGGTAATTTTGGCTTTCAGATCTTTTAAATTGCACTCAATACACCAAGCCTCTGCCTGCCTCGCCAAGGAAAATTTGTGTTCACTCAACAAGTACAACTCTTCGTAATGTTTCACGTGCGACAGGTACTACGGCCTAAACGCCTATGAAATCCGGTTTTAATATCTTCTTGAGTTTTGAAGTTTGTGGTTAAGTTTTAAATTCTTTTCCCCTAGACTCAGTCCCCTGCCCCCCCCTTCCGATGGGGACGGTGGCGAATTAACTTTGGCGCTACCGTTAATTATGCCATGGTTTATTCTTTGTAAACCATAGGCAAGGAGAGAAACAAATTCTAACTTGCTCGATTATCCATTTCCTTTGGTTTAACTGCGCTGGAGTTGTCTGTCTTGATAGCTGACAAGGCTTATTTCATTTGTTTTTGTCTTTATTGCACCAATCCTTTTTCACGTTAATAACCATAAAATTATACAGTCGTACAAACCCTAGCCAAAGGTTGATGTAAACAGCTGGCTTAACCGATTTTTATACCATTCTGAAATTGTTTTATTGGGCTTTGTCACGCGCTCCTCCTCTACATGAGCTGTCACGCAATTTAGGAAATTGGCTGCGAATTACAATTACTTTAAAACTGAGAGAACCATATTACACATCCGGTACAAAAGAGGGCACAGATTTCACAAAATTTAGAAGATAAACGCTGAATTTTTTGTCTCTCAGAAGAAATTTTAAGTTTCGTAGCAGCGATTAATATAAAGGGCAACCACTAAAAGAAATTGATTTTAACTACCGTGACACAGTCTCCTTTCCGCATTTTTTCGGCCTGTTAGCTCTTGTTCTGAAAGTTCAGCATCATCTTTAAGTAGAAACAATATATATTTGCAGTAAGAGCAGTGGAGTAAACTACAAATTGTAAATAGGCCTGAAACGAAGAGAAGTGGCACTGAGCTAGACTTTTAATCAATGTACGTGTGATGGTGCATGGAGGGAGGTAATGCCGTGACTAACCTCTCGCGAGGTTATTAGGTGTTTCCCTTTCCAGCAATACTACATTCAATTTGCTGAATCATTCCCTAAATTCAAAATCACACGCATTTCTTTATGGAAATTAATTAAGGGGAAAAAATAAACAGAAATGAACACACATGTTCATATGATAAAGACCGAGTGACGGTTAATATAGATACAGCGAAAAAACTGAACCGAACACAACGAATAATCCCTGCTGGACCCGGGGGGAAATGCTCCAGAAAGTTTTGGGTGGATATGTGTCTCATAGGCCCCAACTGATACCCCGTTTTCCATTCAGAATGATACACCATTCCCAAAAATAAACCGCTTCCTAGTGTTATGTTCTTTATATTCTTTTTCAACCGCTGATATTTCACAACTACCATGCACTGGAAATGCTATTTCTCGTTCTAAGATGAGGAAACGTCTCGAATTGTGGTACACACGGGTATAGCTAAGGTAGTCTGTGGAGCCCCATACCCCCTCCCTTACTTTGCCAGGTCATGACTTCTTACACGAGCTTGTGGGAGAACGTCATATGACTTTCACTTATCACATGATTAGCAGAATCGTTTGCGTGTAAGCGCATCACAGAAATGCAGAAATTTATATTTCATTTCGTTCTTTGATTGACGAACGTATTTTTTAAAGCGGTTAAAACGAAGACAGACGTGGTCGACACAAGGGCGATCGCGAGTACCACTAATATAAACGAAATTCTGATTGGTCTATTCTGCGTCACAGGTTCTTTCCAGCATTTCTATTGGACGGTATAAAAGCTTGTGATAGAGGCGGGAAAGAAAAGCAACCAGCCTTGACAGAATAAACTTCGCGCAAAGTTGAAGTGGAAGCGCTGCATGGAAAAACCTCACAGGTATGTAGTTACTATGCACTCTGGCGGTAAAATCTTGGCTTTGTACGCGTTACGAGTACGAAAGAACTGTCACGATTTCGTGTTCTGGAGGACAGTTATCATAATATCCTTGAAAAGTTTCTTTGTTGTGGAAAACAACCGGCAAGGCAGCCGGCAAGCCGGTCGAAAGCCGGAGAGTTCTTTCAGATAAACTTAAGTCTTTTGATGAACTTTGAAAATTTTTAATATTTAATGTTGCTTTACTCTGTCCAGTTTAACTTCCTTCAATGGTAAAAATCTGTGTGTAGGTAATTTTAGGTCAGACGTAGGAAAAACTGTATGAGGTTAACGTATATTTTTTATATCAAGCTCAAAACAATTTTTTTTTCGGCGGATGGTGGGAAATTTACGGAAAGAAAGCATGTTTTCGAAACATTGCATGGAGTTAAGTCAATATTTATCAATCAAATTTAACTAGTTTCCTGAACCAATTTAATTTTCAAGTTTCTCGCGGATTACTTCCGTGGAGAAGAAATCTCTTAGTTTAATTAATTATTAAGTTTATCAAACTGATTTTTACTAACTCGGGGAAATCTGTTCAGGAATCGAAACGAGTGGAACGGTCACAGTACAAACAAAGCTGTGTGAGCTAACTTTAAAATTTTGAATTAAGCTCAAGTGAAAAATATTTCAATATTGTATGTCCTCGGATAAGTAAACTTGTTGGAAAAAATGAAACTAATACATTCTTGACATAGCTTTAGTTATTTATTGGCTCAAAATTAAGTTTCAGAAACACGGCTTGTTTTCACTATATTTTAGCTGCCCTCGCAGTTTGATTTCATTTTCATTAGTTCGAAGATAAGACTTATATGAACTGAATTAGTTTTCCTTTCAATTTGACTTTACTAATTCAACCTTAGGAGGCAACATAAATTCATTGTGAAGTTATTTATATCCATATAACAAACGTATATTTGTGACTTCGTGTATTAAATATTTTATTAGTTTACTCTGTAACTTAAATATATAATTAAAAAATCAGTAAATATCAGTTTCTTTTTCGTAGTATTTTTATAAGGAAGTTAAATTTGGACTTGCAACTATGAGGTATAAGTTTTATTTATCGTTTTTCCTCGGACTAAAGCGAGCTAAGAACAAAAAAGACGTCACATTACATAAGTTGCAGATTCAAAGAAAAATTAGAAAAAAAATTTGCTTCATATTATGAATATTAATGAGGAACTTCATCTAGCTGAGCTTTTCAATATGTTCAAACGTCATGAAAAGTGTTTATTAGCTTCCATTTTGGACCTATGGAAATGCAGTTTATTGATTTGATATCTTGTATAACAAATGAAGGGATTGAAGCCAGCATGCATATTGCGAACATATTTTGAAATTCAGGCTGCTAAATTTACTGCCACTACATCCTAAAACTCGTATTGTTAACCCATTCCCACTGGAAATGTTTCCACTAAAACAAAGTCGTTTGAAACTTGATTGGAGTGTCAATGCCATCGTCGCTTCAGAATGTCTAAAATCGTCGTTTCATCATTCGCAATCGTCTGATCGTAAAATGCTCATACAGAGTCTGAAACTTAGAACCACACACAAGACTTCTTTAAACTCGCTTCGGGAGGAGGAAAGTGTTGAAAGTAGCTGAAGTTGAAAGCTAGCATATTAGTAAGATTAAGCGACGAGAACGCCGACGTCTCGGACGTCATGAACAGCAACCTGAAGTTGGATGTCTTGCTTGATGGAACACTTTTGTCTCACACCAGAATTTAAATGCCTTTGTTTTAACTCTGAGCACTGAAAGAGAGAAAATATCTACTTCCGGTTGCCATCTTTGCCGTCCGAGACGTCAACGTCCACGTTCTCATTGCTGCTTGCGCTTAAGGTCTCTAATTATTAATGTTGAATGAATGTGTGTTAAGTTTTTCAGCTAAGCTTCTCAATGGGGCCATCGCTGGTGTGGTGGGCGTTAGCTGTGTCTTCCCCTTGGACCTTGCTAAAACAAGGCTGCAGGATCAGAGAAATCTTGGAACTCAAAAGCAATACAAGCATTTGTAAGTACCCTTTTTTACTTGTCGATATCACTAATTTTTCCATTTTTTTCAATGTTTACACTGTGTTTAATTTTAGAGTGGACTGTTTGTGGAAAGTGACAAGAGCGGAAGGGATACAGGGTCTTTACAAAGGTAAAAGGAAAAAAGGTTAACAAGTTTTAATTTTGTGGCCTCAGTTCCTGGTAAATGTTCTGGAATGACTTTTTTCTTGTTTGTTTTTATGTTAGGAATGGGAGTGAATCTATTGCTTATTAACCCAGAAAAAGCAATAAAACTCGCTGTAAATGATCAAGTCAGGCAAATGTACGGTGGTAAAAGGTAACTTCAATCACTTTTGCATGTTTTTGGTAAATAACCTAAACATTTCTTTGTTTGTTAAAATTATGCTCAATTAGTATCTCATAAGCTTTTGTTTGGCTCGTAGCATATTTAATGTTGTGGAAACTGACGCTTAAACAGGCTCCATTTTCGTTAATTCCTTTAAAACAGGTTTTCTTTTTTTTTCTTTAAGGCACACACTACCCTTATCCAAAGAAATGATAGCTGGTGGAGTAGCTGGGTTTTGTCAGGTCTGCTTCGTTTTACTTCTAAAAGACGCATTTTAATACTGTCTGTGGTCCAGATTCAATTTCTAACTATAACTAACTTTTTTTCGTGGTAACAGGTGATTGTAACAACACCAATGGAAATGCTTAAAATACAACTTCAAATGGCAGGCACACAAATCTCAGGTAAATGTCTTGCTTGAAAAGGGGCGTCAACAGAATCTGGGTGGAAGCGAATCGGATCAACCTCGATCTGTAGCACACTAAATGAAAAAAAAAGTTAGGGATAGGGAGGATTGACCCGATCGAGTTCGATCGAGGTTTTGTCAACGGCCTGTGAAAAAATCTATCATCAGTAGTACAGAGCGCACCGCTAGGCCTCTTTTTTCAGCAGGAATCTCATTAAGGAGGGAGGAATACATTAACGCCGATGATGTCATAGCCTTTCTCTCTATCTGGTAAATAAAATGTGGGGGAGTCTCATTCAAATGAGGTCATGTGGTTTAACCCGTTTTGATTGGCGGACTAGCAAAAGTACTCATTGGTTGATTCATCTTGTGAAAGGAATAAGCGCTAACTCGCTTGTGCCTGTGATATAAACGTTACTGAGTCGTAACGTACTTATGCAAGTTCTATTTCCTGCCGTTTCTATTGTACATCGCAAACAATAAATATGTAAATCACCCGTACGAGTAGCCGTAACAACGGGTAGATTGCCTCTTACCCCGGAGAAACGGCTAGGCTACCCGGTAGAAAGCTAACGCCCTGATCACTTCTTGGAAATTCCTTAATATCCTGCAGCTTTCTTCGATCTGTTTAATTCGTCATAACATATTCAGCCTCAACCAATGATTTTTAATTACCTTGCTTATAGCGAGTCCTAGAGTTGCCAAAACCTCCTCTGCAGTGGCAGCCGCCAGTTCAAATTTAAGAACGTTCGGCACCAACTCAAGTACACCCCCTAAATCTGCGGCGAGAATAGCACAGGATCTAATGAGAAGCAAAGGCATCGGTGGATTGTACAAAGGACTTGGAGCCACATTAGCAAGGTGAACGAAACACTTTATAATTTACCTTAACTGCTTGCAAAGTTCTGCTAATGCGCTTTGATAAACTCATTGATCTTCCATTGGCCTTCCATTTTCAGGGACGTTCCTTTTTCCTGTATCTACTTTCCACTATTTGCCTTTTTCCGGCTTGAGGTTAGTGTCTTTGGCAGGAAAACTGTCAATAATTTAATGAACTCCACGTTTTCTCATTTTCCTGGATTTTATTCAATTTTGCGGGGGAACCTCAAGAGTAAATTAATAATTACGCAGCCATCAACTAACAGAATGCATCTTTTTAGCCTGTGAAAGGCTGCTAAAAACAACTTGTATGATATTGATGGTTTTCCCTCACTGGGCAGTGGCGGATACAGCCCTAGTGATAAGGGGGGCGGCCATTCAGACCCTGAGATAAGGGGGAGGGGGTCAGTCTCACATTAATATTTTTTCGGCCCTTTGGGCCTCAGTTTGGTCTAAAAATAAACGGGAGGGGGGGCCTCCCCTGGATCCGCCGCTGCTTATTCAGCAGCTATGTAAATTTCTTGTAATGAACGAAAGAGTTTAATTCCCCCGAATTTTCTGTTATCCCAACATGGCCCTCGTGTCCCCTTTTGTGAAAACGATCTTAATTGTTTTTCTTTATTTCTTTAACAAAGTTTTTAATAAAAGTTAACTATAAATTCTCGTGAAATGCACGCAATGAGGCTTACTGATCATCATTAAAAAGACGTATTGATAAAGCCACTTTCTGTTTAGATGAAGCCCGGTGGCGATCATAGTGAAAATCCAGGACCCCTGCACTGTATGATGGCTGGCTGCTTGGCAGGTAAGTTTTCTAATTCTCATGGGCCTTTAAATGACCTACTCACGTGATGATACAAAGAACGGTAGGAGGCTAGCATCGTACAGTCTGGCCATTATTGAAAACCAATCTCTAGTAGGTTTTATTAAGTCTAGGATATCAAGTCCCTCGCTAATACTATTAACTGCCCACCGGTTTTGATCACTTTTCCCATGACATTAATGATCACCATCAAAGTCTTTTCCTCAAGTAGGGTTCGAGATGGCATCAAATGACTGAGAGGGAATCGGCCTGTGTTTGAAGTCCTTGACCTTCATCTTCCCTCCCATCCCCCCCCCCCGCCCCCTCTTAAGCGTAAAGAAAGTAGTTTATCTGCTGCTGGAGTTTAGCCTTCCAGCAAACTCTCCATTTGGGAGATATCGTGAAATGTTAAGTGCGAGCGTCAAAGCGCCAGGAGCGGCCCTGCTGGCTTTGCCGCGTACTCGTGCAATATTGTGCGAATCGCTTTCCTTGCCAATCGAAAAGACAATCTCGCTCGCAGGCTACTGGAGTTAGATTGTGTTAATCAACGCAGATTCTCTATGTATACGTAGGAATGATAGGCAGTGTTACAGTGACACCAATGGACGTAGTAAAGACCAGGCTTCAGGTGATAAGGAGTGGCCAAGGAGAAGCGATGTATACCGGGTTTGTCGACTGCGTACACAAAACCTACTCCAACGAGGGCCTAAGGGCGTTCTATAAAGGAGCAGTTCCCAGAATGATCGTGATAGCTCCACTGTTTGGAATAGCTCAGACAGTTTACTTCTTGGGAGTGGCAGAAAGAATCATGGGGCTTGAAGTATGACGGGTCTAAATGACTAAACATACTTCGCAGTCTCAAACATAACTAATTAAGTAAAGGGACATCGTTGAACGATAGACAAATTTTCCAAGTAAATCATCAGAGGCATGGATGACAACGTTTGGGAAATTTGCTAAAAGTATTCGGAGAGGATTACTTCTGGGAAAAAAATGGAAAAAACTATTTAAGAATGGTTCACTACCTGGTGAACAATGAATTATTCTCTCATTTTTTTGGTAAATAATATTAATAATAATAATACTAAAAAAACCAAACAGTTGGGAAAAACATTTCAAACATTCAGGGTTACTTAAGACAGAAAATGAGTACTGTTAGGTAATTTCTTTTAGAAACATTGTAAATATGTATGAATTTGGGTTTCAAAATATTTTCTTTATTTATGAAATTGTAAATATTCCACACAGTAGAAAAGAATTACATGTAAGTGTATAAATAAAAAAGTGTTTAGAGACAACTAGTATAGAACCGCCTGGACAGCTTCATAAATTGACCCACTGACCTATTCGTCCCGAGAAATATTTTTTAAAGCGTCGTTTAGTGTAAGTTGAACACTTTCCTGCTTTTTTGCAAAGAGAAGCAAAATCGCCCAAACATTGTTCTCAAGTCGAGCACTATGCTAGTGAAAACGGTTATTAACGAAAAAGCATTTTTTTCAAAAACGCTCTCCAGAGTGGAGATTTTTGAAAACGCCAAGTTCAAGTTTGCGCGTGAACGGAAGAAACCGGAGGTTTTCGATCGTATTTCCTAATCGATCACGTACAATTTTTTTACGACTTTTTACATTTTTCGCCGGTGAACGTATTTCTGTCGTTTTCTTGTGGACGGGCGAAAGCTTTTCAAATACGCTACTTGTCAACGCGTATTTTTTTGAAAACGGACAAAAAAAATCTCCGTTTTAAAAATATCTGGATACGCGTGGACAGCTTCTGATGTTCGACTTCCCCCTTAAGCTTCATCTCCTCTCCGCGTCTTTTGCTTCACTTATAACGGTTTTCGCATTTCCTTTAACAGACATTTAATGCAAGTAAAGCTGACAAAGTAGAACAAAATTTCATGGTCAACTTTACTTTTTTTTTCTTTCTGCTTTTTCTTAGACCTTTTTGACTAAACCACCCCTATCTGAAAATAGTTCGATAGATGCTGTCGTCCCTGCAGAACATAGGTGTAAATATAAGGTGTCTGTGGCCAACCTCGTTCCCAGGGTTCCCTCTCTCTCCCCCTCGAGGAAGGAAGGGAGACAACCCTGGGAACTACGTTGGTCTATGACGATTAAAACAGATGACATCACAAGGTAGTACAAGGGAGGTGAATGGCTGTGGCGTGAATGTGCTAACGTATAGTATAGTTTAAAATGTGAGCTTTTATGACCGGGAGACAAAGGGGCGCGAATTAAGGACGATAATGGTGCTTATTGAGAGTTTCATTCTTTAATTTATTCATGCACCTCATAATTTTTGTGAATACAGTTCTTGAAAGCAGCCCATTCATTCCGCAACACTAAAGAAAAGACAAGCATTTGTACATCATATTTCTATCAAATTACAGTCAATTTCTACAGGAGCCCATCAACTTTGATGGGCTCCTGAAATTTCTATCGATTTGGAGTAAATGGCTTCGGACCAAGGGTGTTTGTGATCAAATCTCTGTACTCTGGAAATCATTCTGCTAGTAACATAAAAAAAGGACTGTGTTTAAATCCTTTCCGACCATCTCCCCTCCAAGCCCCCCTGGACCAAAAAGCAATATACTTTATTGATAGGAGAAAGCAGACATAAATTTAAGAAAGAGCAGAAGAAGGAAAACTGCGGGACATGTTACAGTTACATCAGTCTGTGAACACTCTTCGTGTATTAACTCCAAATAATGTTTCTCTTATTTCGGGCATCATCTGCAAATGCAATGAAAACAGAGTCTACATTATTCTTTTTTGCTTTTTAATCACATGATGCTTGATGATGATGCTTGAGATGGGATAAAATTTTACTGTTGAGGTCCGTGACAAGGTATTATTATTTTTCACTGATTTCTTAAGTTTTCCCAACCCAAAAACAAACACACCTATTCATATATGTTGTAGTCAATTTTTTTATCTCAGGTAATTTATATTTTTCCTTTGTTTTAACTTCGTTTATTAGTATACATTACCATACCCCAAAACAAAAGAAAGCAAAAATTACCTGAGATAAACATTAACTACCACATATATGTACATAAAAAGGCATACTCATGCAAAGAATAGTTGAAAAACAACATCTCCTGACAGCAAAACGTCTTTAGAAAATTCAATCATAACCCACATACCTGTCTACTCATCATTTCCAATCGGCTCTCCAACGTGTTCACCACTTTAATCCGGCCTTGTTTGGCAAGCAATTCAACGCCCCCGGCACTAAATAGAATGGAGACAGACAAAGATCACTCACCACAAGCCATAAAACAGCCAAAAACAGCTTTAAAAAATGCATGGAAAATAATCATTACTTGGAAACAAATGTGCGCCATAAACTTATAAAAGTGTGACACGTGTGTGATATAGACTTTGACTAATGCTGCTATGACAACACATTCCACTTGCGACACATCTGTATGGTTGAATTTTTATTGGTCCATACTATCACAACACAATCCTCTCGTATTAGACTCTTACTGGTTAGTGCTGATATGAAAACACATCCAACTTGTCACAAATGAGCAAAGAAGACTAGACCTGCTAGTAAGGCACACCCCACCAGCGTCTATCATACCGGCCATTCATTAAGACTTCAATCATTGAGATGCGACATTCCTCCCCCCCCTGCCCCATAAAAAACTATTAAAAGCTGCTTTTCCTTCATCAGTCATTGCCATTTTTATTGAGACCAACGAGGGATAGATTAGTATTGGTGGTTAATCGCCCTTTTAAGGCCACATTTCTTGACAGGTAAGGGAGGCGGAAAGAGCCTTCCCAACCTCAGGTTTGTACCACTGTTCTTTTCGTCCCAGCGATTCACCCTAGGACCCCTACGGAACTCTAACCCTTAGATGTACAGTACAGCTCAGAGATAAGCGACCAACGCAGACGTAAAACACAGGCACGTTTTTTGCGTTAACGTAAAATCGTTAACCAGTTTGAACGCGCGTTTTAGAAACTAGCTTTCGCTTTGTTATTCACTGTTTAATGTTTCATTGTTTTCGCTTTGTTTTCCAAAACAAAACAAAAGAAATGCTCCCGAACTGCCGATATGAATCTGGCCAAGCTTTTAGCCTATTGACCGACAACATGCCTTCCAAAATTTAACTGCATGTATAACAAATATAAACTCGAGAACAAGCTATCAGTCTAACCGGCTTTTTTAGTCAATTGCCCCTTCAAAATTAATACTTGATTTTGTTTAACAGAGTAATCTAAGCCAGGGGTAAGCCCTTTTTTCAGCCGGTGAAAACAGCCGGCAGCTGGCTCTGAGTAATGCACGAGTACTTTGTACAACTTTGAGGGTGCCACAGGGCACCAAACTTTTCAAATGCTCATCCAACTTTCTTGGATGACAAAATTACATGTTTTTCTTCCATGAAAGATGGCATTTTTAACCTACACGTAAAGGTACAGCATTACTTTACTCAGAGACTCTGCTTGGTCCAAGCCCCTTTGGCTGCACCTAAATTTTATTCCCTGTTTTAAACAGTTTATATTATATTAATATTTTAACAAAATATCTTAACATTACCATTTTCAAAGACATTTAACACTTAAAGTGAAATGCAAAAATCACTTTTCTTCATCTGGGTCTTACCAATCTTGTTCCCAGGTTCCCTCTTTGCTAAGTAAGAGAAGACCCTGGGGACAAGGTTTGGTTCTTACATATTAGAGCAAATCTGCTGTACATTTGATCCAGTACATACAAGGCACTCTAACCAATCAAAAGCAAGGAATCCTTACCAATCAGATGGCAAGAAAGACTGCTCATCAACTGTAACTTCTGTGGTTTTCTTTGTGGCTTTCTTGTATTCTTCTACTGCAACTTCTTTTGCTTTCTACACAAACAATGACATTTTTTGATATTTTACATTGTTATTTTCTTCACACTCTTAACAGCCTGAATCACAATGATTAATTAGTCAATTTTGTTTGGTATTTCTGATTACCAGGCATGCTAATAACCAATGTATATCATTGCCAAAATCACAGCTTTGCAACAATCAGATATGCTCCCTACCTGTACCAAGCATTACAATTTGCCAAAGATAGACTTTGAAAAACAATTACATGTAGGATGAACAGTTTTCAAAACCCTGCAAAAATCTGCAGTCTGTTTCAGTCATCTTCAAATTTAGCCCATCTGCATTATTTATCATCAACTCACACCTTGCGGAGACCCTGATAATACTGAAAGTAGCTAAATCCCGGACAAAAATAAAGATGCAGAGGAGGTTGTCAAAAATGAATTTAAGACTGACAGTGAAGATGAAGAAGAAGAGGAAGAATAAAACTTACCAGCACCAGTAAAGATAAAACGACTAATTTTGTAAAAAAATAATAAAAACCGCTTATTTCAAGTTATTGGCAAATGATATCTGTTGTTCTTTTCAAAGTTTTGTAGCCATTGCGTTAAAACAAAAAAAAAAGTTATGACAAAAAGTTAGTCATAGCTCAATGCACCTGTATCAATAACACAGTCATATTATTGCTGTTGACTATTAGTTTCCTTTGCAGTGTGATGCACATGGACGGTGTTTCTGAGTAGTTGAGATGCTCAAGTGATGACCAAAGTAAATATTACCTTGCTAAGGTAAAAGCCAAAAGAAATGCCTACCTTCACAACATTAAGATCTTGCTGACGGCATCTTATAGTGACTGATGCCTCCAGTAGCTGAAACAGACCCTGTCAAGGAAAGACAGCTTAGACTGGCCTACAGATGAGGAAATTAGTCCCTTCATTTAAGACCAGTTGGAGTTTCAGCATCTGTTGTCCTCACAGATAAAGTCATTCATACATGCACAAGCATTTGCTCATAGAGGTCTCTCATTGCAAGAGAACTGAAAATTAGAGAAGGAGGGGAACTGATGGGTTTCCTATCAAGCATGTGGTGTTTCCATAATTGACAAAAACCAGTGAAGTTTTGGTCACATATGCCACATCTGAAAGAAGACAACTCTTCAGCTACTACTACAGCTATTTGGTAAATTAAAGATTTCCTGCAGCCTGTCGTAAGACATACAAATAGATCACATCCTTTTAGGAAATGAAGAACGACTTTCCTTTGCTCAGATGCCATTTCCATTTTTTCTTGATAAGCTTAAAAATGGATGATTTTGTCTCCAGATTGAACTGTGCAACTTTTTAAACTTGTGGAACTCATGGAGGCCATAACAACTGTGGGTTCAGAATTGTCCAGTGTACATTCTCAAAAGGGCATATGCATTACACATAAAATGAAACCAGTTTTGAAAATCAGGTCATTTTTAAAAAAAAAATCTGGTCGGTGGCGACAGAAAGTCTCTCTTCTTCCTTCATTTTTTCTTTCGCTGTGGGAAACTTTGTGGGAATCCAGCAATTAGCATAACGCACTGCAAATTACATGCAGAACCTTACTACGGTTATATTCCGTTACACTGGAATGTAGGATATTTGAATTAAGGAATGTACATTGGAGACTTAAACCTTGATTGACATGTCACCTACTGTGACTAGCTGGAAGTGTTGTGTGGAGTTTTCAAAGAGAATGATTGTAAATGTGGGTGGATTGTACTGAAATGCATGAGTTTAACAGTGGGTAAGGTTTTAATGCAGTGGTCAGAAAGGTGATTTAATAATAATTTTTTTTATTATGTACACGTAGTTTAATCAACCTTGTACTAATTGATATTGTACAACTAATGTATTATCTATAGGATGGAGTAAAAATAAAATACAAATACAAATACAAAGGTGATTTTCTACTGATCTCTGCTAGTAGGGAAACACAAAAAGCAACCAAATCTGTTTACCACAAAGCAAAAAGGTCTTGCATGAGAAACATGATTCTATTTAAGCTACATGTACCTAGTGGTATGAATAAACCTTTCTAACCTGTGTAATAAGTCCCTTTAGAACTTGCTCATAACGAGAGTTGTCCTGTGTTACCCTACCGAGCTGTTGGACGGCTTCATCTAGTATACCCTGCCAACAAAAAGAATAATAATAAGACTAATTAACAATTATTCCACGAGTGCGCATTGGATATAAGTTGGCTATAATCATCTCATGTCCAACAAGCGCGAGTGGAATAATTATGTTTTATTAAAAAGGTCCACAAAATATCGAGAATTCTTCCTGACTTTATTTGTAAAAACAACCGATTTTCAGCTTGTTTTTAGTTTTGAGCAGACACGTACAGTTACCACATTTGGAGAGCATGGTATAATGGCTCATTTACCATGACGGCTAATATATATAAGCCAATCAGAGCTCTAGAATTGCATTATCCAATGATTCAGTTTTTATTAATAGAAGTGACCCTTGATTTCCATGAAAGAGAAACAATGGTGGCTAGCAGTAACCCTAAAGTTATCATATAGATTCCAACACAATAGGTCACTTTCATGATGACAACATTAGACTACAGCAACCAGAATTCATTTGATCTTTGCTATCTTATTAAAATTTCTCAGTTCTGCTGAGGCTTAAAAAGTACAATAGACCTACTTTCCACAAAGAAACAAAACACTGAAGGATTCTGGTAGTTGTGGTAAAATGACATCATCGTGCAATAATTACTGTCCTTTTGAACAATTCAAGAGGAACAAGTACTTTTTCAAAAACTCCTCTTTGAAATTTCCCATGATACATGTATATGTCTGCTAGTGATGTAAACACTAGTATACATGTATCCAATGATTTTGTTACAAATAGTTATCAAATGGTAAGTCCTGGGACTCATCTTTTAAAAAATCATGTAATCAAATCATGTAACCAGGCAGTTAATCTGAAGACAGACTCCAAAACTCTTTATTGCATTTTACTGAAACTAAAATAATAGTCCTTCTATTTAAAGTACAAAAAAGACTGAAATAAATATGCATTGTTCAACAACAGCCACAATAAAAGCCACAGAAATCACACAAAGAGGATAGTAAAACAACACATGTTCAGATCGATCGACTTTTGCGCCTTACAGGATGCATGTCATGAATTATTTTGCATCTTTCAGGGACGCAGGACACAGAGGTAACAAAAACACTGTGTATCTGACAAGAAAGTACATGGCAAGGGCACATACTCCAATAGAAGTAATAAGAACTTTCAAGATCATTCAGGGCTAATAATGTTCTTGTTATGACTCATTAAAAACTCTCAAAAAAGCAAGGCCACAAAAAGTTTCCAAATTTGACTCATAGTAAAGGTCTATTTTATTCATCTAGTTTGTCATGCAAATTATTTAGAATACTTTTAGGCTGTAAAGCAGAAATTATTCAGTTTTTTAAGGTACCTTAATATGGTCATCCATGGCTTTGAGGGTCTTCAGTCTAGACTGATTCAGTTGATTTGACCTTTGGCTACAAATTAATTCATAATTCATTAATATCACACATACACCTGCATATGTACCTATCATCATCTGCACATCTCTGATAGTACATCTTGTTTCCCCCAAAAATTTTACATAGGCTTTCTCTTCATTTTTCTCTTCAATGGGAAAACTGTAATACCCAGGAGAAATTCTTGACAAAAAAGATGTACTTTAGGAGATGTGCAAATGGAAAACTTACTCAAGTACTCTAGTGAATGACCATTTTTTTTCAGAGAACCAGCTGGCAGGTTGAGTTTTAACAGTGATCATGGTTCAAAAAGTAGTGCACCCTGAAAAATAATAGCTACATGTTGCAAATGCTTTAGCTTCAATTTCTGTCAAGTAGAAAATCAATATGTTCACAACAAAAACAAGGACAAACACCAACTGCCATATCTTTCTAATTAAGACTACAGTAATTACATGAGTGTATGGACATAACAAGAAAATTATGAACTTTATTACATTCACTTTGAAATCACTGGTGATCCGTGCAATCTGATTGGCTCTCAGCAGTGTGATTTACTCCCAAATCACACCATTTTTTGCTCTAAATTACATCTTTTCCCCAGACAATGAAAAAGGAACACTAAAAACATTTTATGCACAATTTACACTACAGTGTATATGTTGTAGTTAATTTTTATCTCAGGTAATTATTATTTTTCTTGTTTTTTTTTCAACTTTATTAGCATACATAACCATACCCCAAAACAAAAGAAAAACAAAAATAAACATGAGATAAAAAATTAACTACAACATGCACATAAACTGCACTTAGGACCTTAAAGGAGTGACAAATGTCTTTGTTCTTAGAAATAATATAAGAGAGAATGATATTAGTTTTTTAGTTTTGATGCCCTCTGCGTAATGGAGTGCAAATAGGTAAGGTAAGGTAAGGTTAGCAACATTTAAAATCAGGTAAGTGTAGTCTGTCCCCTTAACCCCTTAGCAGTTCAATGCACTTACATTTTCTTTTGTAGCTCTACTTGCTTTTCTTTCTTCTCAAAAAAATTCATAATTTTGAGTCGCTCTTGTTGCACAAGCCGTCCTTTCTCAATGTTGAACTCCTCTTCAGCCTGAAAATACGTAAAAATCCTTTATTCAGCATTAAGATCTTTCTTCTCCCCATTCTCATGATCCTTGGGAACAAGGATGAGCTTACACTAACATGAAGTATTATGGAAAACCAACTTTAAAACATTCTTAAGGCTGGTTTTCACTAGCGATGGAGTCAAAGTAGGAGTCATAATGGGAAGTGTAGAACTTTGCGATCTAGTGAAAACAATGCTCTGATTCCGCTTACAACTCCGTCGTTTACAGCCGGGTGAAGACAACCAAGTCTTGGTTGTAAGATATCGCCAGCAGAGGCGGAAGAACTAAACCAATCACAAAGCATGGAAATGTACATTGGGATTGGTTTATCCTTCCGCTTCTGCTACTGTGACTCGGAAGATTGGGTTTTTATTAGATCATAAGCAGAATGTAAGCGATACTGTTGTAAGCAGAGTCAGAAGAAATGGAAAAGTTCTACTTATGACTCTGCTTATGACTCCAATTTTTTATTTTCACTACATGTCGGTCATAGGCGCTCTTACAACTCCTTCTTTTGATCAGATGGCTTTTTTTTATATTAATGTCAGCTAATAACTTAGTCCAAGTACTGTACCCATTGACAATTTCTTTAACTTATGGATATTTAACAATTATTTCTTGAGCCTGAATGGGCTTCAATAAAAATGCCCATACAGAGGCTCTATGTAGCAAATCTTTGAAAAATAAATAGTAATAATTATGAATCATTTAAAAAACTTCTCAGTTTCTGCATGGTTCAAATCCCATGGCTAATTCTTCATAAACAGCTAGCGCTGATAAAATTTGGAAGACATTGCGATATCCGGAAAATGATGTCAATAATACAGGGTAACCGCCAGAAAAAGGGAAAAAGGGCGAGAAGCCCAGGAGACAAGGTTTCATTGTTTAGCTACACTGTACAGCGTCCTGTAGGGTAGTAGAAAATGGCCAAACATTTCCATGTTTCGCAAAGAAAAAATAACCAAACAACCTGGGGTCCCCCTAGGGGAGTGGCAATAATAGGTGCATTATTAAAAAGGAATTGATCACACATGCTGAATTTAATTGATACTTGAACAATCTCTTCCACTACTTCTATGGAAGTGTATAAGGACAACAAATGAGAATTTAAATTTTGATACCGGGGTTCAAAGGGTTTATTAGACGTCTAATGAGATCAGGTGACAGCCAGTTGACCAGTGACGTCACTAATAATTATAAACGCTGCTTTAAACGGAGTGGAAATTGTTCGATTACAATCATTAAACTGAAAACTGCACTAAATCTTTTTTGTGAAATACCTTAGCATCGATCTCATCTACTTTTTCCTTGGCTTCCTGTTCGATAAATGCCATCATATGTTCGATCTGCAACAGAAACGGCGTCGACCCTCAGTGTGAACTCTTGCCGGTGGATTTAACACATGTAAAGCTAAACTAACGCTGATAACAAACGAATAAAAAGTAGAAAAAATACTACAAATACTCACTTGTTTTTTAACTTCAGCGTCGTTTATAGACATCGTGGTTTTTTTGCTTACAGAAGAGAGAATATTCCGGCTGTTTTGTACTGTTTAAGAGGTGAAGACAGACTGAGTTTTGGTGCATTCTGGGACATAAACGCACTAGTACCCAGTGTACCCCCATGTAAAAGGAATTTTCTGCTGCATGGCGCCAAGGGCCATAATTTGGCCCAAACAGTCATCCAGGTAAAAGCCAGGATCAAGGCAGAATTTCTTTCCCCTTCTGCTCATCCCCGTTAGTTTTTTTTTTCAAATTTTAAAACTTAAAACAGTAAACTGATCCTGACGGCAGCAACAGTGATAGAAAAAATAAAGAAAGAAAGCAAAAATAAAATAGTGCATTATATTTGCCCAATGTTTCGGTTTGCAACACAAAACTTCAACGGGGGCTATAAAAGAACAATGAATACAGATAAAAGATGAACGTTACATATGCAAGATTTGAATACGTAGCAAACAGAAAATGATAGGCTACTAAAAAGATAAATGTCATTAATTGCATTCATTACGTCTATTTATACCATGAGGTTCTAAAGTTATAGCTTTGTCAATAAGGGGAGCCTCGCGTGCCTTTCTGACAGAGTCACGGTTGCTACGAATTATTGATTACGGTCCACTAAGGATCCAGCGTACCCTCACTGGTTTGTCGTTGTGGTTTTGCCTTCACAAGCGTTTTCTTTTCCTCTCTCCACCTCTTAGTGATCTTTCGCAGCTGGGTGCTAGCCTGTTCCTGGTGTTTCGTGCGCCCAGGACGGCAGAATCTGGGAGGAGATAACCTGCGATCAAGCGGTCCTTCTTCCTTTTTGATTTGGAAGCCGAAGGGAAAAAAATTTGTCCCCTTTTCCCCCGTCCGCTGATTTTCCCGCTTTCCACGAAAAAAGAACGCCTGATCGCAGGTTAGGAAGGCTGAGGACGGCAAAACGTTTGTTTATGACAAACATGTCAGGGCTCATAGTATTACTTGCGAGTTTTGTCGTGATCTTCCTTAAACATTACTTTGTTCTGCGTCTTTGACAAGTGGATCTGGAAGTCCGCTGTCGTGTAATTTTCACGTGTGTATGCATGTAAATTTTATGCGCGCAAATGAAGTAAAGGTAATGTATGGAAGGTAACTGGTAATCGTAAAAGTTGGACCTTGCTCGACTTTTACGTTTGTAGACGCGCAACCTTTCATACATCGCCTCTATTTTATTAACGCGCGTACGCACATAAACATTGCACGGCTGCGGAATCCGTAGCCTTCGAAAACATCCGTTTCTCCTCGCTCTTCGTCCCTTGGGACGTTTCGCGAGGAGGAACGTCTGCGACTCAGCGACAGAAATTCCATACTGATGACGTAAAATCTGTCCGGAATCCGGTCAGAAGCGCTGATTGGTCGACGCAGCAGTTACATTGTTTTAGCTATTGTTTATGAATGACAGACAAAAGACAAAAGGCCACAAAGGTCAAATGCAAACGCGAAGAATCTCTAACAAAACCGTCAATATTTGTGGAATATAGCCTTCTCTAGAAAATGCATTTGAGTTTTGCTGAAGCTCATGGGCAGATCAACACAGCACTTTACCAAAATGGACCAGAAGACACGCAAAATTAGACAAATTTATATTTGGAACCCCATGACTACCGGATTTATTATGTAAACACTGATTTGCGTCATCAGTATGGAATTTCTGTCGCTGAGTCGCAGACGTTCCTCCTCGCGAAACGTCCCCAGCGACGAAGAGCGAGGAGAAACGGATGTTTTCGCAGGCTACGGAATCCGCCATAAAGGAAGGTGAGGTTTGAGGGAAAGTTTTCAAACTTCATTATTGTCACACTCGTTACTAGACTGCTTGGATTACATCTTTTCTCTTATAATCCGCCCGGTTCTCATCCCAGCTACACAACGAGCAGTCTCTCTTTTTTCTTGGTCCGTCGAGCAAAACGTGCGAGACACGCAAATGACCACGCGCGTGACTAAAGGCACGAGATTGGAGAGGTCATTTGCCGCCCTCGTTTCTCGCCTCTCGCGGCTTTGCCCCTCGACGCTCGCGCTCGCGTGCACTCCCCTCACTAAATCTGAAGAAAAAAGAGACTGCTCGCAGTCTACATCCCAGCCAGCGCGATTGCAATCAACGACGTTACAATAAAGGATTAAAGTTTCCGTTGTCTTTCTTCTGCCGTCCGGTTGCGTAAGATCACAAGTGACTCAATGAAAACCTTCGCTCTAGAGACTGAATTTTATTTCATGCTCTCTTTATGAGATTCTTCTGTTTTGCAGGAGAATTCCCGATCTCCTAAGCCCGCTTAAGTGATAACTATCCCCGGGACTTAACTGAAATCTCTTTCAAGAAGCAACTACACTAAATGTATGAGGTGCTGGTCTTACAAAGAGTAAACCAGAGTTACTAACAGAAGAGGATGAACTCATTCTCAGTAAAGAACGGTAGTGACCAAATCTTGGTGCCCATTATTGGGACGCGTCTGTAACGGCTTAAAGAACTCAGTATGGAAAATACCGTTGCGGAAATAATGCCTTGACTTGTGAATACGAGCAAAAATCTCTTTTAGTTGAAAAATTTTCAAATCGGTTTAAGCCACGAAAAAAAGACGCAGAAAAGCTCATAACCTCAATAAAATGTTTCATTCTAATAGGGGTTTCCATTAAGAGCGTATTGGAATAAAGGCAACAAAATTGCAAATTACTCTGCTTGTTTTGCTGCCGTTACTGTTCTCGTCGCTATAACATCTCCTCCTCAATGGTTGATACAAACAATACGAATTCCAGGTGAGCAGTAAGTTTTATTCGAGACCATACGACTGTGCTTCTTACGGTTCCGTTACATAACACGGTACCGGGGGTACTTTACTCGAAAGTCCCGGTAACTTTTTGACCCCGGAAAACTGTTTAAGGGTAGCCATGTCTAGATTCGAGATCAACGTTTAAGTACAGTAAAAGTCCGAAAATAAGCCCCTCCACATATAAGACTCCCCGGAGGCTTGTACTTGGAAATTGCCTTCAAATACAAAGTAAAACAAAGCAAAAACGGTAAATTTCCTTCCAACTATAAGCTAGTCCAATCGATTTTAAAACGCAAATGTCCATCTATAGATAAGCCCCTCCAAAAAAAAGCCCCTGAAAAAGGGCCTTTGAAAAATATAAGCCCCGGGGCTTATTTTTGGAATTTTACTGTAGATTTGAAAATGATAGCAATGAAACATTTGTCCTCTCTTGAATTACTTGAATGGTTTGTAAGCCAGGAACCGTGCTACTATACAACTGGTTTTGACTTTAAATGTTGCCTTCGGGGGCGAAAAGTTATTGGGACCATGGGGAGTTTTGAGAAACAGGCCCTAGAAAAGTCTGGTTTACTTCTTGGCGTTCTTTATTCTTCACAGCAGCTCTTATGTTTTCTTCTACGTGATAAACTTGAATATTCCACTTAACAGCTCTAACTTTATTAACCACTACAACTCAACAACTCAACCTAACTACAAGATCCCTAACTGCACATACTACATATACAACATGAAGGGGGGCCTAAGGGTTTGCGGTGATACGGTTTTGCGAATTTAAAAAATTTTTATTTTTATTTGCGGTGTCACAAAACCAAGAGGTTTGCGGTATTTAGAAATTTTCAGGTAATTTCTCTGAAGTTTACGGTTTTCTTATGTTATTCTGTACGGCGTTTACACGTATATCTGTGCGGTTTTGTGGTGTTCGTACCCTCATTTTTACGTCCTTCTCAACATAACTAACTCCGAGAAAGAAACTTTCAGTGAAAACATGAAATCTTCTAATAACAACGTTCAGAATACTTCACAACTCGCGTTACACAAAGCCAACAGACAGAAAATTTACTATCAAGTCGCCGAAATATTTGTTTTACTGTTAACGCATGTCTAGAAAAGCTAGGCGCAATGTTTTCTTTCGAGCACCTGTCTTTTTGACTAGACTACTTGAGTAGTATACCAAATACACAATGTTGCATATCCTTCTAATACCTATAAATTATTGACGGGAGAAAAAAAACACGGCATTTCAACCGTGGTTTTTCCTTTGACACCGTAGATGAAATCGGACCATTTTTAGACGTTTCCCATTCCAAAGAAGCAAGATTTAGAAAAAGCAATGGTAGTTTTTTTAGCAGGACATAGGACCACACATAAACATTGGCAAAGGTTTCTCGTCTCTTAACGCAATCCCAAGAACGTCAGTGTGGGAGGCTACAGGCAAAGGGGTGTCCTTTAAGACACATTTTACTTCATCGCTTACAGAATTTAGCCAAAAGCAAATTTCGACCAAATTTCCAAAAATTTCATTTAGTGAAATTTTCAAAAACAAATAGCACCATGTACAAGTAGAGGCAGAGAGCTTTGATTTGAATGGGCAGAGCAAACGATTTCGTCCAATGATTCAAAAGTTAGAGTCATTCTACAAAACTCCATCAAGCACTCTGGCAGTGAAAGGGTTAAAGACTGGCCCTTTTACACGAAAAACAAGACCGCTAAGGCTCTATTTCTTTTCGTAAATCAGCTTAAACATCTCAGTGGTTTGCTCTTTTTGTTTTCATTCTTTCTCGACCACCTTCTTTAGCACTTTGTACTCCCTTTTAAAAACAAAACATTGATGGTGATTTAACCAATTTCCGTCGAGAGGTACAAAGTAGTTGTTGCTTTCATCCTGAACGGCTACCTGATCACTTCAATGTTTTATCAAGCGTTCCTTCTCTGGGTGTAGTTTTAGTCTTGTCAAAGCAAAATAACCGAGGAACAGTGTCTCATAGGGGTGTGTTATGCTTCTTCTTGCCTCTCCCTTAGCAACGACGACAGGAAGGACAAAAAAATTATTTCCGCAGTTGAAATTTACAGTCATTTCATAACAATTCTAGAATAAAAGATATCAAAAAATACAAAATGCCTGAAAAATGATTCCATATGTAGAAATAAGGAAAATTTGCACCCTTACTAGGACTTAGTGCTAAGTCACGACTTATAGACATTTCTTTGTCCATGTAAATGGTCCAGATTTTCCAGTTAAATGAATAGGCTTAAGGTGGCTCGATAGGGTTTTTCAGGGTCAATACCTCCCACGTTTGAACATAAACTACGTCGCCATTAGCAAAGATTTGGGAACATTATCACCACAGCTATATTAGATGAAGAAAAAAATTGGTTATGATCAGGGTTACGACGATATCAGAGTTGTCATAGCAACGAAATAACGCCATTACAATTAATTTTACTTGCAGCCGTATTTCTCGGCGCTGGGAGCTGTTCTTTCAAAATCGTTCACGGGAGCTTCTTCCTCCAATAACCGCCTCGATGCTCGTGAAGTTTCAGCGAAATCTGTAAGAGCGTTATCGAGACATTTAGGATGAGGTTTTTAGAAATACCGTAAAAACTGAACAATTTCGATGCTCCGCCATTATTTGTAGAAAACGTAGAGCTTTTAAAATGCATTTTCGCCTCATTGCAGTTTTAATCTCTCTAATCTCTACACGACCATGACGTGAGGCTAATCGTTGCTGTTTTCGCTGCCGTCGTTGCTAAATCTCCTTAATGAATAATTCATATAAACAAAATAAATTCGCGGCGAGGTATAAGTTTTATTTAAGACTATAAGAATGTGTTCTTAGTCCTATTACATGGCACGTTACACAAAAAACTAACTATATTAAAACAGATAATTCGTTTCACCGTTAACACATGGCTAGAAAAGTTTGATTAAGTTAGATTGCTTTCGGGCACTTGAGTAGTATACTGAAAACATACTGATGCATACTGCTAATACCTATCAATTGTTGATCGGTGAACAAGAAGACGGCATTTCAACCGCGGTTTTTCCTTTGACACCGTATTTGAAATCGGACCATTTGTACACGTCCCCCATTCCAAAGGAGCAAGATTTAGAAAAAGCAATGATAGCTTTTTTCGGCAAGACGTAGGACCACACATTAACGTTAGTCAAGGTTCCTCGGAAGCATTCACTACTCTTGAAGCCGCCGCCGACATTATCTTGGTCTTGTCCTAGAACCAGAGATCCCCAGCCTTGATGGTGTAGCCCTTCATAAAGTCTGTCCCTTGTTTTTCCATCGCTCCATCTTTGAAGAACTGATAGGTGCCATTTTCGTTGTCCCAGGTCACGCAGATAGCATGCCATTTACCATCATTTGCTGATACCCCGATCATCCTGTTGGCAAAAAGAGGAATCAGTATTGGATCATACCGGTATCACCCCGTGTCAGGGGATACAAGTTGGTCTAGGATTCTGCAATCTTGGACAAAAATGTTAAGAAAAATTGACGTTGCCATGTCTAGTTTCAAGATAAAGCCTTTGAAAGCACTGGCAAGTAAAAATACTCCCCCCCCCCCCAAAAAGCAATTTTAAATTATAGATTATTTCTGACCGCGAATGAACAACATTGTCCAGGGTGGGGGGAGGGGTGAGGTCATTGTGGCACAAAATCCGCAGGATGGATAGGGGTTCTGTGGATAAGAAAGTGCACAATTCTTAACAATTTGTTTGTCCAAGATTTTGGGTTCCACGCCGTGGATTCCAGATTCCAGGCACTCGATTCCTGATTTTATGTCAGTGGAACTTGGATTCCGGACTCGAATCGCTAGTTGAATTCCGGATTCCTTGAGTTGTATTCCGGATTCCAAAGCCCAGGAAATTTCCCTGATTTCAGATTCCAAAAGAAAAAATTTCCCGGTATCCTGATCCGAATTCCCCTAACGAATCCACGTTCTGGCTGGATTTACTGGGTTAAACGGAAATCTGAAACTGAAGAGGACGTCGGGCGAGCGGCCCAAACTCGGACTGTTCACACGGAATCGTTTACTAGTTAATTCTTAAAGTGTAAATTATTTCGAATAAATGATAAAACTATTATTATTATTAAAACAATTATTGAATTCACCTTTCGTAAGATCTGGAGGTTTGGATAAAAAGACCTAAATAAATCACAAGAAGTCTGAGAATAGGAGGCCTGAAATCCCAGCATCATCGACGTGGAGTGGGGAAACAACAAGAAATTGTCACCAAATCGACACAAACTCAATATGGCGGAAAATATGAATTTCGATGTCATGGTATCAGGGGCCAAGCGTTTGACTGATTTCGAAGGAAAATAAATCTTGCAAGGAAATACCTGGGCAAAAAAATCTTACACTGAAAAAAGTATCTCTCCTGGTGAATAACGTTGGAGAAAAAATTTTACATTGTTGTGTGTCGGGAAAGAATATTTTATCTCCAGGGGTTTGGGGAAAAAAATTCTCACCCAAACCAAATCACCCATACCCCCCTCAAAAGTCAAATGGTCGGGCCTTGTAAAAAGCTAAAAGGATACATCACCCTAACGTCTATGCCTGGAAATATTGTTACAATGCTCATTTTTCAGATTAAAATAATTAATTATAGTCAGAAAAGGTATTATTACGTCATTCCTGTTTTATGACGAAAATGTCAAAAAATGTAGGTCGGTTGGGACAACGCCATCCTCGGAGACCCAGGGGCAGTCAGTCGGGTCGGGAGAAAAGGCGCGACGAAAGTTTTCAAGTAAGGGCGGAAGAGCCCCTGGGTACCGACTCTCACCGGACCATTTCCAAAAGTTCAAGCCGATGGCGGCTCCTGATTGGGCACAAAAAATGCTTTGTATTATTGTGCCCAATCGGCGAGCACATCTTCTGAGTTCTTTTCGTGTGTTCGTACACGACGGCTATTGCACGGCTTATCGGGGTCATGCACCAAAGAAATGCACGCAGTCAGGAAACTTTCAGTTTGATATAGATTTCCCATATGATTTCAAAATACTGTCTGCCCGAAAACTAAAGACGCTTTTCCAAAAAAAAAAGCTTCCGCTTACAACAGGTATTCACGCTTGCATCGGCCACGTCTTGCGTAAATACATTTATAGAGAGTATTTAAAAGATACCACGACGGAAACGTCGCACGGAAAAGTGAATTTATATTTTTGTTCAGTCTCTATCGTGATTATTCCAACTCGCTTACTTTGACAAATGCAAGCGAACTCTTCTGGAGCTGAATTTCTTTCAACCATCAGGGGCACCCAACGAGGATATAGTTCAAAACCACTTAACATAGCATTGTTGAACTTATTTTAGTATTCCAACGGTAGATATAGGCATATTTTTATCCCCTAAAAACTTTTCATCTGTTCGGATTTCCTAGCTGAAAGTCTAGTGATCCGAAAATTATAGGGATAAAAACTTACCTTCTCGAAAATTTCAGCGAGGAAAAGGCTCCCGAAAATTCTAGGTGGTCTTTTTTAGGGTCAAAATCCGTTAAAAATGGGTAATTATACCATTTTGTAGATGTTCGAAAATCCTAGGAGAGGCAGGCAAGTAAGAAATTTTACAACAAATGCTCCGAAAATTCTAGATCTCAAATCGTCTTCCGAACAGATATTTTCCCGAAAATTGCCGTTGGGTGCCCCTGAACCATATCCAAGTTCATGAAGAGAATGAATTTTGTCATTGCTTGTTTACGTCCTTCACAAAACGTGAAATTAGGCATTTTAACGGGCAGTCGTGCAGATGACGGCAAAGAAATGTACAAAAAAGCGTGATGCACGTGCAAAGTTGTTGTTTTGCCTTATCTAGCTATTGCTTATTTGACTTTCTCGTTGCCTCCGCCGAATCATAAAACTTCCTATTATTCACGATACATTGTGATCCGCGAAAAACAGAATATTCGGGCCAAATTCAATTGCTCCTGCTGATAGCATCCCAAACGTTTTTTCGACTCATCGGTAGTTCCTTCGTTTCTGGAAAGTAAGGGAAGTAGAAAGTAAAAGTTTCCCTTGCACGCACAAGCTTTGTGAACGAACCGGGCAAATGTGGCGAGACAATAACCGTCGTGTACGAACACACAAAAATAACTCAGGAGAAACTGTTCGCCGATTGGGCACAATAATACAAAGCATTTTTTGTGCCCAATCAGGAACCAGCATCGGTTTGAATTTTTGGAAATGGTTCGGTGAGAGTCGGTACCCAGGGGCTCTTCCGTCCTTACTTGAAAACTTTCGTTCCGCCGTTTCTCCCGACCCGACTGACTGCCCCTGGGTCTCCGAGGATGGGACAACGCTAAAGGAGGAGAAATACAGTAAGTAAAGGGGATGGCCTAAGTCTCAGGCGGGTTCTTCCAAGGAAAAACACCAACTGTATACAACTTACTTCTCTTCACCACTGACCAACGAGCAGCTTAAAGTTATCGTAGTTAATCAAAAGCAGTTCGTTATCCTCTCCTATTAGTCTCGAGTTTTTTTTCAAAGAAATACACCATTAATTGTATATAACTTACTTCTTTTTACCACCAATACGTAAGTCAAAGTCCTTGTAATTAAACAAAAGCAGCTCGTTATCCTCTCCTTGAACGGCATAACTAAATGGTGTTCCTGCATTAGAGGAGGATGATTTCATCCAGAAACAGACGGTGGACGCATTCAAACTGGGCATGTTCCAGAGGTTGGCATAATCGGCCGTTCCTTTTCTCGGAAAGTGAAGACCATAGTCTGTACATTATAAAAAAACGACATGCACGTCAGTACTTTTGTTTTACAAGACTTTTTGACTGAAGACGGACCACGGTCACTTTTGAAACCGTCAACGACGAATTGGGAAGTGCTTTATACACTGAAAAATACCTCAAAACGGAAATTTACACGTTAGGTGCTCTACATAACAGTAAATTGCCGAAAATGTTTAATATTTTGTAGTCTTGCTCCAGTTCGCTGAGTGTATACTGTTTCGCTTTTAGACTACAAAGCCGTGAACGTTTGCTTGTAATTAACGTTTGATTGCATAATGAGTAAAATTATTCCAGTTTTCTGTTACAATGTTCCAGTTTTATTTTAGCTGTTTTAGTTAAGCAGACATGTATTCATCGCGAATAGGTTCAGCATTAAAATTACTGGTGTCACGTAATAATATTAATAATAATAATAATAATAATACTGATAATAATAATAATGATAATGATAATGCTAATAATAATAGTAATAATAATAATAATAATAATAATAATAATATTTATAGAGGGAGCCCAACTCGCCAAGGCGGTTCTCAGTGGGGCTCTCACATTACCTAGACTCTCTTTAAGACGGACAGTCAGGACTAGTCCAAAGATGTCCATCTTAGATGGAGTTAACTGTAGATTTAATGACGCATAACAACGATTAAGACATGACTTACTCTCCATGGGCCAACTGTTGACGAGTCCAGCAAAACAAAGACCAACAACGAGCGAAGGAAGTAACCAGGACATGATGCAGTCGTAGCTACAAGTTGAAAAACAGAAAAACGTAGATGATTAATAATAGATTTACTTAAGCTTTATAAGGAGTTGTAAGATGTTAAATCTTAAAATGACGTTTAATTAGTGGATTTTATTTCAACGATTCTTAACCATTAATCCTTTCCCTTAGTATTTCGGACCATACTGATCAGGAGAAACTTTTTTTAATTCGGTTCATTTTTTCAAAGTATATCTTTCTATTCCTGTTAAAAAATTTCGATAGGCCTAGCTCAGAACAATAAAAAAGTTTGAAACAATTTTAACTTTCATTTGAGCGAAGCTTCGTTTCTGGTCTTTATGTCCGATTCTTTTAAAATGCTTTTAGCAAGTGAACGATGAGAAACGATTAATCAATTAAAACACAGGAGTAATGTTCAAGTTTTCGGTTCTGATATGCGAAAATCGAACGTTAAAAGAAACTGATAAAATGATTTTTTTTAAGATAAACGATTATTGCACTCGCATAAATAGAATTCCTAGGAAAATTAGGCAAACGATCAGTTAAGATTGGGCAAATAACTGCTCAAAATAAATAGTAAATAGGTCGACAATCCTACAATCCTAAATTAAGTTTAAAACCTCTACTCACTTTTCACTTTCAGTTGGCTTTTTAAGCTTTTATCAGGCTGTTAGTCGCAATACACAGAACAGTGCAAGGTTGTAAATGACTGCAAACGATGTGTTGACGCTTTATATATACTCACCACACAGGAAAAAAAGTGTTGGTTACAACGACTAACAATGAGTGTTGCCCTGGGATGCGATATTGCACGATTGGCCGGCCACTTGCAAGTAACATCCGCTTATGAGAAGACTCTGACTGAGGTCTCTACGACAGCCACTAAACACAACGCACCATATAACTCCCTCGCTTGGCGACGAACTGAATTTTCCTGTTTGCTAACAATGCTGTCGGAAATAGCCATGTCCTGGTTACCGAATCAAAGCTCTTTATGGGATTATTCGTTTAAAAGAACAAT